CTGTGGTGCGTTGCAGCTTGATTACAAACGGTGTAAAAAGTGCTTTCCTTTTTGCTGTTTTCCACTGTGGTTCCCTTTTTCTTTCCCGGTGTCTCTTGAACAGCCAAGCGTTCTCCTCCGATATCTGCCCACATGAGCGATTCCTTGCACGAGACACAGAATTGAGACACGTTCTTCGAAACAATACTTAGTATCTCTCCACCAGGCTATTTACACTGTACCAGCTGCGCATATTTCGTCCTGAGCTGCCGCTCACTTTCAACCGATCCAGCCTCATAAAATGCAGTTGAAGGCGTCCCTAAAACGCGCCAAACAACCCCTCACGAACCTCCACCTCACCTCACCCCAACCCCACCACCCACCCAGCCTCACTCACTCAAACCCCAACCTCCTCCTCTCCTCCTCCTCCCTCACCGCCCAAAACCCATTCCTCACCCCAACCCACCCCCTCTCGAACCCGCGCGCCATCACCTCCTCCAGCCCAGGCCAGCACACGCTCGCCCACTCCCTTACCCTCACCCTCACCTCCTCCGCCTCCTCTTCGCCGACCACACCTCCGTACGCCACAACCGCGTCCCGAACTCCCCTCTTAAGCCCCCTCACCCCGCGCTCCAACCACGCCAACGCATCCGCCCGCTCCGCCTGCCAGACGGCCTCTCCGTCCGGACCAGTCGAACAGGCCCAGTCGGCCAGGCGGCTGCCGCGGTGGTCGTCTTCCCAGGCGGCGAAGAGGGTGTCCAAGTGGCGGTTGAGGGACCACCAGACGATGTCGCGTTTCTCTTCGTTCGTTAGTGATGATGATGGGAAGGGTGATGAAGATGGGGACGAGGAAGAAGGTAAAGGCGCTGATGACATGGCAGCAGCGGCATGCCCACTACCATCACGACCGCCACCGACGCGGAGACCGAGCACGACGTACGCGTCGTCGAGGACGCGGAGGGAGTAGGCAGGGACGCCGAACCATAGGACGCGGATGCGGGACGTGACGTATGTTTGCCAGGAGACGAGGGGGCAGGGCGGGTTCGAGGCGGACCAAGTCGACTCCGACGAGGAAGAGGAATAGGAAGGTCCCCAGCCGTACTGCGCGGAGGTGATGTCGAAGGCGTATTCCTCGGTGAGGCCGCCCGGAAGGGCCAGCCGGATGTGGTGGGCGTAGTGGTTCAGGATGGCTGGGTCCGGCATGCCGTGGCGCGAGGAAGCAGGGTTGTCCTCGATGAGGTGCATGGTGAGCGGCGGCTCGTCGACCGTCTCGACGGAGATTTCGGATATCGCTGCGGGGAAGGCTGTTTGTTTTGCCAATGAGGAAGGGCTGAGTTAGTAAATGGGGGAGTTTATAATATATCACGGGGAGAAAGGAATAGACGACAAAGAACCAAAGGGCACAGAGGAGAGGAGGAGAGATGAACGGAACATACGCCCCAAAACCCTCTCAATCATCCTCGCCATAACCACCGCGGCGTCCTCACACATGCAAGTCGCCAACAGTGCCTCCCTCGCCATCTCATTCGGCATTTTGTCGTACGGGAAATCGAACAGCGACATCTCACACAGCTCCCAAGGCTCATCGTACACCTCCATGTCCGCGTCGTGAACGAGATGGATCTGCATATTCTTCTTCGTCTTCGTCTTCTCCTGCTTTCCTGTCGCCGTGTCACTGCTGCTATCGTTGCTGTTGTTGTAGTCGTCGCCGCTCACCATTATCGGGACGAGGGAATGGTCGTACGTGTGCTCGCGCCAGATGGTGTACGCATCTTGCAGGAAGACGGCAGCGCGGAAGAAGGCGGTGCGGAGACGGATCGCTTCAGCGACTGGGTCCGCGTCATCGGCGTGGGTGTCGGCGGGCGATGAGGACGAGGAGTCCGCGGGCGGCTCGTGTGATGGCGAGCATGATGAGCTGGGTGAGTCTGGCGGGCCGTCATCGCCAAGTGAAAGAGATGCGGTGCCGGCGATGAGGGACTTCGCGCTGCTTTCGTCCATTGCTTGCGACTGCGTCGGATCTGGAGGATTGTTGCGCGGATTCATGTAGGGTAGAAGCATGTCTGGCGGTAAGGAATAAAGTTGCAAGGAAAGAAGCAAGCGGCATAAGTTGCGTGTGAGCGATTGTTGACATTTTTGCGATTGCGGTCAGCGTCCTAACACACCACATCGACCACCTCTCACCCTACGAAGACGTTTCTAATCTTGTACCACAGCGACCTCTGCTTCACTTCCTCGACCTCCGTCTCCATCTCAAAGTCCTCGCGACGGCCCGTGTAGATATCCATCTCTTCCAGCTTCACGAACTTCGTCTTGTGCCAGAGCTTATAAACAACAACGAGCAAGACAAATATGGGCAGCAAAATGTAATTGATGACGAAGTCTTGGGCGCTGAAGGGCTTCAGGAAAGCGGTGTAACCTAGCAGCGAACGTTAGAAACACTTGACTACACCCGAGATATTTCTGCGGCTCACCTTGGAAGAAGATCAGGAAGACGTTGGCGGCCAAGCACGCGTACGTGCCGTACGGATACCACAACGCCTTGAAGGGCAACTCTTCGATGCTCTGTCCCTGCGCCTTCATGGCCTGGCGGAAACGGATGTGGACCCACTCGATGACGGCCCAGACGATGAAGGTCGCGACGCCGGACAGCGTGATCAGCGCCTCGTACAGGACACCGGCGTTGGACGACTGCGAGAGGAAGGAGATGCAGGCCCACAGGTTGGAGAAGAGCAGCGCGGCCCACGGCACGCCGGCCTTGTTCGTCTTGCCCAGGAACTTGGGCGCCATGCTTGACTGGGCCATGTGGACCATGGTCCTCGACGCGACGTACAGTGCCGAGTTGCCGGCCGAGATGACCGAGATGACGATCAGGCCGTTGATGAGGTGGGCGGCGGGGGCGATGTTGGCGTCGGCGAGAGAGATGGTCAACGGGGAGGACGCCGTCTTGGAGCCCTTGCCGATCAAGCGCGAGTCGTTGTAGGGGATGAGGATGCCGATGAAGAACATCATGCCGATGTAGAAGATGAGGATACGCCAGAAGACCTGGTTGATGGCGCGGGGAACGGCCTTGCGGGGGTTGGATGATTCACCAGCAGTGATACCGACCCTGCGGCAGTTAGTCTTCTGCTACTGATGGACATAGCAGAGATGAAGCCACTCACATTTCCGTACCAGCGTACAGAGTACCGGCGATGACGAATGTCCTCGCAACACCGTTGATGCCATCAGCAAAGGCACCTGGGTCCTCCCAGTACTTGAAACCAATCTTCTGCGGGCCAATACCACCGGCGGAGATACAGATGGCGATAATGAAGAAGATGGAGATGGAGATAACCTTGATCCTACGAAGCTTTAGTATAACGTCACACTCTTTGCAGACAGGAGAACTTACAACGACAGCCAGTATTCAACCTCTCCGTATGCTAGAACACCCAGCATGCTCAAGGAGATGAAGAGAGCCCAGAAGATCAGGATCCATGCCCATTGTGGTACGACATCCGTCCAGTACATGACAACCAGAGAGATGGCATTATACTCGTTCGCCAAAACCTACCCAACGCCAGTGAGCACAGACGTCGAAAAAAAAAATCAGGAGACCGGACCACTTACGGTAACCCACAAGTACCAGTAGGCCCAACCCAAGGCAAAGGAAAGCGCAGGATCGATGAAGCGGCCAGCATAGTCGGTGAAGGAGCCGGAAACGGGAATCAGCGTGGCCAATTCTCCAAGAGATTGCCTGTGGGGACGTTAGTCTGCTTAGTGAATCGTTCCCCGTGGGGAAGACGATTCTCTTACATAACGAAAAAGACGATGATTCCGACCAGCGAGAAGCTGATGAGAATACCGGCTGGACCGGCGAGACGAAGAGCATTTCCAGAACCAACGAGAAGACCGGGACCGATGATGCCTGAGGGAGTGCGTTAGTCGTTTGGGTGCTTCTGAGAAGAATCGGGATGCTCACCTCCGATGGCAATCATCTGCAAGTGCCTGGACTTGAGGGCGCGCTTGAGGCCGGTAGCCTCGACGCCGTTCTGACCCTGCTCATCAGAGCGCGCCTCGGTGTCGACGTAGACATCATCGGTCTTCTTCTGCCCGTCATAGTCGGCCATGGTGGGCGAAAGGCTGCTGGGAGGAAAAGATGGGTTCAGAATTCTGTCGAAGGCCGCGCAAAGGACCTATAAAGGCGTGGCCGTGGGCGAATAGCAGACAAATGATGTTACCTCACAGCGGGTTTCTGGGCACTTGGCGGACATCCACCTTGTCGCGCAAGAGAGGCGGCGATAGCGCAATGGCGTGCTTGGACTCGGCGATTGGCTCTTGGCAGAGAGCCTTTCCAAGCCCGTCAAGCTTCGCCCACCCCTCTGCTCGAGGGTAGGGCTGACTCGTCTCTCTGGCGAGCACGCCATCTCGTGCGACTGTGGTTGCCGTTGTCGTCGGCGTGCGCGCTCGGAAGTTGTGGCTGCTGGATCCGGCCTTGTTTTATTGTTTTTCCTCTCCCTGGCCGCACTCATGCCCAACCCCCGCGCGGCGCGACTGCGGCACCACTGCCCCCCGGGGTCGTACAGCTCGGACTCGAGGCTCTTGTTGGCGTGAAGGAGAAGAATCCATGCTCGCCGCCGGTGACGCCCTGATCTGCTTGGCACGCAGTTATCGCGGCGGAAAGGAACGTGTTTCTAGAATGCCCAGCCTTGGCAGCCATGCTTACGACGCGAAGACCCCGCCGCCGACGGGCTTGGAGGCTGAAATTGATAACGTCGCGCACTTCTGACCGTGCAAAACCTGGGGCGAGATCCGATTCTCTCTGTCTACTGAATTAGGCAAAGCAAACCAGAAGCGGGTTGTTAATAGGTAATGGAAACACTAGGATCGCCGCTAAACTGACACTGTATAGGCCAGTCATTCGCCGGGCAATTTGCAATTCGTCATGTTATATGTATGAACAGCAATATGTACAGGGCGTGAAGAAAATAAACCAAGAGATGCAAATATTCTTCACATCTCACACATCAACGCCATATGCTGACCAAGCCTGCCAGACATTCTCCGACCCTATGCCGGTGTGATCAAAGTCGAACAAGAAAAACAAGCTCGAAGGTAGGAAGACGTATTGTTACCATGCAATGTCCTCAAAGGCGGTCCTGAGCACCTCGGTTCTCGTCTTTTGCATCTCCGGTGCTCCGCTGCCGACGAGATCCAAAATCTCAATCACCCTGCGGATATCATGTTTCGCCGCCACCAGCAGCGGCTCTTCGATCGGCGCTTTGGTCTGCCGTTGATACGGTGAGTCTTCTTGTTGTTGGATTACGAGGAGGCGTGCCATCATGAGCTAAACAACTTCATTAGACGCTTTTCTCCATATCTTTGAGAGGGGAATCCATACCGCTTCTTCGAATGCGCGGTGTTGAAACACCCACCACACTCCCGCATCAATCCTCAAGTGCTCCCAGAGATCGAAGAATGAACGAATCGCATGCCTTGCCGACTCCAACGCTCCGCGAACGTCACATTTGACGCCACAAGCCTCGTTCTCGTCAGCCAGCAAGAGCATGACGCAGTGATAATAGTTACTGCGGAAAAACAACATCTGCTTCGCAAGACGCTGGTTTGATGCTACGAACTCTTCGGTGATTTCGTGCGACATGCTGGCTGGAATGTTGGCATGCAAAGACCGGAATGACGTGAGCAGATTGCTCTTCTCGCGAGGCGAGTTCGTCAACGGCCGGCTCAGCGATCTTGGTATGCAGATGTTGCGCTGCACCAGGTTTGCAAGCTTCCACATGGTGCGAATGTAGTCGCGGTCTGCCAGCTCGTGTGGGAGCAGGCTGGTCGGCGGCGGTGCGATGTTACTTATCCTCATTGGGTTCGGCAGTGATTCTGGTGTATTCCGGGCATTGCTTCCAGTCTCGTGTTCTCCTTCTGGTTCATCCGTCAAAGAGTCGACGTGCACGTCTGAAATCGTGGCCGTCGGTGGAAGCTTCAGCAAGACTGTGAGGAAAGTATCCTGGAACAACACCGCTTGCCACACCTTTCGCCGCTGCTGCTTTTCGAGTGCTGACGCTCGTGGCACGATGAGTTCGGGGTCCCGGTTGAGACCCATTGCGTATGCTTGACGCATCAGCACTCCTCCAAAAGACCATGCGTCCGACGCGTGGTTGTTGTTCATGAGGAAGTAGTTGATGAGCACCATTGCCTGGATCGTCCGGAGAGATATACGACTAAGGTATCCCGATATTCTAAGAGCCTGGTGCGCCGCCGACACGTAGAATTCGGCTATCTGGGCGCGCTCCTGCAAGTCGGGCATCTGGATGAACTGCGTTCCCATAGCGTACACGACGAAGTGCAGTCCCAGAAGAGCCGAGTCTGCCTGGCATTTGTCTTCGTGGGAAAGCGACCAGAAGCGCTCGTAATCGGCCTCAAATTTGGGTCGATGGATCATGGGGTATACGGGGTCAACAGCCTCGAAGTACTTTGCTACCAAGATGTCCGCCTGTTCTCTGCGGGGTAGCACGCCTATGACTTCTTGCAGGCCTCCACGCATGGTCCTGGAGGTGGGGGTCAGCGAAGCGCGGACAGGACGGGCAGGAGGAAGCGGTACCAGTAGTTTGAGAAGGGGTGCTCGGAGCCCAGACCAAAGACCAGAGACGGAGTGTGTTTGGTGTACGGCACATTGGACAGGAGCTGATGAACTGATGAGGACGTCGAGGAGGTCGACTGGCTGCGATACTGTTGCGGGCGGGGGCAACCCTGATGCTCATGCAGTTCGGTCAGCCCCAGCAGATCATTTGCCGGATGATGGGAGTAGATCCAGAAGCCATAATCCTGGTGCATGACAGCCTCGAAGGAGCGAAGCGTATAAGGAAATAGGAAATGGGAGAGCGGCCGGCTCGAGGCATGCTTGCAACACCCATGAGCACGTGATCACCTGGAGGCTTGGGCACACTGGGAGACGGCGCGCTGGGAGACAGTACAGAGCGGCGCAAGCTTACCTCTGACGAAGACGCCGAGGGCGTCACGACGCCCAGCTGGGCTTGTTCCATGGCCTTTTTGCGGGCCTTGCTGGTGGCACGGCCGCCATTGCGTCTTGGGGGGGAGCAGTCAGTGGGCGAGTCACGAAGCGAGGTCGAGGATAACCTACTCGGCGGAGGCGATGAGATTGGCGACTTCAGAATAGCGGCACTCGGACTGGCGCTTGATGCAGGCCAGACACTGGGGGCGGCCACGGTCGCACTGCAAAGACGTCAGCACGGGGGCGTGGCACTGGGGCGGCTGGCGGGGCGGACCTTGGTCTTGCGCTCGACGCAGCAGTCGCAGCTCAGGGTAGGTTTGTTGCGCTTCTGCTTCTTGCGCGAGGGTTGGTCGGCGGACTCGCCATTGTCGGGCGGCGACTCGGTCGGGGTCAGGTCAGGCTTGATGTCTGCTTGGTGTTGTTGCTGGTCCATCGCGTGGGGCGTGGGCTGCGGCGCGAGGTCAGCGGGAAGGGCGGCGGGTTGAGCCGCATCCGCCGACGTGGCCATGGCTCCTCCTGTCACCGTGAGGATCTCCGCGCGCGCTGCATGGGTGTGAGACTCTGGGGACAACAGCGCCTGGAGAGGGTCCGCCCGGGAATAAAAGCAAAGGGAGCGACGCAGCTGAGCGAGCGCGGAGGATCAGGCGCCACACCACTGCCTTAAGCACCTGGCCTCCCGGCCCTCCGTCCCCAACATCATTGGTCGCCAAAGCTCGCGCAGGATCAGCGCGGTCGGTGCTGCGGCTAGCGCCGCGACCCAGATCGATCCCGTCTGAGCTGATCCGCCATGCCCAGCAGTCTTGTGCAACTCGCCAGCTGCAGACCCGGCCTTTGGATAGACGGCGCCGCGGCGTCGGGAAGCTGCAGCTACCTATAGGCCTGCGGCGCCACACCACCGCCCCAGCCACAGCACGAATGTTGGAGTCGCTGACACGGCTCCACATCGCGTTTACGCACGCGGGCCCGTCACCGCTGCATGCGAAATTTTGCTTCATGCTCCTGCGACTCGTGTGCACCGCGACGTGATTGGGCGTCAAATTTTCACCCGTCGACGCACAGCCACGCCTACTCTTCATCCCCTATAGTAGCCAAATGCGGCGGCAACCCCACCCGTGGTTCTCACGTAAAAGGCTGAGACAATCATCGAGTCTCGACCGTTTTATGCGTGAACCTCACTCCGGATATGTAGAACCGACAGCAGCTGCGGACGAACCTCCGCTGTCATTGCGACGGAATATTGCAGGGGACGGCTCCTTTTCTCCAAACGTAGAAGCGCAGATCGGAGCCATATTCGCTGTCGACTGTTCCTTTGCCAATAAGACTTGCCGCGTGCAGGGGTCTGGACAAAGTCAATCGCCACATAACAAACAGCTGTCGACCCAATTGTCCTTCACGTGTATTGAAAATCTCGACGAAAGGCCAGCCGCGACGCAGGCAGTGCATGCTTCGGCCGACATGTGAGAAGAATGTCAGGCTTGTGTCAGGCCTATAATCGATAAGCTTTGCGCTAGTCCTTTTCGGGCGTTGCGCGTCATCTCAGAGCTCCAACTTCCGTCGCAAGCTGCGTTCAGCGCTCACTTTGGCAACACAACAACATCCCGTTGAGCTATTTCTGGGTGATTCAGCCTCTCAACCGACTAAAATATCATCCCGAGCTATCCCTCGCACTGCCATCACTTACATCAGCTCTACTTGGGGCCTGCAGCTCCGGCATCGCAGCTACCTAGGCATCCGCAGCTAGCCACCATGTACCCGACTACGCTCACCGCATTCCTCGCCCTCCTCTCATCCGCCGCCGCCATCCCCGCGACGACCTCCGATCCTCTCCCGCTGGTAATATGGCACGGACTGGGCGACAACTACCTGGCTGAGGGCCTTCGGGAGGTGGGCGAACTGGCCGAGAAGGTGCACCCGGGCACCTTCGTTTACAACGTACGCCTAGACAACGACGCCAGCAGCGACCGCACCGCCACCTTCTTCGGCAACGTGACGGTGCAGCTGGCCCAGGTGTGCGCCGACCTGGCCGCCCACCCCATCCTGTCGTCAGCCCCCGCCATCGACGCCCTCGGCTTCTCGCAGGGCGGCCAGTTCCTGCGCGGCTACGTCGAGCGCTGCAACAACCCGCCCGTGCGCAGCCTCGTCACCTTCGGCAGCCAGCATAACGGCATCGCAAAGTTTCAGGCCTGCGGCCCCACCGACTGGCTGTGCAAGGGCGCCATGGGCCTGCTTCGCTCCAGCGCATGGAGCTCCTTCGTCCAGAACCGCGTCGTGCCCGCCCAGTACTACCGCGAGATCAACGAGTCCACCGGCCTCGGCTCCGACAGCTACCTCGAGCACTCCAACTTCCTCGCCGATATCAACAACGAGCGCGAGCTCAAGAACCAGACGTACAAGAAGAACCTGTCCACCCTGGAGAAGTTTGTCATGTTCGTCTTCACTGAAGACACCACCGTGATACCCAAGGAGACGGGCTGGTTTTCCGAGGTCAATGCCACGTCGGAGGAAGTCACAAGGATCCAGGATAGGAAGATCTACAAGGAAGATTGGATTGGCCTGAAGCAGCTCGATGAGAAGGGTGCTTTGGTCTTTAAGAACATCACCGGCGAGCACATGCACTTGAACGAAGATGATCTGGAGGAGACTTTCCGCAAGTACTTCGGACCGTTACGCAAGAAGAAGTCGGTTCTCCAGGAGGTGTTGGGAGACTGGGAGCTATAGATAAGTAGAAACTTTGACAACTACATTACTAACTGACACAATCGTGATGGGAGGGTTAAACTATTCCGAATTCTTGTTACTGAGATTTTAAATCCTGCTTACGTTTCAGTTGAATTCGGCTTATGTGTACTCATTCTACGCCCGGATTTTCGCTTCAATCGCCCATGAATAAACAATGTAGCGTCGTTGGTGTGGCATAGAAAGGGCCAATTTCTAACGCCCTCTGTAACGTAAATTATAGTTGGTTAAGTGAATCTCGAAAGGAGAAAAAAACAAATAGCCAGTGTAACCATAAAGAAAAACACAAAAGAAGTTCGGTAGCTATGCCATTACTATGTGGGAGAGGAACTCAATCTTGATATCAGGGAAGAAAAAAAAAAGAGAGGGAAAATGGTGGAAATAGCGGACTTGTTGGGTTTGCTGGAGCATCATATCCTCATTGGCAACAACATAGTTTCCAAAAGCTCGAATTTGGCGAGGTCGAACCTCCACGGTGAGGCTGCGGCCTAGAATTCCTTGTTGCTGGTTGAGACTTAGGATTCCTTGTTGCTGGTTGAGGCTGAGGATCCTTTATTGCAGGTTGAGGCCCAGGGTCCTCTGTTGTGGGCAGGAGCCGGCGTAGATCATCCTTTGATAGTATCTTTTTTAGCACGTCTACAATAGATCGATTTATCTTTGTCATGGTCCCTCCGAAGTTGATGGTCCGATCGAATTCGAGAGTAGGATTTGCTCCATGCTTGAGTAGTAGTTCGATTACGATCGGGAGGTTTCTCGCACTAAATCGCCACCGTCTACTATGTCGACGGGGAGGACACCTATTGTCGCAATACATCAAGAACATCGCCCAGGGGGTCATTCCTTCAGGGATCGAAGGCAGGTTCGGGTTTGCACCAAGCTCCAAGAGTGTGCAAACCATTTCAGGGTCCAAAACCTCGTCAAAGAGCTCTGGAGTAGATGCAGTTCTGAAGGGTGGGCGTAGCGCATAGTCAAGATATGGCCTGCCAAACCTTTTGCCCTTATCCAGCAGGTCACGGCATCCGGACAGTTTTTGCTCGACATATAGTCTTTGTCCTGCTTGGATAGCAAGGCCTAGGAAATCACATTGATCTTTTTCGCTTACGTGCGGGTGAACGCATAGCTCGTTTAGGAGAACGTTCGTCCAGTGACTTCGAATATCATAGTTGCGTTGTGTGAAGTGTCTGTCCAGCTCGTCAAGAACATCGGTCTGTGCAACCCGATTGTGGACCTCCACCTCACGAGTGTAAAACAGCAGGTTTTCCACCGGTCGGAATGATGGTTCGTCTGCAGGGGATGTCTTGATCTCTGCAAGTAGGGACCTGCAAATCGAAGTTCGGGGGTCAAATCCCGGCGTCCTTTCTCGAAGCATAGCAGAAACTTCGCGTGAGTTCTCAAGAAATTCCTTGACGGTACGATGGAGAAATTGGACGGTGACATCGTAGCACGAATGCACATCCTCATGGTCCCGCTGACGCACCTCCAGGAGATCCTTTGAGCGTGCATGGAGCCGCCGTCTCATTCTCTCGTATAAATTCACGTCATCTCCAGGTAGATCAATATTTTGAGCCATCGCGTACTCGGCGTCCTGGGTCTCAACATCCAGAAAGTGGTAAGCCACGATTGATAGTGGCCTATGAGCCACCATCGCAGTCTGCAGAATCCTTGCTGATGTTGCTTGATACACCGGCTCTATCGATTCAATTGATCGCTTGAAGAGCTCCTCTAGTCCTTCCGGCAAGGCATAGATCCGTCGTTGAAGCTCGGCAGTTGTGTCTTGGCCCTCTAATCCCTTGAAAATGGATCTTACGACGAGATAAACCCATAAAAATACCCCTTGGGCCTTGGATGTGATTTGCGGGATGAGATCTACGCATTCCGGTGTTCTTATCTGAAGCCTTTTGAAATCTTCATTGCTTTCAAGCATATCCCGCACGTATATCTGCATGTCGATGATAGTAAGATCCTGCATACAAAGTTTCCGCCGGTTCTGAGAAAGCTCGTTCGAAACAAAAGGCCAGGGGCGCGAGGAGAGACAAAGCTTGATATCAGGCGATATGGAGACGTCTTTGAGAAGTTGAAGTAGGTCGTTGTGATCGCCGTTCTTGATACTCGATTCGAATTCGTCCAGGCCGTCCACGAAAAAGCAAACCCTGATAGGAAGCAGTTTTTGTTTCCCAAGTGCTCGGAATACTTCAGTAAGTTCGCGCAGGGTCCAGACGCTTTCACGCTCGCTGACTTTATTCCAACGATCTGAACATGCCATTGGAATCAGCTCGGGAGCTTGCTGAAAGACCTGAAATAGCAAAGAGCGCAGAAGCCCTTCTTGGGACTTTTGTTCCTGGTAGCCACTGTTCCAGAAGGAATACGACGCAATGATTACTCTTTCTTGGCCTGCCCATTGCTCGAGAGCTGTCTTTGTTTCCTGCCGACGGCACAGGAATTTCATGAACGTAGACTTTCCGGAGCCAGCTTTGCCTGTCACCCAGAAGATGCCGCCTTCAGTCTCGAGCCACTGCTTCAAGGGGATTATCTTGTCGTTGTATGCCCATTCAAAAGTCCTGGCGTGGGCAGGCTTTATCTCTTCGAATCGAACTTTGATTGTTGCGAAATGAAGGCTTCGGAGTATTGTTTGCTCTTTCGGCGCTCTCATTCCTGCTTCTCCGAACTCGGTCATCTTGACTGCGGTCAAGAAGAAGTCATTTTTTCCATTCTGTTTCCTCATTTGTCTTATCTCTTTAATGATCTCAGATCTTGTGCTGTCAAGAGCTTCTGCTGTGCGAATTCGGAGGTTCCTGCTTTCGTTGCAAACACCCATAATTGCCTTCGCAGTCTCTGATTGCTGATCACTTGAAACTGTTAGCATATCTTGGGATTGATTTTCTACTCTCTTGAAAGACCTACCTGAGCTGTTTCAAGAAATGGGTGTTGAGACTGTTCCTGAAAGAATCCAAGCGGGTGTGAAGTTCGTTGATTTGCTCCTGCTCCAGAGAGTTGCGCAATGCAATCCGTATAGATTTCAGTCTTAGATGACGAGTTCCCTTTGGGAGTTTGAGTGCTTGTATCACGTTCAACAGCTCGTTAGAGGTTCTGTGGCAGGCTGCTGCCAGCTCAACGAGACCATTGTCTGTTTGCAAGGCCTCTTTAGATGAATCGTGAGGAGATGCCAGTGGATCGGTGAGTTGTTTCAAGTCTAGCGTGATCAACTCCAGGTCGACATTCTCTTGGGCTGCACCATTTGCTGAACGGTAGATTTCTTTGCTCTCCTTGACAAGTTTTGTTGCGAATTCGATGAACTGTAAGATGTTGCCGGCGAAACTTATAGCTGCAAAAGGCTCCAACATTTTGCCATCTGAAGAGAGTGGAGGAAAAGAATTTCTTTCCTGACGGCAAGGCTGAATATAAGCCATCAATCACCCCGGCCAGCGGCTGTGCCCTGCTGCGCCCAGTTCGTGTAACGTCGATTTTACTGGCCGGTGCAGGACATGGTCACAGCTGGTGCCAAGAGGATTAAAAGTTCCCGCATCTACAGAGGGGTACTGCATCCGAAGGCTAGCGTTAATTTTTTTTTTTGCTCATTTCATAGGCGGTTGTAGCTATCGTCCGGACGTGCATGTAGAATTTTAAGACATATATTGTTATTCCAAAGGGGAAAAAAAAGAAGAGAAGAAATTGCTGAGGCATAGTTACGCCTGGGGCGTTACTATTCTTCACGCTAGCCTTCGGCTCTGTAAAGACCAATTAGAAGACCGTAGCTTACGTTCCCATCCACTGTCGCAAAGATAGCAAAACTATTTTAGGGCATGTATTGCAACGTCTTAACTCCAACTGGTCTCCTGGCGTAGGCACCAGAGCTATGACACTTTACCTCGGCACCGACTCGGCAGCCTTGCGCCCAGGGTCAGATCGATTGTGGGGTTCGGGAATGCACCACCAACCCCACACAGACTAACTCCCCTCCATCCGGGACCTCAATTATTAATCATCCAGATTACTCTTCTGAGCCCATATAACAACTAAGGTTGCTTTCCCAATCGGACCAGCTCCCAAGCAACATCTTCTTCAATTCCTCCAGCGCCTGGGCTCCCAACTCTCAACCGCCAATCGCACCCCACATTCCACACCAGCAAGAACCCCAAGGAAAAGAAAAGAAAAAAATAAAGACATCACAACAATGCCCACCGCCATCGCAATCCGCAAAATCGACGGCAAGCCCGGCTCCGTCTACTACCCACTGGAGAAAATCAGCGTGCCCGCCGCAACGCCGACGTCAGCGACGCACGTCACCCTGCGCATCTCGGCCGCGGCCCTCAACCACCGCGACCTCTTCATCCGGCAGCACCTGTACCCAGGCACGACCTTCGGCGTGCCGCTTCTGGCCGACGGCGTCGGCGTCGTTACAGCCACTGCCGCTGGCGCCGACGCGGGCACGCAGCGCTGGGTAGGCAAGCGCGCGCTGCTCAACCCGGGCACGGGGTGGAAGGCGGACCCGGCGGGGCCCGAGGACCCGCGCGGCTACGCGATTCTCGGCGGCACGAAGCTGAATCCCGTCGGCACGCTGTGCGAGGAGGTGTGCGTCGACGCGGGCGAGCTGGAGGAGGCGCCGGCGCACCTGAGCGACGTCGAGGCCGCGGCGCTGCCGCTGACGGGCCTGACGGCGTGGCGGGCCGTCGTGACCAAGGCGGGCAGGGAGAATGTGGGCGCCGGGAAGAACGTGCTTGTGACGGGGATCGGCGGGGGTGTGGCGTTGATGGCGTTGCAGTTTGCGAGCGCGCTGGGCGCCAGGGTGTTCGTGACCAGCGGGAGCGAGGAGAAGCTCGAGAAGGCGAAGAAGTTGGGGGCGGCGGGCGGTGTGAACTACAAGGAGGAAGGGTGGGAGAAGAAGCTGCAGGGGTTGGTCGGGCAGGGTGGGAAACTGGATGCGATTATTGATGGTGCGGGTGGCGATGTCGTGGAGAAGGGAGCGAAGTTGCTGAAGGTGAGTGATTCTTGAACATCAAGAAGCAGCTGCTGATGAGACTTAACAGAACGGTGGCGTCATCGTGTCCTACGGCATGACCCTCGGCCCCAAGATGCCCTTCCTCATGAGCGCTGTCCTCAAGAACATCGAGCTCAAGGGCTCAACCATGGGCTCTCGTCTTGAGTTCAAGCAGATGGTCGACTTCGTCAAGGAGAAGAAACTCAAGCCCGTCATTTCGCGTGTTGTATCCGGCATCGATAACATTGAGGGTATTGATGGACTGTTTGACGACATGAAGAAGGGTAGTCAGTTTGGAAAGCTGGTCATCGAGATTGCCAAGGATGGTGAGAGTAGTAAGTTGTAATTGCGACGGGGAGATTTCCTACATATACTCATGACGTATGATAGAATAAACACCAATGGAGAATAATAGACGATGGAGGAATAATTCGGATGTGCTGATACTCAATGTCTCCAAGAGTCAACCTTGCTCCTAAAGGCGTAGATATCGGCCAGAACCACCCGTGTTGAATTTCGAAAGCTTTCAGGGGAACGACATCACTTACAGCCGCACAAAATATTAGTTGGAGAGTTGTCAGTGGCGATAAAGTTTTTGGGGTAAATTCGACGGGAAAGTCGTCTGTGAAAACGACTCGGAGGAGATGTTGTCGTCACCCATAAATTATCTTGAATAGTCATCCCCATTTCATTACATCCTACCCCACAACAGAATCTACAATCCACCCAGGAGCTCCGCCAAGGTGATCGGTTTGCGAACAGCCTTCGAAAACCCTTCATGATAGCTCACCCACACATCCTCCTCCTCGGCCTTCTCTCTCGCCTTCCTTCTCTTCTCTTTCTCCACAGGCGTCAGTGGCACCGCCTCCGCGATCGTTCTACCGAAGAAATCTTTCTTGACAACGATCTTCTCTTCTGCTGCAGCAGCAACCTCTCTGACGTCTACCTCTTCACCTAGCGTCCCGGCGTCTAGTTCCATAGCTCCGCCTCTCCGTTTCCTAGCTTCTGCCTCGAGCCTGAGACTCTCTTTCCTGAACTCCACATCCATGATCTGACGCACGGCGTACCGCACCTTCTCATCCTTGCCGCCCTCACTGCTCATCGTTTCATACCTGCCCAAAGAATCTAGCGGGGGCTCCATGCGGAAGATCCATCCGCCATGCCCGGTTTGTCGCGCATCCATGCCAAAGTCGACTCGACTCTTCTCGAACCGCACACCGACGGCCGCCATGGCGTTGACAGCCCGCATGACAAGCGCCTTTTCGGACGCTTTCCGTACTGAAGCCGTCGCCGACGGTTTCGACTTGTCCGCACCTGCAGCCGCCGTGGATGTATTGATGATGACGGGCTTGACATCAGGTGAGAGCATCCGAAGCACATACGGGATGAGCTCAGTCGAAACCTCCGCGGGAGAGCGATATAGCCGGGCTAGAGGAAGGGAGAGGCCGGACTGCAGGCTCGTCAAAGACGAAAGGTTGGCTCGCGTCTGCTCAGTCGCTCGGTATGGCGCACTGGGTCCAGAAAATGGCGTAGGTTCAGTCTCGGGCTCCATGGCATTTTCTGCGGCACCACGACCTTTCCTGAATGTAGAAGTATTTCCAAGCGATGGCCGGATTGAAGATGCGAAAAGACCATGGAAGGCAAGAACCGGAAGAGAAAGGTACTTCGCCAATTCCCATTCTTGCCCAGTATGTACCGAATTAGAAATGGAGTCGTGGAAGTGCAACCATTCGTATGCACTATTAGGTTTGCTGAGAAATGTATCATCTTGAAACGGCTGCTCTGCGTAAGCGGTGAAGCAGTCTACCATGGGAGTTAGTGACGATCATACAGGAGTACTTCTAGAGTCTTACCTGTAACAATGCGGTCAGTGTCGCCAGCGGTGTTCACCATTTCTCTCAGTCGCTCCATTGCGAACCGTTTGGTTGCTTCCGCGATACCGATCGGTCTGGTGCTTTGAATGTCAGCAGCCTCTGCTTGTGCCGCGGCGACCGATTTGGGAAACCCGGCGCCCTCCTTGAACACCCGCTCGACGATCTCTTTGGCACCTCCTCGGCCGAGACCCCTCGCGGCCCCCTCGCCCTGAGAAAGATCGTTGAGGACGTTGTCTTCGATCCATTTTCGGGTAAGCCGCCCATCGCCATTTGTCTCAGCCAAAAGCTTCCGAGCCACCCATTCTCCGACTACCATGACCCCGCGAACATCACCTTCTCCGGTGCCTCCACCCCCACCGTCCTTACGGCTACTAATACCCCATGTTGCTTCACACAGACGTCGAACGCCGTCAGCGTCGGCCGGTATACCTTCTTTCTGGAAGATGGAATGTAATCGGGGTACAACCATGTTCACCGGCGGCTTACGAATGTGTATGATCTCCGCTATCGAAGCTTGGCGAAGCGGGCGCAGCGATGGGTGATAGACATCGTTGCAAATCAGAATGAGCGGTCTCAGAAGGCGAAATTTGTCAACCTTCTTTCGTGTCCCATGTGAGGGAACGTTTTCTTTCGGCCCGGAGTTTTTCTGGTCCAGGTGGACAAGATCGATGAGAGCTTTGATAAAGCCGCCCTCACCTCCCGCACCGCCGCCAACTACGCCATCCACCTCATCGACCACAACACAGACTGGTTTTCCAGCCTTTCGGACCTTTGAGCCAGTCGCAGTCTGGGCGTCTATACCGCGGACGTTTTCCGTGCCGACCATATCCTTGATACGTCCCCTAACAATATCTTTGCTTCTTTCATCGCTGGCGTTGATCTCTTGAACTTCATATCCCGCCTGGCGTGCGCACACATGCGCCAGGGTCGTCTTGCCGAGGCCCGGAGGTCCAGTCAGGAGGAGGATTTTACGATGTGCATATTCGTCTTCGGTGCCAGCCTGATCGGAAAATCTGCCCGACTTTTGTCTCGGACGACTGGAGCCGGGGAAAACTATCGGGTCCCAAGCTTTCAGCCACTTTAAGACCTGCCGATGCGTTCTCTCGTCACCGACAAGGTCAGTGAACTTTCTTGCACGGTATTTCTCCGTCCACAAAAGGCTGCGCTTGCGACTTTTCCCTCCCGAGGGATCCTCCACCGTCTGTACGGGTCCGTCCAGGTCCATGTTTTCGCGCCGTGCATTATCCTCCACCACTGCTCGGTTCGCCTCGTCCATCAGAGCATGTATGTCAATCCCATAGTAGTTTTTCCTTGCCCTACCGGGCTCCGCATTGGACCGAGATGCAATAAGTTGTTCATACGGAACGGCGGGTGTCGGACGCCGCGTAGCGACATTGAAGCCCTCGCCGGAGCACGTCCTAAGAGTAAACATTGTCTTCTCACGGGTTCTGGAGACAACTATCGGCTGCGAAAGCGGTAGGTCCGTCTCGGTGGAGGCATCCTCGCTCAGTATGTTGCGAAGCGCTTGCTCGGTAGAAGCTGATCCAGGTGTGTCGAGCGCTGAAGCCTTCCGTTTGTTGTGCGCCGCATTAAACGCCGCAAAATCGTCGTCGTCGTCAGAATCATCCTGGAAAAGCCCGTTCGCACCAACGTTCTCTTTCTCGGCAGACTCATCGTAAAACGCGCCGCTGTAACCGTCGGTTCTTCGCCTTTTCCGCGGCGAGTCTGTGGGCCCAGAGCCCTGTGGGTATGACGGTGGAGACGACAGAAACGGCATGGCGGACAGTGGAGGCGATGAGGGCGGAATGCGTGGACTCGAGGTTGCTGCGATGGAGAATGAAATGTGTTGCAGTGGTTGCTGCTTCTTGATGGGTGTTTCTGCACACCGTCAGACAGGAATTCCTTGCAGCGAAGACCAGGAGAACGAGAGCTCGCACCGGGCTCGTGATCTTCGTCGGTGCGAAAGACGTCGGGCACCCTCCAAGCGCGGTGTTGGATAACGATTCCCTGGCGTGTTTTCGCTTCGGTGGTTTCACGGGTTTGAAGGTGCAGTGCTTCGAGCTCGTCGGTATGCGAGCTGTCCGGCAGATCGGGCACTTCGGAGTGCAAGAGGAGGGCTGGGTCGAAGGAGGAGGGAAATTCTGGAAGCTCTGGCGGGCCCATTGGCCGATGTGAAGAGCGCCGTGTTGCGCGGATGCTTTTGTGGAGAGTAACTGGAGACGCGTCGCGCGCGGACGCGACCGCGACGGACCGGTGGCCCGTTCGCCGATCGCAGCGGCCAGGGCCCCAGCCAACCACGCCGCTGCCGTCAGCCTGTTTCCCTGCTTCACAAGGCGCCCATTCGAGTCGCGCGCTGCAACGCCATGCGCCTGCGCCGCCAAGTCTGCGCAGCCCATGTTTCGCATCGCGTTCGCGCCTTCAAGCCGGTCGCATGCACTGGGCCGAGAGCCCCAGCGTCGTCTTCGTCCGCGACTTCGCCTACCCGTGTCCGCAGCGCCGCCGCTTGCGCACCATGACCTCCGCCGGCGACGTCGCTAACACGCCAGCCCACGTCTACGCAGAGTACGTCCTTGATCCATCGCTGCCCGACAGCAGCCTTCCTGCCCCTGTCGCTCAGCCCGATGGCGATGATGCCCCGCCACGGCCACGGCCCGCCCTGCCCTACCGCATCAATTCGCACCGTCTGCGCGTGCAAGCCCATGCTAAGAATGAGCGCGCCAGGCTCCTCTCCGGCCCGCTTGTCGAAGTCGTGGTCGGCGCCGGTGACGGCAAACGTCAATGGTCCATCCATCGCAACCTGCTGTCCTACCACTCTGACTACCTCGCTTCCGAACTGCAGACCGACGACGCCACCAAGAATCGGACCGGGAACAAGCTGGAGCTGTCCGAGGACGACCCCAAGGGCTTCGAGTTGTTTGTCAAGTGGCTCTACCAGGGCAAGCTGGACGACGTAAGCAATGTGTCCGGTGCTGAGAGCAAGTACGACTACGCCGTTGCTTGCCACAGGCTGTTCATGCTCTGCGAGCGTTTCGATATGCCTCACCTGAAGAACATGGCCATCGACCAGTACCGAAAGGGCCTGAACGAGGCCCGACTGGTGCCAGACGCGGACGAGATCAACGAAATTTATCGAAACAGTCCAAAAGGCTCGCCGTTTCGCGACCTGATGACTCGCATCGCTGCCCGCCAGATCATGGATCCGGACAGTGACAGAGATGCCGAAGGATATCGTCATTGCTTTGCCGCCAGCCCCGATTTTGCTGTGGATCTTGTTAATGCCATCAAATCAGGCTCCGGCGGCTTCTTGTTCGATGATCCCACCGATGGTGATGATTGCCTGTATCACGACCATGAGCATGGACCCAATTGTTACACCAAAGGGAAAGGTAAAGAAGGTAACTACAAGTTCATTTGAACCCGTGGTATCCTCGTCCCCGTGTTGCAACACCTTCCATTCACGCCTGGTGGTTTGGACGACTCCCTAGGATAGATTCGACCGTGGCTTTCCGCACTTCCGATGTTCCTATGGGAGTCTCCCATGCCTATGGGCAGGTGGTCTATTGCAACGCAGCGGAAATCACACATGTGTCATTGGTGGGCTCCCGCGCGGCAGATGGTAACAGATCAATAACTACTAGTTCAGGCGCAGATTGGGCGACTGAAAAGTCCCGCTTGCGACCCGACTCGCCACCCTCACCCCCCAGAACACCGCCAGAAGACCCCTTCAAAACCAATCATAACCAGTCAACCACCCCGCGAAAGTCCGGCTTTCCGCCTAAAATTTCTGAACTCAATGCCGCAAATGGTATCACCGGTGCCAACAACAGCATTGGAAACCGTGTCGGCGACGTGGATGCGGGAGATACCCCGATCTCACCCGTCGGCACCAAATCAGGACAGTCAGAGTCCGCATTCGGGCCTGAGTCCACAGTCGGAACTGAGTCTCCTGGACGAGGAAGTCCAAAACGGCATCCACCGAAGCTTAGGCGGAGGGGCTCTACCTCTATCCGACATTCCCAATCACCGGGGGATATATGAGCCTGAAAGGAGCGAAGTTGGAATTGCATGACTGCATTGGTCAAAGGTTGAGCTGGACGAAACCTGGTGTATTCCCCTGAGCAACGTCTTCTTTTGGAGTTAAGGCAGAGAGCATCAGCATACCCTGGGCTGACAGCTTTACGCGAAAGTACACAGTAACGGCAATTGGGACGGAATGTTTGTGAAAATAATAAACATAATCGATCATTTGCGAAAGACTAAGTCGACGTTTGAACATAAGTAGACAACAGTGGTCGCATCGGTGTGATATTGTCTCGAATATCGTGACATCCTGTTGGGATAAGAACATGAAGAAGTATTCCAGAGGCCTTACGCCATAACCAGTTTTCCGTTCTTTTTCCCACTTTATCATCAATTGAGAATTAAAATTCTCTATAGCTTGCTTGCATTTCACAAAGGAGCTAACCTCCTGGAAGACAGGAAGGCGTTTTATTAACCTAGTGTGCTTGAGGTTCTTTCTTGCCTTAGCAGCCCCGAGTGAGTGAAAACAGGAGTTGTCTATTCCCTAACATCTCAAACAGTAACCACAGAGCAAAACCTGTTGCTCTCCCTGAAACTTTACAAAAAAAAAAAAAGCACAAACAACTCGGCAGCCTGATTCATCCGTCACATGCAGTCCTTATTCTTCGTCCCTCTCTTCGCTATCCTCTTCCTCATCGCCGTCATCCTCATCTTGCTGATTCTCCTCATCTTCGTCATCTTCTTCCTCATTCTCATCGTCTTCGTCATCTTCATCGTCGTCATATACTGGTGCTTTCTTGAATGGCGATGGTCTCTTAATTTTGGCAGACGATGATTTCGAGCTCTTTGCAGAAAGGGCGTTTCTTCCGCTATCAGCTACCTGGGGTCGCCGTGTAGCTCGTCCAGTTGGGGTAGGGGTAATGTTGACATCTCTGTCCACCGCCCGGACATGCTCTTGATGAGCCCTTTCGTCCGGATCCAGCCCATCCAGATCACGCAAATACTTGAAGTATTGCTGCGCAGCTTTGTCGACTTCTTCAAAGTGCCTCTTCAACAGCTTTGCTGAGCGATAAGCTTTCTTCTTTTCCAGTTCGGCGGGGTTTTTGCCTTGATCGTTGGCAGCCTTCCGGATTCGCTCCTTCCGTTCATATAGAGCCAATGCGATAGCGGTCTGGAAGGCGTTCCTGATTTGTCGACCGTTCCATATCTTCTTGTCGGGGTTCGTCTGGGACTCCTCGAAATGATTTTCGGCGAATCTGAGAAGAACATCCTCCGTGAATGTAATCTCCACATAGTCCTCATTTTGCTGCGCTCTGTTCTCCTCGTTCTCTCTCTGGATTTTCCGAAGCGAGTTCTCCCATATCTTTCTTGTTGACTCCTTCGTGAGATGCGGGTAGTAGAGTTGCACATGGATGCGGGACCGGAATGCCTCATCGAGAGTACCAACGCGATTCGTTGTCAAGAACAAGATGCCTGAATAGTATTCCAGGGTTCTGAGGAACACTTTGAGCAAGGAGTCAGCTTGCTAGTAGGAAATAAGGTAGTGTACTAAACATGCACACGGGGAGTTCTGCATTGAAATGCGTCTTACCGGAAACAAGGGCGTTTCGAGCAACGTCTCCAACCCGGTCTCTTTCGGCGAGAAAGACGTCCGCTTCGTCAAGTAGAAGTACACAGCCCCATTTATGAGCCAGCTTGAAATGTCGCTCGAGATTCTTCTCAACATCGCTGGCGACCTGTCCAATGTCTCCGCAAGTGATTGGATAGAGAGGGCGGCCGGTGTATTCTGCAACAGTCTCCGCTGTCGATGTTTTACCGACGCCTGGAACACCATGCAAAAGAATGACAAGGCCTTTGCCCTTTCCCTTCACGAGGTCCATTGATGAAGCCACGTCAGGAGCCTCGAGAGAATTGTTTTTCTTCTTCTTCATTTTGATCGACCCCGACTGGTGGCTCTCCACAAGTGCGAGCACAAGTCTCTTGTGGTCCTCTTTTATGACGAGTTCATCGAAAGGGCTTACCTTTTTCAGATTGCCGGTATCCACCTTTCTGAGGTTGTCCATATTAAAAAGATCTGACCATGATGTGTTAGCCTCAGCATGGCCACAACGGATGACGAAAACAAGCATGACATACGCCATTCACGCGTTCGGAAAAAATATCCCAGCACCTCTCTTGGGGTCAATCTGCCGAACAAATTTCTATTCCCCCTTCTCCCTAGCTCGTCTTCGAAATCATCGATGTGGACGGGCTTTAATGCATGCTCCGCGTGATACTCGTCATAGCGCTTGTGGTCGTACTTGTTGTCGTCGAAGTTGTTAGTACATAACATGCAGAATTCGCTCGAGCATTTCTCCTCTCCCGCTTCCCAGACTTCACTATCTTCCCCTGAACTCCATTTGAGATTTCCAATGTCGAGAGCCTTAGGGTCCACTTCGTCGCTCATGCTGTATCCCGTTCGGAAGTCGATCTGTACTTCACCGTGGATGTGTTCCGCATCTTCGCCGACAGTCATGCCATCGTGGAGCATGTGTGCTGGTCGCTCGACGAGTGAGATGAACTTTTCGCCTCTTTTTTCGATTTCTCGAAACTTGTCCTTTTGTCTCGGATCGAACCGTGCTGGATAGAAATCAAGATTCGTGATCATCTTCTCCCCCTCATAGTATTTGATGACGGACTTGTCGATCGTTTGAGCTCCGATGTAGGTACCATCGAAATCCACATAGTGTATGTCGAGCTTGAATGGGCTAACTGTCACGCCCATTGCCCCCATTGACATTTCTTCTGCTTTCCGCACATCACTTTCGGCCGTGGAGGACTTGTCGTGTACCTGAGTGCTGGCCTTGGTCGTTCGGCCGCTCAGAACCTTCCGCCCACCCGTAACCTTGTGGACACAAAATGCGCGGGGGTAGGAGAAATCATCGTTGCCCTTGCCGGGTCTAATTGATGAGAAGATGATATCGCCAGGGCTGAAAAGATACCACAGATTGTCGAAAGATATCTTCTCCAGCGTTCCATCAGCAATCTTCTGCGTCAGCTCCAGTATGCTCTTCAGATCTCCATCAATGAAGTTTATGAGGCAGCTGAGGTGATCGACTAGTCTTTTCGCTTTCTTTTGTTTTGTCTCTTTCTCATCCTCGTCCGACGTCTTAGGCCCCACCTTTGGCGGTGTTGTTACTTGCTCTTCGATCTTGCTGAGCTCTTTCTGCCTAACATCAAGTTGTGTCTTGATTTTATCTCTCTCGGAAACGAGAACCTTGAACGGCGGGACCATGATGCACGGCGTCTTGGAAAGTGAGAGGCCAGTGATGGATCCAAGCTCTTCTACGAGAACTTGTGAATTGATCTGGACTCTTTCGACTTTCTCTCTCATATCATGCTCCCCTTCTGTTGTGGAATCATCTGCTCTTGAAGCGTTGGAGTTCGACACCTTCTTCGAATAGACAACGAGAACGTTGGTCTTGCTGATGTCTGTCCGTTTAAAGAACGCGGGGCCAGGTTGCCATTGATCAAAGGGTAGTCGTTTGATTTCTGAACTCAGCTCCTCGTTTTCTTTATCCGAATCGGTAGTGCTAATGGACGGTCAGGTATCTACCCGATACTTTCAGAGAGTGAAGCACGTACGAGTCACTCGCTTCTGATTTTTTCAGCCGGGCCTTCACTTCCGCGAGCTCTTTCTCAAGATCATTTATTTTCGCGAGCACACCCTTCAGGGGAAGCTCTGTGTTGGTATTGGGTGATTCATCTTTGGTAGCTGACGTTTTGGCATCAGTGGTTGAAGTTGTCTGCTGTGGCTTCTCTTTCGCAATCTCGGCATTGTTGCTGTCTGATGCCGTTTCACCTCCGGTATTTTTTTGCGCATCCAGGTTGAGCAAGCTCTGATCTGGCTGTTCAGACATTGTCGCTTCGGTCACAGCGACTTGAGTAAGGTCCTTCTTGAGGCTGGGCGTCACGGTCGGGGCCGAATCGACGGTGGGGGCGGTAAGCACCGGCCCGCGTTCATCATCCATTGTGCTTGATAGAATAAGTTGGATTGCTGGTTTGAACTTCACAGGTTCTTAGCGTCATAGTTATAAGTCGAGAATATAATCTTATCCCGCAAGAGCTGGGTTATAAGCCACGTGAGGTTGCATTGTTCCACACTGGACCACATAAAACGGAAGCCACGAAACACAATACCCCTCAATTTGTGATAGGAATTGGTTTGCCGCTGTGGATTTCTAAAGATTGAAGATGGCCCAATCCACATCTAAGACGAGCTGCAAGGTAACTTATCTGGAAATGTGGCTTAACAAATGGCTTGCAATGAACATTTGAACTGCCTATTCCAGGATGGACAATATGGGGCCAAAATTTCAGCCTCGCTGGTGATGCACATAAGCACAGATACTTGCCAATCACGTCCACTGTTGCCTGAAACTTGTACGACGCGTCATCAGCCTCCTCTTCTCAATAGGGCGAAATCCCGCAGTTCATCGGCTGATTCCAACAATGTAACCCTTCGGCCCCGGGAGCTTGCCGCAACCCTCCTTCTCCCCCTTCTCTTGACTGCGGAGACGCAGATAATCCGACTTGCAGCTGATATTCCAGACCCACAAGACTCTTTACGTTTCAGAGCGTCGGAGATCCTCACCAGCCTATCCATATTCGTGGGGGCGCTGTGATCCTGCCTTATCTCAAACGCAATTGACTCTGCACATACATACATTTCTTGTGGGGGCTAATAAGCCCTTACCCCGCCTTGTCATAAGCAATTCACTCTGCGCACACATTTCTACAGCGAATACAGCTTGACGCGCATGCACGATGGACGACACAGTCATAACAAGACAGCCGCAAGAGATTTCAGAGGCGCTTCAGTGGCCTCTGAAACCGGTTCGTCGAAACTCCAAATGGGATGTAGTTCTTGAATTTGTACGGACTCGCTTGGACGGGTCGATAAACCCCGCTTTCAACACCACCAAAGATGTGGCTGCTATGTTCACAACGGGCCCGGACGAGGTTGGTGTTGCTATACAAACAAGTCAACTCAGAGGGTAGGGCAAAGTCTTGAACAGTCATGCAAGCCGTAGCGTTAAAGAACTCATAGGGGCGTCTCGAACATGCGCAATTCAGCAGCGGCTTTGTAAGGGCACCTGGACTCCTTGACCATATGTCGACTATATCATCTGAAAGAATCGTCTTTGCTGATAAATAGAAGAACGCAGGATGATATGACAGAGCTATACTCTGTATGCGTGGCCGCTCAAAAACGATTGGAAGACACCATCAAGAAGTTCCGGCTGGGCGACGGCAAGTCAGCAATCTCGATTGATATGACCAAGACGCACAGGCTAGACCAGGTGCATGATGCGCTCAAACAAGCCTCGGATGTTGTCGTTGAAGCTGGCCAGGCTTATACGGATGTCACAAGCAAGGACTTTTGGGGTCGTATCCGCGAAGGTTTCCGGAAGTTCAGTGAGAAGTCCGGGAATGCGAAATGCTTCGTTGAACTTATACCGCAAGCCGACTCATACCTATCAGTTCTCACAGGTGGACTGAAACTTATCTGCACGGTAAGTGAATCCTCCTGGCCGCGCCAGATAGTTTGAAGCTGGGTTAAATCATAATCTCGCTGTCGATGTCATCCATCCCCCTTGCATTCTTGCTACAACAACACTAACTGTAGTTATGGAACAGGCCGCAAGCCGATTGGGGAAAGTTCGAGTCATTATTACTGAGGCTCTTGAAGATATTCCTACCATTCTCAACGATCAAGGGTTCATCGCTGAAGCCCTCGACGGGAGAATGTGCAGCAAGGTCCTCCACGAGAGAAATGCAGCTTTATCAGCTGCTGTTCTCAACGCCGTGGAGGCCATTATCATATGGTTCCGAGAGCACCCGACCAGTGCGTATATTCCAGAATTCCGCTTAGATCGTCAATTCCCGAGGCTAAAATACTGCACAGAGAAGACCCTTCGTTCCCTCGGATCACCGGACACTGCGTACGAGAATCGCGTAGTCAAACAGATTGAAGTTGTTAGAAAAAGGGCAGAAGACTTCAAGAGTTATGCAAACATTTCGATGCAAACTCTCTCGCTTCAAAACCACGACCATATTAGCTCACTGATGAAGGAAATGCACAGAGATGGTATGCAACTATTAAGCACTGTGGCTTTATACTCTAATACTTGACAGGGAACAATCGCATAAACTGCCTTCACGCTGAGTTTAATGCCCATACCCAGAGGACCAACATGCAGTTCGCATCGCAGAATGAACAATTGCATACAGTACTCAGCCTTTGTGAGCTTCTATACCAAGACTTGTATGTCAAACGTCAAGAACAGTCAATTTGTAAGTGCGCTTTATGTAGACTTTAACGCCGAACAGTTGCCTGACTCAACCTACAGTCCCGCAAAGACCCGTGAAGCCCGCACTGGAGGGACAGCAGCATGACACACCACTACTCCTTCCTGAGGACCTTATCACGGAGTACGCGTATGACCCATACCTTGTCGGCGAGGACTGCGAAAGGCTTCTGGGTCTCCAACACACCCTGAGAATTGCGGATCAAGACCGGGCGGTCGCCTTAATGCAGGACCCGGCATTCGTGGCTTGGCTCTCACTCCATGAGTCCTCCGCTATCCTGATCCACGGAAACTCGAAGGCAACCCCCAAATCAGCCACCAGCTTCGTGTGCGCGAAACTCGTCGAGTCTCTCTTCATCAAGGCTTTGACCCGGGAGTCCACCACCATCCCGCTGGCCTTCTTCTGCGGCGAACACACCAACGAGAGGACAGACGATTACGCCCATCCTCCAGGCCTGGCACTGAGTCTGCTTCTTCAGCTCATCGACAAAATGGCAGCGCACACGCCAATAAACCCAGAACCCCTACAAAAAGCCATCCGTGACCTGGATGCGGAGAATGGGGTTACTATACTGAATCTGTTTGTCAGGATCGTCGCGCAGCTACCGCCTGAGGCCACTCTGTTCGTCGTCATTGATGGTGTTGGGTTTTTCGAAGACAGCAATCGCAGAGAGGAGATGAAGTGTCTTGCCAGGAAGCTCGCCCGACTGGTGAAGAAGAAGCATCATCCGGTGGTCAAACTACTCATGGCGACACCTGCGGCTACAATAGATGTCAGTGCTCAGTTCAGGTCTAATGATGCACAGGTTCTCGACATGCGACGGACGTATCCGGGACGTAACGGGTTCAAGGCACTCGGTTGGCTTACAGCGGAGCAAAGATTAGCTGAAATCGGTGATGTGGAGGAAGTGGAAAGTTACTAGTATTTGTCACGACTGTACCAACTGGGTAGGACGTGTTGCACTGTATGCTATAGCAACTTTACAGTTAGCTTAGTCAGCTAAGCAGGGTCTATAGTTAGCCACCCTCTCAGTCTTTATACCACTCATCCAGTGCATCTAGTGCCATTGATCTTTTATCATGAATTGCAACACTAGTTTACGATACCTTCTAAGCATCGGCAAACAGGCACAAGACCTGGATAATCCTCACACAAACCACATTTCAGTATCGCGACGCTGGGGGTTGCTCCATCCTACTGGTGCCGGAGGCAAGACTTGAACAACGGATCGATTAAAACGCTGGCTCCAGTGTTCGAGCGGTGCTTCGAACACAAGGACTCAACGTTCACGATAATGTATTTGTGCATACACTTCTGCGACAAACCAAGAATATCATGATGAGCAAGCCCGAGGTCCAGATAGAGGTTTTGGTGTCTTCCGTGCTATCCATCGAAGAGCCACATTGTGAACTCACTGCCTCGTGAGCACGATATCATACGGCGGATAATGCAGCTCAACACCTTGGTCCGTCTCGACAAGCACGATCTTGCTCAGTGGCCATCCATTGTTATCGGTATATCTGGTTTACGACAGCATGTCAGCGGCAGTCTTTAGAAGGGGTTCGGTTCGTTGCTTCTGCCTCCCCGAAAGAAAAGAAAAAAAAAAGAACATGTCAAAGAAGACCATCTGCAACAAAACGAGAAACAACAAAACTCACCCATCAAAGTCAAACCAATCACACGTATCCAACTCCGGAATGATCCGCCAAACCTGCGCGCCCGCGCCAAACTCCGCCGCCTCGCCCGCGCCCTCGGCCGGATTCAAGCCCACGCCGGCCGGCGTCGAGAAGAAGCGAGACTGGCTCTCCGGCGTCCACCCCAGCCGGTCCAAGCCCTCCCACGCGCTGGTCCCATTGACCTGCAACTCGCGCACGAACAGCGCGCCGCCCTCGACCTCCAGGCGTGCGAATGACTGCTCTTCCTCGCCGCTCGCGTTCGCGGTTACGTTGCTGCTGCTGCTGCTGTTACTGCTATCGCCGACCTCTTCCGCGATGGCACCACCATCACGCGCGTGGCCGTACCGGCCCGCGTACCGCTGCGCTAGGCTGCTCGCCGCCGCCTCGGCGAAGGCCGGGAGCAGAATGGCGTGCACGCGGTCGCGGACGAGCGTCGGGCTGACGCGCACGTAGGTGGCGTCCGCGGGCTGGCTCTCCTGCGCGAGCACGACGATGCCGTAGCCGAGGGCGGGCACGACGTCGAGCCAGCTGTGGAAGCCGCCCGCGTCGCCCGACTTGCCGTAGACGGTGTACGTCTTGGTTTGGTTCGAAGGAGGGCCAGAGGGGCCGGTGGTCACCGAGATCTCCCACCCGAAGCCGACCTGCTGCTTGCCGTCCGGGAGAGTGAGGCGCGGCTGCAGGGAGACGCGGCGCTGGGTCGGGGTGATGAGTTGCGGGGTGGGGGAGAGCCAGACGTTGTAGAGGTACTTGGATAGGTCGTTTGCAGAGCTCTGGATATATGTTGGTTAGTGCTCCGGGACTTTAAATTTAATTAAGTCAGACTCACCCACATGCCGCCAGCTGGGTCATAGCCGGGGCCGATCACTAAGTCCACCCAGTTGGGGCCACCAGGGACACCAACATTTGGAAGCAACTCTTCCGGAATGGCACCAAAAAACGAGTGTGTCATGTTAAGGTTTTCAAGAATACTTTTTGTGGCGTACTCTGACCAAGTATAGTTTGTGTCCGCAAGCAGGTTGTAATAATTGGCCACGGCATCTGCCCAGCGGAAGTCAGCTAGCATACGAACAACTAGTCTCTTTTCCCACACTTACAACCGAGGATACAAACGCCGGCATTCGAATCTGTACAAATGTTAAACATATGTACTAGTTTGTGACAAAAGAAATAGCTTACATGCAGCTCGCTGTCCTGGAGCAAACATCAAATTGCGTTGCTTAATGGACTCGATGACTTGACTGGGGGTTATTTCCGCCCAATCAGGACCAATAGTCTCCGCATCGGCCTTAGCAAGCCCCCTCACCATGTTGAAGTCTGTGAGGTAGCCTTCTCGAGGCAGGCCTGAGCTGTGGGTTGCAAGCATTGACAAAGTGATTTCACTGCCACCGTTCTGCCAGTCCTTCTCCGGTAACCCAAACTCTGGAAGCGCCTGCCGAACAGGCGAGTTGGGGCTTAAGGCAGGGAGAGCGGCGTTAGCCTTGCTTTCATTCTCGACAATCAAGGCTGATAAGGCAGCTATGTTCTTTGATATCGAGGCAACCCGGAAGATCGAGTCACTGTCAACCAGAATGCTGCTGTTGGCAGATGTCTCATTCATCTTAAGCGCCCCATGATTGAAGGTAAAGGCTTTTTCGGGACTGGAAGCATGGACCTGGTACGCACTGTCAAGACGAGCACTGTGAGGTGTCCAGAAGAGTGGGAAGACTAGGCGATTGGCTGATGGACTGCTGGAGGTGGCTCACAATGGCAAAGCTGAAGCCGTCGCGTGTACTACCGGTGAATAGGCTTGAAAGGTTGCGGTCGACTTCTTTGAACGCTGCCGTGACTGCCGGGTGTTGCAGAATTGCAGGATCTGAAAGCAAGCTGCTCGGAGGGTCCGGAATGCACGAAGACGAGACAAAAGCACCAAGAACAAGCGCTGAGGTCAGCGCAGAGCGGATTAGCGCTCCCATGTTCAAGAAGAGTGGGATCAAACGGAGAAAGCGGAGAGTGGCATGGCGCGGTTGAGCTGTCAATTTGTACGACGAAGCAACGGACCCTGAGCCTAAAGTTACAGCGGCGAGGAACAAACACACGTCGTCGAGAGCTTATCATGATCTGCAGCTGGGAAGACGACACTGCTCCTTCCTTGCACGGTAATCGGGCGCAGGGCGTGTCTTAGCTATCTAGCCCAAGGAATGGAGGCGAAGCCTAAAAAGCCAGAGACATAGGGCCACGGGGCGTGTGTAGTGAGTGACGCAGAGGCCAGACGGCGGGCCGCTAGCGACGTTGTTGAGCCGCGGCGGGACCGGGGATGGGCTGGCATTTTAGGTTTTGATACTCAGAGGTGTCGTTATCAGGCCGCAGGCTAGTGGCGGCGGGGCGCCCAGCAGTAAGGCGGAGGGCCGCTCGAAGCTGGAAGGAGGCCCGCGTCGTACAAGAAACGGTGCAGGTGTGCGGGGAAACGGCGCATTCTTCCGGCACGTGAATCCAGCGCACACAGAAACTGGAAACGGGTCAGCGCAGCACCACGCAGAGCCGCAGAGCACGATGGGGCACGACGGGGCGGACAGGGCATGCTCTCGTGATGCTGGGGCGACGGGCGCGAGCAGTGGCGCTTGGATGGATCTGCCCGGTGCGCTGAGCTAATCTCAATCTCCCAGGCACAGGCGTTTGATAGGGCCACGCCCAAGCCTACGGATATCCGATATGCCGAGCGCCGGCCGTGGCGCCATTTGCAAGGTGATTTAACCTGCGAGCATTATTACTTCTCCCACCGCTCCGCCCGTCCTCCGCGCACGCCTGGATCCTGCCGTGCCTGCGTCCGCGACCGCGTCCGCCGCTCATTGACTCCCGCTCTCTCGCCTTCCCCATCCACGACACACCCCTCCTCACTGCCAGCGTCCTGAGCGCGCTGTCCGTCCAGCCATGGAGGCCGTCAATGCCAGCTTCGCTTCGCCCTCCGCCGATGCCCAATTCGCTCCGGAGCTTCGTGGCACGCCCATCGCCGGCGTCCTCGGCCGCGTGCTCGAGGGCGTGAACGCGTGGTCCGTCATCGTCACGCTTTTCGCCATGCTGGTCGTCTACGACCAGAGTGCGTGCTTCCCCAGGCCGCCTGCTTGCGCGCCCGCTGACGACTAGCGACAGTCAAGTACATCTGGAGCAAGGGCTCCATCGCCGGCCCCGCGTGGAAGATGCCCTTCATCGGCCCCTTCCTGCAGTCCATGAACCCCAAGTTCGAGGAGTACCACGCCAAATGGATGAGCGGCGAGCTTAGCTGCGTTTCCGTCTTCCACAAGTACCGCTCCCGCTCGCGTTCCGCCCGCGTCGCCCTCAGAGCTGACCCCCCGCAGATTCGTCGTTATCGCGTCGACCCGCGACATGGCGCGCAAAGTCTTCAACTCGCCCACTTTCGTTAAGCCCTGCGTCGTCGACATCGCCTACAAGCTGCTCCGCCCGGAGAACTGGGTCTTCCTTGACGGCAAGGCTCACGTCGACTACCGCAAGGGTCTCAACGGCCTGTTCACCCGTCAGGCCCTGTCCATCTACCTGCCTGGTCAGGAGGAGATTTACGAGAAGTACTTCGCAAAGGCCCTGGAAATCACGGCCGAGGCCGAGGGCAAGCCTGTGCCGTTCATGCACTACTTCCGCGAGTTCATCACGGCCGTCTCGCTCCGCACCTTCGTTGGCCACTACATCGCCGACGCGTCCGTCAAGAAGATTGCCGATGACTACTACTACATCACCGAGGCTCTCGAGCTCGTCAACTTCCCCATCATCATCCCCTTCACCAACACCTGGCGCGGCAAGAAGGCCGCCGACATGGTTCTCGACGAGTTCGCCAAGGCCGCTGCCAAGAGCAAGGTCCGCATGGCTGCTGGCGGCGAGCCCGATTGCATTCTCGACTGCTGGGTCAAGGCCATGTACGAGTCCGAGGACTACACCAAGAAGAAGGAGAAGGGCATTGACGTCGAGAAGCCGGCCCAGGTCATTCGCATGTTCACTGATCTTGAGATTTCCATGACCATTTTCACCTTCCTTTTCGCCTCGCAAGATGCCACCAGCAGCGCCGCCACCTGGCTCTTCCAGATCATGGCTGACAGGCCCGACCACCTGGACAAGATTCGCGAGGAGCAGCTCCGCCTGCGCGATGGCGACAAGACCAAGCCTTTCACCATGGAACTGATGGATCAGATGACCTACACTCGCGCTGTTGTCAAGGAGGTTCTCCGCTACAGGCCCCCCGTCATCATGGTTCCCTACATGGCGAAGAAGGCGTTCAAGATCTCTGAGAACTACACGGTCCCCAAGGGTAAGTCGATCTTGACATGTACCACTCCGCCAAGCTGACCGTGCCGCAGGCTCCATGGTTATCCCGACCACGTACTTGGCGCTGCACGACGCTGAGGCCTACCCGAACCCTGACTCGTTCGAGCCCGACCGTTGGATCACTGGCGACGCGGAGAAGCAGACGAAGAACTGGCTCGTCTTCGGCACTGGTCCGCACTACTGCCTCGGCCAAGTGTATGCCGTGAACAACCTGATTGCGATGATTGGCAAGGCTGCAATGGAGTTGGATTGGACGCACAAGGTCACGCCGCTGAGCGAGGAGATCAAGGTCTTCGCGACGATCTTCCCCAAGGTACGTGCCCGTCCCAGGCACACCGCCACGAGTCTGCGCTAACGCCTTCCGTTGTAGGACGACTGCCATCTGGCCTTCACGAAGCGCGCCTAGACGGGCGACGCATGATGATGATCAGCTTCTAGGCGGCCGGCGGTGATCCGCGTCTCGGGAGACATCCGCCTGACCGGCCACCTACTTTTGCACTATTTACCAGATCTTATAAGATGGCATCCACTAATATCTATTCCCCTCATCACCCTCATAATATTCGCCTTCCTCCATAGCCTCATATCGCAAAAGTTATTTCTCGATTTCCAGCTCTTGGTTGAGCCCCTCCGCATGATTGGGAAGGCGCTGCGCCTGGGCCAGCCAAGCGAAGATGCAGCACGGGAGCTTGGGCCGCAAGATCGGTTTGATTATGACTGGTTGAGCGGGAATGTGCGTCAAGAGAGATGCGCAAAGAGCAATTTAGATTAGAGAGCGTGCTTTTTGGCGGCTCGGCCTTTCTTCTTTTTTGCCTCAACTCCGGACGCCTGAGAGTACTGCGTGTAGTTGATGACAGGGAAGTTCAGGCGTCGCTGCTGTTTGTCGTTGGGACTCTTTGCAGGTTGTTGTCTTGTCAAGATGTCTTGAACAACGCGACTCTTCAAGTCTGCGTTGTTGCGAATAAATCACTCTCGCGTCGCGCTCACTCACCATGTATTATTAACACGTGCTTCCAAACCCACACACACCACTCCTGCAGCAGTCTCCACGGTTTTCCCTCGGCCGAGGAGGGCCAACCAATCTACCAGCCCTGGTCAACCGGTAAGTTCCTTCTTTTCCATTTGTTCGAGTTTTTCATCATCTCGTCGCTTTTTCCGGCCTCCTGCATATATAGGTAGGTGAAAAGAGGTAGTGAAGAATATGCACGCAGACAAACAAGGACAGCTTGCCAAGGCGGTTTAATAAGCTTACTGAGTACTGACCCTCTCCTCTTGGGGAAGGAGCAGAAGAGCAAGAGCATGGGCCGGGCCTGCGCGCGCACGGATGGGAGATCAAAAAGGATTTCATATTGATGATGAGGGAGGAGGCACAGAAGAACGAGGTAAGGTTCGCCGTGCGCCGCGCGCCGTGCCCTGAGCGCCGCCGCCGCCGCCGCCGCCGCCCGCTTCTTCGCTAGGGTAATCGGGTTGCTCGTATCCCACGCAGCCCGGACCATGCGTGGTCTTTGTTGCGGCGTTGCGGCGCTGCGGCGTAGCTTGCTGGTGCTCGGGCGCGGTGTGGTTGGCGGTGTGCGGCAGCGACAGCTGTGTATGTGTATCTCGCTCATGTGGCGTAGATATGCAGGGTCCTTTCAACAGATGCGGGCGGAATGAAATAAGTAACTGCGTATTCGTATCCGGCTGGTCAATGGGTGACGTGTGGTTTTCGAATGGAGCGGGGGGCGGTCGAGAGGGGAAAGCACAGATTTTTCTCTTCTTTTTTTCTTGTGAGATGTCGTACATTGCTGGTGAAGAAGAGCTTGGCGAGTTCCTGCAGGTAGGCATATGATGGACGTGGTTTGTCTTATGCTGCTTGTCGTCTCCTTTTCCGTTGTCTTCTTCAAAAAAGGAAAGGACGGCTAAATCCTTCCGTGGTGTAGCTTGGTCGCTATACAGCGGATCGTCCAAGGATCATCTCAATCACATACCATGAAAGGATATCACTTGCAATCAACACTCAAAGCTTCTACTGATGTACCCTTTGTATTTCTGGCAGCGGTGTACCTATGGCGCACCTAGCGTAAAGCTGCCGGCCCGTCTTCATACCCCCACTAGGGACTGAAATGCTTTAGTTAAGTCCTACAGCCAATTACTCTTAACCTATTGATCATGAACCAGGGGTCCGAGACGTCGGAACTTGGGCTGATAGCGTGCAAACCATACCACAAATCTTTTGGCTTATCCCGCATGGCTTCCACCATCCCATTCCCACAGTTCAAACCGTTCCGACCTTGAACCCTTCCTTTCAGAGTTCCCTTTTTTTTTTTTTAACCCTTTCCCCTTAATTATTTTCTTCAACACCTTGATGCTGTCCACCGCGCCTGCGCTCAATCACTTTCAGCGCATTCAACAACTCCCTCCATGAACATCTTGAAAGGGACGCCATTCTCCACCTGTCCTCCATCCACCACAACCACCTCCTTCTTCTCTCCTTCGTCGTCCACGAGCACAACCCCGCTCGCCACGCCGGAACCGTTGTGCGGGGGATGAGCAGCAGCCAGATGCTTGCCGAGCGGCGACGGCGACAGTGGCACATGTTCGATCTTGTCGACGCTTTTCTTGCTCGCACTGTTCGGTAGCGCCAACTGCGCACGGATGGTGTTGCGGGGGCTGCTGCTGCCGTTGTTGCTGATGTTTCCGATGCCGTTGCTGCTGTTTGCAGGGCCGTCTGCGCTGCTCGGCAAGGCCAGTTGGGCGCGGATGCCGCTGTTATGAGGACGGTTGCCAGTGGTGGCGCCGGTAATGGATCTCCTCTGTCCCATGTTCGGCAACGGGTACGGCAGCGGACGAGCGGCGGCCATGCTGTGACCGTTGCTGCTGTCAGCGGTAGCGGCGGTCTGAGTGGACATCATCGGGGCTACGGGAACGCTTGACGGAGGCGTGGCAACGGCTGCGGTCGCTGCGGGGGACGGCAGAGGTCTGGAGAAAGAAAAGTTGAAGCGTGTGCTGGGCGCATGCTCGCTGCGAGAGGAGGCCGGGCAGCCGAAGAAAGGGGTGCCAGGACCGCTGCTGGGCTGAGGGGTCATTCCTGGCGAGAAATAGTAGTGGTCTGCTGGAGAAGTGGCAGCGGTGATGGAAGCACCCGATTCTGTCGTCAAAGAGTGTCCGTTTCGCTGGTCGTACTCCGAATCCTCTCGCGGCGTCAACACGTCTCGCAGCGATCCGACCTGCACGAACGCCTGCGCGGCTTGCTGTTCCTGGATCCGCCGGTGGTAGTTCCGCTCGAACAGCATCAGCATGGCGGATGCCGAGGATGATTGCAACCTGAGAGGTGGGCGGCAGCGGCGGCGCATCATTTGTCGCTGCTGCCGCTGCAGGGAAGGCGAGCTGGGCTCTAACTCCATCGTCGTTGGTGTTGACGGTGGTGTTTGAGTGATCAGCTGCTGACCCACTCGTATAGGCCGAACGGGGATGATGTTGCCTTGCTTCTCCTCCACGTCATCATCGGGCGGCGTCGAGCGAGCAGCAGGCGTGTCACTCGCTTCTCCTCTCATTGGGCTGGAAGAGAAGGCAGTGCTGTGGGAGATGGCTGCGGTAGTGGCGGCTCCAAGCATCTTCAGCACCTCTGCCTCTGAGCACTCGACGGACGGGGGCCCGTAGATGGCGGAAGGAAGATCCGAGGGTGGCGGCGAGGACGGAGCGGTGGGGAACAACATCTCGCGCGGTGGCGATGAGGCTGAGGCTGCGGAGCTAGATGTGTCGGGCGAAGATGGTGTTGGTGGGCTCTGATTGAGCACGGTTACTGGAAAAGTGAAAATGTTGGACTTGGGCATTGAAGGAGAGTAGACAAGTTGGGGCTGGAAGTACTTCTCAGATGATGACGCCTTCCCACTGGGAAGCGACTGCCCCTGCCGCCCGCGAAGTCGCAGCCGCTGCAGCTCTTCCTGGGCGGCGCCTTCCGCAAAAGTCATTTCTTCAAGCCTGAGCCTACGGCGTTGGGAATGCTCCTGCGAACCAAATGAGATGGTCACTGTTGCCCTCGCTGGAGCGTGTCTCGTGGTCTCTTGCGCACGATCGTTCGCTGGCCTGACGTCTCTTGGAGCGAGCAAAGTTCCACCCACATCTTTGGGCTGCACTTTTTTGCGTCTACCAAAGAAGAGAAGGTCTGCTGCAGGCATGTTGTGTGCTCCCTCCGGTGCATGCGCGTGCTGCATTTGCATCGCCCGGTCTGGCGTATACTCTGCCAGATCTACATGGTCTAAGAAGCGCCATGGCCATTTCTGCTGCACAAGGAAGCGGCGTGCTTGTAGAATATGCTTTGCCATGGCTAGCGCTGACATGCAATCCGGATAGTCGTCATGAAGATACGCCTTCTCAACTTTATCGAGTGCCTGCATGATGTCCTCTGCAGACAAGTTGAGAAGGCGCTGGATAGGAAACAGAGGGTTTTGAAAGCCTTCTTTGAGGGCATCGATGTACATGTTCATTAATATGGTGCAGCGCACCATGGGATGAAGCTCCGAAAGGTCTATCTATCCATGGTAGTTAGTGAAAATCAGGTACGAAAGGCACCATCAAACATTACGCACCTTTGTACGGAGGGCCGTTTCCGGGTTGCCAATGCAGTTCGTATCCTCCTCCATGGAAGAAAGTGTTAGGTGAGTATCATACTGCTCTTCATAGCTAACATCGCCCTTCATGAATGCTCGACTATTATTGATGTCGGTTACACTGCGCAGCTCCTGCTTCGCTGACCAAACTGCCTCTTCGCGAGAGTCCTCTCGCTTCACCAAGTCTCTCAGTGAAACGAAAACCGAGCATAGCGCATCCTTGTTGGTTTTCAGTTTCACGATCCGTGAACCTTCTGACGCTGCTGCTTGGCCCCCACTGCTTGATTGCCTATTGTCCGGTGGCAAGGTAGGAAAAGCGGCCGGCGGCAGGCGCGGGTTGAACGGTTTCGAGGTCGTTTCGAAGAGTGGGCGAGCAGGTCTGCTGGCGGGGCGAATGACGGGTTGCTCGGGCACCTCAGGCGCGTAGATCCGATCCAGTTCTTCTTGGAAGCGGCGGGGCGCGCGACGCTCACGTCCTGTCCGGAGTTCCATCGCCACGAGGGAGTTGCGTCATGTCAATAGTCCTGGTGGTGGAGGAAAGGTTTCGGGAATGGGTTGTTGGAGTGAGGGCGACAGGCTGCGCGCGGGTGAAGAGCAGTTTACGTAGCTGCGGCTCCAGGTGAGCCTTCCGTACGAGGAACCGGTGCTTTGGAAAGTGGGTCGGAAGCCCCGTCCTTGGAGGAGGCCGGTAAGAAATAGTCGGGGTGGCGTACGTGCCAGCTGACTTGGCGTGCGCGTTTGGGCTTCTGATGGTCGTCAAAGGTCACTTGTGGATATGGGCTTTCACCATATATGGCAGGTGGACCCTTGGAACGGCGTGTTCGAGGCTGAAGTGCCCACTGGGCTTGGCTCGCTTCCATAAAGTGAAGTGGCTAGAACAAGGAGGCTCACTTGGCTTGGAGACGGGAAGATAAAGGCTTCAGCAACTTGAGACACGGATCCGAGGGTCCCCGCAACTCGGACGCCACTCTTTCGAAACTTGTGGACCTGTGCCCATGCATATAACTGAGATTTGATTGTTCCATATGCTGAAGTTCAAGGAACCTTCTGAAGCGGAGTTTGGACCCAGCTCAATGGGCTCATTGTATGTAACGCCACAAGCCGAACCTATCGCAAACGACATTAGCACCGAGCGGAATGTTCACGGAGATTAGAAGACACAATGCTCCTCCCAAAAGACATGCCAAATCATCAAGGCTGTTCAAGCACAACACAAAAACAAGAAAAGAGACATGGACTGAATTGCAAATGCTCATATCAAAGTCCCACCATGAATTCGAGTGCACGAACGCCGCCCGCCGGGTATCATGCCACCTGTCGATCTTCCATTTCTTCCCTATTTGTGCGGTCTATTGGCGAGCTCAAGGTCAGCGAGCACGTGTGCTGTGAAAAGCTAGTGCAGACATACAGAAGAGGGTCATGGCTGTTAACATCATAAAAACCGGCCCGTCAAGAATATGTAAAGCGAGCTCGGGGTGTAAATCCTGCTAACAGAAAGCAGAGAAGACAAAACGCAGCCCGGGGAGGGAAGTGTATGCTCAAGATGATGTCCAGTCTATCCGGTCTCAGTCGATACTCTCGAAGGGAACATGTGTCCGGCCCTCGAATCGCAGGACATCGGCATCGTCTACAGTGTCCACATCCATATCCTCGTCATATGTCGTGTCCAGCGTGCGTTTGGAGTTGCTTTGTACCGAGTAGGAGTGTTGCGGCGGCCGAGCGGCACAGTCGAGGGCAACGGAGCGCTTTGCGGACAGTATGTCTCCGTAGGATTGCAAGACAGTCTTTAGGTGGTCATCGAAGTTGACGCAGAAGCGCTGGCCTTGAACAAACTGCATTGCCTTGAGGAAATCCAGGTTCAGCATTTCCATGATCCACGCCACTACAACAGCCGCTGATTTCTCATTGCCCGATTCACAGAACACAAGGACCTTTCCGTGTTGCAAACCACATCCGCCGCCTTGTATACGGGCGTTGACATCGGCAAGATGGTCGTTGATCAGGTCGGAGGCTAGGGGGAACGAGGCGATCAGGTCTTGCGGGGTGCGAATGTCGACGGTGCGGAAGGCGATTCCCATCTCGTTGGCGATGCGGGCGGCAGCATTGACGGGCATGCCAGCCTGTTTGACAGCCAGCAACATGGTTATGTTGGTCTTGCTGAGGAAGTCTCGATTCTTGGCGGTGCTGTGAGGGCCTGCGAACGGAGGGGTTAGCTTGCAGCGGAGAGGCGAGGACGACAGGCGGCGGACCCAGATACAGATACGGAGTCACCATCTGTGCATCACGGCGCTTCTCGTAGGTCCACTCCAGGCCAGCGTTCTGGGCAGTGAGCTCGCCGCCATTGACGGCGGCCAGAAAGCTCAGATCCGGGCCGCGAGCGTCGATTGTCGAGACAGAGGCAACGCGGATGGCATTGGCGGATTCCTGGCTGTTCACAGCGGGCGGCGGGATGATGATGCGCGGCGGCGTGGGGACACGGAAGGCGTACTCGTTGTTGCTGGCGCGGCGAAACGAGCGGCTGGTGTCGGAGAGGGCAACCTCCTCGGTGGTCGACATGATGAGATCTGGGACGAGTGCAGGCCAGGGCGATAGCGGGCGGAGGGCGGAGGATGGCGGGCGGAAGCGTCGAGGCGGAGGAAGCAGGTCGCCAGGCAGCCACAGCTCGCAGGCGCTACAGGCTCACTCGGCGTGCGGGCCGACGCACATGCTGGTCTGCGGGGCAGGCGAGGAGTCGAGGGTCGGGCGGGCGCTGGAAATTCGGCTTGGAGCTGAAGATGGGCGCGGCGTCCTCGCAGAGGTCGTGGAAGAAGACGCCGGCCGGGCAGGTGAGGTCATGACCTGTTAGGCCTAGCCCGACGTCGGCCCGCCCCTGCCTTCGAGACCTCTCTCCACGCACCGCCACCTGCACATCACCCTGCCAATCGTACAGAAGGAAGCTCAGGGGGCTAGACCGAGGTATTTTCTAATTGGAGCTATTTGTTTGTGTGGGATGTTCAATCTGCCCCGCCTTCGCCCCATTCTTATCGCCCTTTGCAGAATATTTAGCCTGAAGCATTCGCCTAGCTTTTACTGCCCACCGGCCAGTCGTAGCTTGAGCTCCGTGATCTCGACTCCCTGCTCGCGCACTATATCCTCCAACGTCTTAATTTTTTGAAGTGCTTTCTCGAGTTCTCTGTCTCTAGCTTGCTGTCTGTTGCGCTCGCTGCTCCCATCACCAGGCGGATCAGAAGCGGTCGCCGCGCCCTCGGAGTTTTTAGGAATGATTGGTCGTTTCCTTTTTGCTCCTACCGACAGTGCTGCAGCGGCCTCGGATGCTTTCTGTCCGTCTTTCTCGCGATTTGTCTGCCCCTCCTGGAAGTTGCTGCCCATCAAACCAGCCTTTTCAGCCGCAGCTTTATCTTTATAAGGGAGCTTCCGAGGAAATATTTCTCTGTGTTTATATTTGTCAATGTCAATGGAGATGTGCCGGACGAGGTCGATCTCATCCAGATGGCCCCCCGGCGTAAGTCTGAGGCTCTTAGAATCCCGATCGTACGCCAGTGAGATGTAGTCCCGGGTATTGCGTTCTTTTTCAGAATGCTGGATAGTTAGTACGGGGTTTTTGACGTACTCGCTAGTGCGTGCGAATCAGCAACTGCATCCATCGATGGTGAGAAGGCGTGGCTTACTAGGCTGTGCAATTCTCGTCTGTGAAGAAGTAGAAGACGTCCAGACGTGCTATCCACGTCCCGTCATCTGCAGTTAGAAGAGGGTAAGCCACCAGCCACATTCCGTTTTCCGTCCACCGTCCTTGGATATTTCCAGTCTGGCGCTTCCAATTAGCGTACGTTTCAGGTTTTTTTTTTTAAAAAAAAAAAGTAGGAGATTGCGCACGAATTCCTTGAGACTAACGCCGAATGGCTTTCTTGGCACCGATTGGAACTCTTGTAGATCGGTGTCTTGTATGTATTTCGACTGCAAGGCGGCTCTGCAGACATCGTGCCAGACCAACTCCATGTTGCGCTGCTCTTGTGACCAATCGCTCCATCTTCCGTCTCTGGGGTAAACTGAGATTTTTGTCGCTTCCGCAAGCATGTGGGCTGCCATTCTCGTGAGGTGAAGTCAAGGGAAGCAGTGGTTGCAGGTGAGTATGTTAATTGCTTTATCGCCGTGGAGGTGGTGAAGAATAAAGAAGAATGAAGGCGCAGGTCGAGAAGAGGACGCGTCTTATATGCATCTCTGAGTTCCCGGTTCCAGGGTCCATCATCTGCGAAGGGAGAGGAAAAGGGCAGGAGCAGATACGTGCGCAACTGCCTTCTGTGAGTAAAGTAGATTTCAACTCCTCACTTTGGCCATACCATCGAATACCACCATATCTTCTTTGAGCTAGCACTACTCCTCTGCACTTGGTGATTGTTCGGTGGTGCATTGAAATGTAGATCTGAATTCAACGGCTCAAGGGCCTAAGCGTGTGAGCCACACATAAAGTAGGACAATGTCATGATTTCTTTACTTATCGCCCAGCTACAGTGGCTGTACGCTATCGCAGTCTGGCATCCTATCACTGTAACTCTAGCTCGAAATTCAGGGATTCAACCCAGATGCAATTCTAGACAAATAGGAACTCCTCCGAACTCTGTCTTTGTACAGCGACTCAGCCAGACGAGTCCTTCTTCAGCACACCATGCTTCAGCTCTCCAGTCTTCTGACTCTGCGCGCGGACGATGTCTTCCTTGTTGTAAGCTTCGTCGAGCTGCTCGAGCAGAATCTCCATCTAGCCGGATCCGATACTCGAGGTGTACGTGGGGGTGAGCTGATTCTTGCCATTGGGGCTGGTGTCGGTGCTATTGCAATTGAGATTGCCGCTGCTGCGGCCGCCGCTTCGCTGACCGACCTCAGGGCTGCTGAAGGGATCCTCCAACTCCTCACTCTTGACGAAGCTGCCTTGGAAGCGCACAGCGGAAGAGCTGAGCTTAGTGGCCTTCACCCAAGCATCATTGTACAGCATGCCGTTAGCAGCCGGGGTACCTTGGTTCTTGTCCTGAGTCTGCATCTCGGAAGGCAAGTGGAAGGCGTCGCGAAGCAACGGACGCGTGGCGTTGATGTCAGCGGTGGCAAGCGGGTCGAGGAAGCCGAGAAGGTTGCGCTTCTGGATCACGCCGTCCTCGTGAACGAAGCGGTGGTAGGTGTACAGGCCACCCGGAAGGATGGTCTTGGTGGTGAAGAAGGTGACGGGCTTCTTGTCGCTGCCATGCTCAGCTTCCATGATGCTGTCCAGAATGGGAAACGAGCTGCTCGGCCTGGATTAGTCGGCGGGCTTTCTTTTGGGGGATAGAAGCATATTCGACGCTCACAAAGGTATAATGAAGTGGTCGATGCGCACAGTCCAGAAGTCGCCGCTCGCCCAGGCTGGAACAGCCTTGTACCAGGCGTACCTCTGGACGACGTTGATATCCTGGTCCTTCTTGTCAGTAGGATCTGTGGAAGAGCGCTACTGGCTAAGAGACTTGCCTTGAAGGGGCGGTCGACGAGACACTTATAAACACGTAGCGCGCTCATGTCGCAAGGGTGCTGGCTGTTGAACGGGAGGATGCATTCATCATTCGCCTTACTCAGAAATGAGACACAAGAGGCGCGCAGGCGGTTGGCGACTTCGTCGCCTGAGTCGGCCGGGACCCAAATAGGAATCATGGCGCGCGGCTGTTGGACTCTAGATGATGGTTGCGCAGTAGCTTAGAGAGTCACACCGAGTGCGAAAACTGGAGTGAGATTGAGGATCAGGACAGAGTCATAGATGGTGTTCAAATGTGGATATCACGTTACGCCTTAGTAAGCGAGGTCGTCCGCTCACTTTCCTATCGAAGCAGGAGCGGCGTCCCAACTAGCGGGTTGCTTCGGCATAAGAAGAAATATAGCAATAGGTACGACCTTCTTTCACCTTGAAAACTTATCACTGACCTCCTAACGATATTCGCTACCACTACAAACTTTCGGCTCAAATCGCGGGCACTATCCGCTGTTGCTTCACTTAGCATCAGTACGGCATCATCTCTCAAGAAAGACAGCAAACTTCTCCCATACGGTCACCGCCAGTTTCGTCTCACCATATGCGTAGTAGTTTCCACACACCTGCTCGGCTACACCTCCGCTCTTCTCACTTCCAAGTTTGCAACTCACAACTTCACCTAGCCACGAGATGCCTTGGAATGCCCTTGGAAGATCTATAGCCTGTATTATTCTCCTGCTGCAACACGACTTTCCACACATCGCCTTGGTCTTTTACGATCCGACTACCGCCAGACCTGTCTTTCTCACTTGCTGGAATTCACTTCAGAACCACGGAGTGTAAAATCAGATTGCTATGCGAATATATAAAGCAAATCAAACAAGGGAAGCAAAGGACTTGAATCTGTAAGAGTTTTCGGATTTCCCGCAAAGAGTACACTCTTAGTAAGAGCTGTCATAAGCTATGGCTTGAAAGTCTTTCATTGTCATTGTATAAGAGTGGCATGTGCATATATGGTGGGCAATCAACAAGTTTCCACATCCACAACATGAGACGTAAGAGAAACTGACAATCATTCAATCACTGAAGTAAAGCAGTACAGTAAAATCTCTTATCAGTCACAGACAGTTTTCATATAATCAAATCGATTGATCATAATATTCGTTGCACTTGCGGCACAATTTTTGACGTTATAAGCGCAACATCCCGCGTTTGCAACATTCATATCACATAACAGTTGAAAGAGAAAAACTTTTTTTTAAGATTTCCCGCAGGCATTCCTTGAGGGGACCAGCACTGCAACCGGCTATGCATTGTCGAAACAATGATGGAGCTTCGTCACTGCCAGATTCCAGGTGGCAGAAGGATCAGAAACGATCGAGATGAAGCATATGCGCTCCACAGAGTAGTGGTACAGCCCCTTGTAACCACCCATCTACTTTCCTAAAGATAGTTAACAGGCCGACGACGTCCACATTAGCTGCGTCAGACGCGATAAACAACTGGCGCGACGCTTTTCCGCAACCGGCAATTTCGCGTCGCACGCTCTTCGGACCCCTCCGATCCTGGCCATGCCTTTAGGTAATTAGCACGTTGGAATAAAGGTACGGTATTGGGTCCCTTCTTCATTTCGGTCCCCCGCATCCCGGAAAGCGTATACCGATGCCTTGCATTGCTACATCAACGACCTGCGCGCCAGACAGCTCCATCGGGTGCGGACTACGCGAGGCTGAACAACGCGTAGGTAGAAAGAAACCTGCGCTGTACCGTCACATTATGGCCAGGCTTGCGTATTTTGGCCCATCCCTTGCTTTTCGCGTGCCGGCGTTTCGGATCTTCAGGGTGCCCACACTTCTCATCATTCCTCAGACAGACGGCAACCCGGACCGGCTGTGGAATGCTACAGGCAAGCGGAACAGGAAAACGTTTTTATCAGTTGACACGCATGTACTATAATCCCACAAACATTCGCGTAGGACAGCAATGTGTGTGACAGCTCCAGCGAAATGATGTGATACGGAGGGAATGCGACAAAGTCGCGGCATACCGACTCTGGCTGGGCAAAATACCAGAAATAGAAATTTGCTACGATGAAAGTTCCGATATGGCTAGCCCCTTGAGGAGGCTATTGAAATAAGTAGATATATGGCGGCTGCTCCGGCGAACTGTCAATCTTTCAAACGAGGGCCTGTCGACTCTTGTGGGTATTCATTGCCACCAAGATGCTTACCTCACTGCTCTTTCAACTCTACTCATACCTTGCTCCTACCTTCCGGGATACCAAGGGTGGGGCGGCAAGGAACCTCGGCGAGGATCCAAAGACGCTGCTTGGTCTGCTGGAGAGAGCCGCGAGGCTGTGGCCGAACCACGGCATTGCATTCAAGGATCAAGGATGGAATCAGAGGTCTGATTTCGTGACTTATGCAGAGCTCCTGAGGGAAGTGGCGGTAAGTGAGCTGCTTACTAGAGAGTAGCTGAAAGGTACTGACAGAATCAGACGAACGCAGCCAAACTTCGGGCGCACGGCGCCGTCACGCCACAGAAACCTATCGTCCTGTACTTCAATACACACCGCGATAATGTTGTGTGGTTTTGGTCGGTTGTGGCGGCCGGCGGCGTGCCTGCTCTCCTTTCCCCGTTATCCAGCAATGAAGTGACGCTCGCCGGAGAACTCGACAATCTCAACCATCTCTTCGACGGCCCAACAGTTCTCACTACGAAACAACTTAGCCGGCTCTTCAGACCGATTGCCTTAATCACCACAATTACTGTGCAGTCGATTGTTACAACCAAGGTGGAAGACAAGTTTGATATGGAAGTCGTAGATGAAGGGCGGGGCCGTGAAGATGAGCTCGCAACGGTCTTGTTCACCAGCGGAAGTACAGGATTCGCAAAGGGGGTCGAGTACACGCATACGCAGCTTGTGTGTTCCAGCAAGCTGAAAAGTGCTTTCCATTGCACGGATTCAACCAAGACATTTATGTCTTGGGTCAGTAAGTCACCGTATCCGGACAGATATTCCAGGATCAGCTCAACTAACCAGTATCGCGCAGGCTTTGACCATAGTGCTGCGCTTTGCGAAAACCACTTGCATGCCTTATACGCAGGTGCAAACCAGGTCATGGTTCCAGCGATTGACTTCGTGAGGAAGCCTGTTCGATTCTGGAAGGTGCTCAGCGATCATCGCATTGCTTATACCTTTGCCCCGAATTTCTTCGTCGCCGCTGCAACACGTGCTATCAACGAGATGGATGAATTCGAGAAGAAGAACATGAAGTTGGACTTCAGTGAGCTCCGCGTGATTATGTGCGGTGGTGAAGCGAACAAGACAGCTACGTTGGACGCAGCAGAGAGGGTGATGACGGGCTATGGCGCACCAAAGTGCAGCATCAAGGCGAGCTACGGCCTGAGTGAGGTAAGCAGCACCCTTTCAGTGGTGTGTATTTGAAAGTACTAAGAAAACTGCAGACTTGTTCGGCGGTCTTCTACAACCTGGAGTCCCCAGCATACGACGTGAAGCGAAAATACCTTTTTGCATCTGCTGGAAAACATTTGCCGCAACATGAGCTCCGTCTTGTAGATGGGAATGGCAAACACGTCCGGCGGGGAGGGACAGGTTCCATCCACATACGAGGAGCGCTCATATTTCAGCGATACTACAACAACGAGGTTGCCACGAGCGCTTGCAAGACGAAGGACGGTTGGTTCGACACGGGAGATCTTGGAATGCTTGACGACCAAGGAAACTTGTGCATTGTCGGCCGCTCCAAGGAGATTCTCGTTATCAACGGCCAGAAATACTCATCTTTCGAACTGGAACATGCAATCGAGTCTGCAAATATCTCTGGCCTCACCAAGAGCTATACCGCATCTTTTTCGATCTGGGTTCAGGATGCCAAAGCCGATAGCGAGGATATTGTCATCCTCTTCAACCCGATTAACGACGCCGTGGATGATTCGCCCGAACTTCGAGAGACTATTACTCAAATCAAGGAGGCTTGTATTCGCTTCTGCCGTAAGCGTCCTGTGGAGGTCATTCCTCTGCCGAAGCAGAAGCTACCCAAGTCCACGATTGGGAAATTATCTCGCGCAAAGCTGAAGAAGTCTTTTCAAGCCGGTTACTTTGACCAGTTCAAGCTGGCAGAGCGTGCACCTCGGTCTGACTCCAGTCGAGGTGCCGAGTTGTGTACGCCACTGCAAAAGACTTTGGCGGGCGTTCTGTGTGAGGAGACTGGACTGAAGCCCTCGGATTTGCACCTCGACATGCCAATTGCAGATTTGAACATTGACAGTCTCGGATATCTCCGCGTCAAATCATCACTCGAGAAGATTCTCGAGTGTGAAGATCCGATTTCCATGGCTCTTCTCCTTTCTTGCCGGACGATCGGCGACCTTGACATGATGCTTCTTTCCTTGGGCACCACAACAACCGAGTATGATCCCATAGTACCACTCGTTGCTTCAGGCTCGAAGTGTCCGCTCATTCTATGCCATCCTGGGGGGGGCGAGTTCCTGACCTGGCTTGGGTTGCTAAAGTATATTCCGGATCGTCCCATCCTTGCGCTTCGCGTGCGCGGGTTCCACAAGAACGAGACTCCATTCGAAACAATAGATGAGATGCTTGACGTTTACATGGATGGCATCAAACGGCACCAACCGAAAGGACCATATTCGCTTCTGGGCCTGTGCTTCGGCGGAATGCTTGCATTTGAGTTGGGCAAAAGACTTGAGGCTGCAGGCGAGCAAGTTGCATTCTGCGGCGGCATCGACAACCCTGCCGACTTGACCCGGATTCAGGTACGCGAAAAGCAGCGGAACTTTATCATCGACTTGCTGCACTTCTTCCAGATCCTGGACCTCGAGACTGCGCTGAGATGGGAGGAGGAGATGGATCATATTCCAGACGAACAGTTCACGCAGGCAATCTTCGCACGCTTCCCAGACGGGACGCTGGAAAACATTGATCTGACGATTCCAAAGGTGGAAACGTGGCAGCGGATCAACAAGAACATGCAGGAGATCACGCGGTCGTACGTGCCAAGCGGGCAGGTTTCGAAATATGACCTTTTCTGGGTGCCTCCATTGCCGCAGTATAAGTGTTCGGATGAGCAATGGCGGCATGACTGGCTAGCGAAGTGGAAGAACCACGTGACGGGGGCGAAGCAAAGCGACGTTGACTGCGAAGCCTCGGAAGGGCCGTTGCGGTACCACCGCGTTCAGGGGACGCACTTTACCATTCTAAGGCCGGAGAACATTGATATTTTCCAGGTCGCGTTGAACAAGGCGCTGGAGGTGCGAGGTGTGTGATGGAAAGCAAGCTTGGACTGGCAGTGTTTTTATCCTTCTGTTTCTGCTCCTTTAATCTCTTTTTCATGATCTCCGGCGTAGTAGGGATGCAATTGGTGTTATGGAGAGGTATCTCTACCTAAGTTTTCGTCAGAATGAAGAGCGATTGGTTGAACTGAATGGACCTTACTGAAGTGTAAAAACTCTTACCTGCACGCGCCAGTGAAAAGTCGTATCTTGGAGTTGGATGGTTTCGGAGTGGCATCTGATGGCAAGGCTGGTCAGTCTCACCGGGAAAGGGACGGGCAGGTAAAAGATGCGCAACTGGTAAGTATGACGTAAGTCATGGTCCGCAAGGCAACAACGCTATTCCGAACCGCGCCACGACGCGTCGCCTCGTGTCCTTTTGTACAACGTGATCTCACGCAAAATCTCTTGACTTCTTTAGCTTAGCATTACTATGAAATTACCCTGCTTCTGCAATACCCCCACGCGACGCCTGCAGCGCGCAGGACACTGCAGCATTGCGTTCCCTCAAGGAAAGACACAAAAGAGCAAAACAGCAGACCACAGGCCTTGCTAAAACCCGAAATGAAACTTCTATCACCGAAAGGAAAGTCGGCCAGCCCTCAAGGCCCCGTCAACGCAACGCTAGCATGCCGCCGCTTCGAGTTCTCTTGGAACGCTGTCCCTGCGCCTAACACTCTGCGGAACACTGCCCTCGCGCCTGACCCCCGGCAGTGTCCGCGTCGGCAAAGGCTGAGCCGACTCAAGCATTTGCCTGTTCATCCCCAGCAGCGTGTGGTAGACCAGCTTAATAGTTGGCACCGGGACACCGATCTTGTCTGCCTGCCTGCAGATGTTCCCTGGAAGCATGTTAGGCTGGTAATTTTAAGGAAGAGGAGGTAATCTTACCGCACAAAGACTCGATTTCCATTGGCCTATTCATCCGCGCATCCTGCAACATGGACGGCGCTAGCGAAGGGTTGCTCCTCGCAAACTCTATCGTCTTAGCCGGAAGGTCGCTCGCCAGTGAGATGCCCTGCTTCACCGCAACCTCATACATCTCCTTCGCCAGCTGCTGTACAGTCTGGAGGTATGGTGACTCAAGGAGTGGGTGCGTTTCTAGTCCGGAAATTGCCGCCATCGGATTCCACGCTCCATTGAATATCTGCTTTGTCCACCGCTCTACTTGCGCGTCACCGATCTGCTTGAACCTGTCATCCAGCGCCACAAAATTCTTTAGCCTGGTCTCAGCGGAGCCTCCATCCTCCTGCGGGTCGTATATGCCGACGTGGAAGGCATGTGGACGGATGTTGGAGACCTGCTGAATGATACCAGGGGCTGGTTGTAGACAGCTGATATAGCATATGGCAGATAGGATTGTGTTGTTGCGAAACGCCTGGCGTAAAGGTGCCTCAACGCCCACGCCGTTCTGCGCCGAAACCAACGAAGTCCTCTCTGACACCGCTGGCGCCAGTTCCTTGATGAACGAGAGACCATCGGACGGAGTGACTTTGTTGGCACAGACCACGTAGTCAAACGACATATCAGACGCCTCACGTGGTGACCGGACGACACGGTAAGGAATGAATGTGCCGTTGCCCCACATCTTGGTAGTTAACTGGATTCCTTTTTGCTTAACCGCGTCGTAGTTGGACCGACAGACGACAGAGAGCCTAGCATTCGCATTCTGGGCCAGCCTCCAGCCAATTGTGGACCCCACAGCTGTGTTTCTATTAGAATTGCTTCGAGAGTATGGTCCACTATTGCTCACCACCGGTGCCAAAGATCAAAATATCGATGGGCTTTCGGGCGCTCATTGTCGCGACTACCGCACACAGATCACCGTGAACAATAGTGCCTATTGAGGCTACCAGGACCAGCTGGATGATTACAGCTGAGATGCATCAACGACAAGCAATGGAGACGAAAACGATACAACAATCCAGCCGGCGCGCAGGGAGTCGGACTGCGAAATTGTAGCAAAGTCACAGGGACAGCGCCCCATCTTGAACCTCTCACACCATAACATGTGTGCCAAGCATTGCACCACCAAACCCGGTATGCCGCCAAGAATGGTAAGCTGCACTGCTATCCTCATGTCACCGAGCAACTAGCCGCAGTTCTCATCCACCGCCGGTAACAGCTTCATGGAGCTGCACAGACGCATCGCGACCAGCATCAGTGTACCTCTTTTGACCAATGACCTGCCATACCAGATCAACTGTCACCCCATGCTCGCGTCGTCCCAAGAAAGTGTGCCGTCTCCTTGCTTCTGGGAGAGCAACTTCTTTTCTCCACCACCATTGGCAGGGTAATGCTCCAAGCCCTGGTCGGCTAAAAGAGATAACGGCGCGGAATGGAAAAATACCCATTTCGGAGTCAGTACTAGCCAGGCACGGAACGTCTCCTATTCGTCGCGCCGGATAAGGTGTGGCGAGCCGGCTTTCCGCAACTGGTCCCAGTCTGCTGGGCCGGGTTGCCCAAGACGTTGTTTCTGCGTGCTACGGAAGGCCCACATATAGCATTCCAACGGCCCTCGTTGGAATTTTCTTCAGGCATTGCATTCCTCATGCATCGCCGATGCAAGCCGTTGTGGTGTAAGCTACCTGCATATGCAGCTCTATCAAGGGACTCGTGGGTTGTTCTTTGTTCAGCCTTATCTATATTTCCTTTATGGACGTGTAGATAAGACAGCTTCTCGCAAAGCACAGTGAAATCCCACATAGTTAATGCCGAGCAAACCAACAACTGCAGTGCCACCAGCTTATCTCCTACCGAACAACCAACCCAAGACCAAGACCACAAAATTCAGCGGTCAATCTCTTGAAAAGCATGCCGGGAAAGCTTCCAAAAGGGAGCTCGCTCTAAGTTCCGGGGATCTGATCACTCATTTTGCTGTTTCAGACAGAAAGACGACTAATCGCTTGCGTTGCCCTGTGTCTGTGAACCTTGGTAGAAGGCACTTGTCCCTTAACGTGCCCAGGGTTGACATTCCACGAATCAGAAGGGCTTTCATGGTTCGTCACACAGGCTTTGAAAGCTTTACGTGATAAAAATTATTTGTATGTGGTGACACGTCCGACGGAAATGTTGTATCAGATGCGCGGGCATTCATATCGACCCCACGGATGTGTGGTGTTGTTTGGCCTACAGTCCTTCCGAAAGATGGTCAGGTATCTATTGATCCTATGCAAGGTGATGACTCTTTCCAGGAGCCAAGATCGACTGCAGCTTCTGATCCGCCCCTCACTTATTCACATGCTGGCCCGATAAGCGGACACTCAAATGGGGATCCGCGTTGAGATCGAGATCAAAGAGCGTATAGACAGTCTGTGGTGGGAAGAAAGGGAAAAAGAAACCGTTACTACAGTAATGGTGAGCCGTCAGTGGCAGCTACAAAATTTGAGCACGCATTCCACATGTTGACTGTCAAGGAAATATTAACAAGTGAATTTACTAACAAATACATCTCTACCAAAACATCATTCGATTGCCAGAGATAGCCGCTACCAGCATCGTAGAATCAGAATGGAAATGGATTAAGACCTCTAGGGTAATTAGCCGTCAGATACAGCTTAACCGGATAGATATACAGACGAACAATCAGCCCAAAACAAGCTGACTGCACATGCATCGAGACCGTGTTAATAAGCAATCTAAAACCATCCAATCACACAATCACAAGCTCAATCCTTAGTCTTTCGATTTCCCTCTTCGTCTTCGGCTTCCCTCCCATTCCCTACCCCCTCCTCTAAGACCTGACTCGTTACTTCATTCTGGTACCCTCTTACTTCTTCGTGCTGCTTCCCATCACCATCATCACCATCCCCTCTTTCTCCCTCCTTGTCACCACCATCACCTCCTCCACCCTCCTCGCCCCCACCATCATCACCCCCGCTTCCCTCTGCTTCCATCCCCGTCCCCCCTTTCCCCCGCGGAGACTGCGCGCCACTACCCCCACCACTACCACTCCCACTCCGACCCACCAGACGCCCGCACCGCGTGTGTTCGAGGAGAATGGCCGTCTCCCACGGCTCGAGCGCCTTCAGCACGACGACGGTATCCCTTTCGGTCTGGCGTTTGCGGCGCCCCGAGGAAAAAAATGGGAGCGCGCGTTAGTTTTTTTTTTTTTAATTAGTAGTAGTGTTTGCGCGAGGGCGAGGGCGAGGGGCAAGTGGTGGGGGTGGTGGTGGAGGGGAAGAAGGGAGAAAGGGGGGAGAGGAAGCGAAAGCAAAAGGAGGATGAGGAGGAGGAGGAGGAGGAGGGGGGGAAGAAGGAGGGGGTGGGGGTGAAGAAGGGTAGAGAGGAGGGTGTAGAGAAGGGGTTGGAGAAGCAGGGGGAGGAGGTAGAGGCAAGTGCGGGAGCGCGGGCCAGTACTTGTCGGTGTGCTTGCTGCTGGTGGGGGATTGTGCGGGGGAGAAAGAGGAGGACGCGGAGAAGGGGGAGGAAAAGCGGCGCTTGTATTTGCGGCCGTGGCCTCCTTCTTTGATGTGTCTTGAGACTGGGGTGGGGGTGTGGGGGTGCTCGCTGGGGTGGAAACTGCTGAAAGAATGGCGAAGGTGGCGCAGGCGTTGATGTTTGAAGTGTTGTTTGTGTTGTTCTCCAACGGCGCAGGCGGCAGAAGTCGTAGTAATGAGAGGACTCACCCTATCCCACTCCCAGGGCACCCCGTAGTACGTCAATGTGTCCGGAGACATTTGGTCTTTGTGTATCTTGGTGGTCTTGGCTGACTGCTGAGACGACGGTGGTTGCGGCGGCAGCGGCAGGTGTGGGCGCGTCCGTGCGGCACTTTGTCTCATGCCGAAAGGCAAGTTAAGTTGGAATGAGAATGGTGGGTGGCGGGGTAGAGTGCGTACTGACTGGGAGGAGGTAGGGCGATATGGTACGGGTTGTTGCGGTGGAGATGCCGCTTGGTGCGCAATTGGGCGGTATGAGAGGGGGACTGAGGGTGTTCGGGTGGCCGTTGACTGAACTTCTGCCGGCTGCTCAGGGATAGGGCTGGGTATATCGGCGTAGAAACTTGTCCGCTGTTCTGGCCGTGCATTTTTTGTCGAAGTGCGCCGGCGCCGAGATAGAAAGCTTCCCTTCGATATACGCCGGCCTTTTCCAGCTTCAGTGTTGTCTGTCCCACGCTTGGAAACCTTGACAACGTTGATGTCGTTCTGGTCTACGGGTCTTAGCCTCAGAGCTCTTGCAAAGCGGCGAAACCTGCTCGCGGTGGAAGATCGTTGCTTCGCATGGTCCTTTGGTGTATCTGAAGTGTTTTCGGCGACGTATCTATACTCTGAGGGTCCAAGTGGCGCGATTGGCCTATAATCTGCGGACGGCTGCCGCTCTGCCGGATGGACGTTCTGGATATCCGTCGCAAAATATGTTGACAACGGGGCTTCATGCCTAATCTGTGACGCGTCCGAGTGTTGGCTCGCTGTCTCTGGACATCCGCTCATCTTGCGTAAGGGGGGTTGAAGGCTAGTTTTCCTCCATGTTGCTGCATCTTGTTCGTCTGGTTGCTCTGTACTCATCTGCCGTCGTCGCCCGAGGGATATGCGACGGCCTTTCCCCTTATCACTTAGATCTTCTGCTGGCCTGGTAGGTGTGCTCCATACTTTCGCTGAGATCTGTTCTTGTATGCTTCTTTCGATGACGAGAAGCTCCGAGGTGAATTGTTGCTGGATCTGGAATACCTCGTCGCGATGGCGTTGGTCAGCCTCGCGGATCTGCAGGCCGGTTTGCTGGTAGATGTCCGTCATTTGCCGCTGTGCGCGGTCCTCGATCAGCCTTGCTTCACGTAACAGCATGTTCCGGCTCTCTTGTTCCTTCGCTTTCTCCACACGTAATTGCTCTTTGTACTCTTCGATGGCGGCCTCTCTGATCAACCTCTCTCGTGCCGCTTCCTCCTCTTTCGTCTTTACAAATCGCTCGATTATGACCTTCTGGTCACCCTCGCTTACTTCGCCTCCTTGAAGCTCTCCTATCTTCCGCGCTAGACTCCTGTTCTGCCTCTCCAGGAGTCTCATTCGTGAGCTGACGTGTTTACGAAATATCTCGTCGTCCTGCTCACGGCTGGTCCTCTCGGCGGACGCTAGCGGTTGTCGCGTCTTCGTTTTCGCCAGCTCTTCTGAGTCTTCACCCTTGAATGTCGACGACGTGTCCTCCATCCATGTGGTATTAGCTGGGTGAGGGCGCGCTGCATCCTTTCCCTGAGATGACTTTTCCGCCTTGCGACTCGCGAAGGCTGCGGTGGACTTGTCATTGCCGTTGTTTTCGTCATCGCTAGCCATGGTGAAGCTGGCATGGGATTCAGTGGCTGATATGGTTGCGATGCGGAACTCGCGATCCCATTCTTCTTCCCATTCCGAAGCGTCGCGGGTCTTGTTTGAAGAAGTAGTCGTGGTATCAGTTGGGACTCGAAGGGCTTTTCTGTCTATGGGACTCGCGATGGTGTTGTTTCGGGGGGTTTTAGGTGCAACGGGGGCGGACGAACCGCCCGTTGAGTCGGTGCCGGTCGTCAAATTGGTGCTGTTGGAGACATATCGCATCTGAGGGCCGTCGGGATCAAGAGTCGATGAGGCTTTCCGCAACTCAGGGATTGAGTCTCGTGCAGATAACCTTTCGAGAAAAGACTGGATGTCGGCGACTTGATCTTCCAGAGATTCCATATCCTTTGTGATACGATTGACAGTCGCGTCGGCTTCGTCGTCTCTACGTCTGGATGTGAGAACACGGCCGGCGTAAATGATCGGCATACGTACCTTTCTGAGCTCGCCGTCTCTCCCTCTTTCATAAGGTTGCCGATTACCCTGAGTTTGATGTATATTCCATCAAACGACTTGATAATGCTGCTTTTGTACCCGTTCCCAAACCTCTCTAGTAAATCTAACGCTCCCTCACCAACGCCAATCCGCTCGCCCCAGATCTTAAATCTCGAAAACGAGTCATCAAGTTTCCCCAACTGCTCACTGCTGATATTCACGGCACTTCTCTGGGTGATGTTCTCGAAGCGCAGACACAACTGCTGATGCAGACTCACGAGAGATCCGCGGCCCATCATTAAGAGAAGCGTGAGGACAAGAAGAAGGCTTTGAGCCACAAAAATGAAGGGAATTCCCGTCGGAGCAGTAGTAGCGTAGCCAAGGGACATGTGATTGTGGTATGTTCGTGTGGGACCCAAATCATCCGAAGGCGCTCGCCCAAGGAATATAGCGCTCGCGCAATATATCAACAGTGGTACCAATATCTGCTGATGTGATATAGCTCATCAGAACGTGGCTACATGTGGTGGTGGTCAGCGCGGCGCGTAGTCGAGGCGTGGGCTAAAACGGGTAGTAGCGCCACGAAACCAATGCGGCAATCGCACACCCGAAGCAGCCCGTTATCCGAAGGTGCGCGATGAACGGTCTGACTGACTGTGCACTTTATATCGATATTCCTTAGTCTTTTGGGACCCACTTGACTCGAAATGATTGTACTTGACCTTCGAACAGTCCTCCTTTCTGCCTTCCTGTGTCTCCACTCTATCCAGCAAGGGCGCCACAAGTGTACCGCAAAGTGCCGATTTAGAACAGGCCGGTCTGCGCCCGAATGAGTCAACGCTCCAGCCCGAGATATGGCTCCCCAACGCTGGCTAAAGCCCTTGAATCGATGGTGCTGGATCGGCTGCTGACTAACTGTGTGCGCGTGCCGTCGAGTACCCGGAAAGCAGGAATAGACTGTCCATCGCGCTCATCAGCAGTCCCGTCCACTTACATAACTTTAAGGTAAGAAAAGGAGGCTAGATAATATCATTATATTAGAGCATTGAGCGGGGTCGGTGTACTACAAAAAGATGGGAAAACGAAGCCAACATCAAAGACACAGTCTCGCCAAACCTTGCTTCACCTCGGCCATCCACTGCCTATTATCCGTCACGCGCTCCGAAGTACTTGACTCCTGCGCCAGTCAGTAAGCAAACCATCCACCCACAAAGAGGACGCCGAACCTCCACGCCCGTAACCTTCACGCCAACATTACCGCTACTTCATGAGAAAAAGAACAAGCCCTACCCCCTCATCCCCTCCCACGTACATCACGAGCTTAAAGTACTACACTTTCCTCCCTTCTTTCCCTTTTATCCTCCTCTTTCACATACAATCCACCATGACCACCCGTTCTACGACCCCGTCTTCTTCTTCCCCCAGCTCTTCGGCACCCTACACAACCAATACAGCCCCAAAGCCGCACAAACATTAAACACGACATACACCCACAACAACCCAAAATTCCTCCACGCATCGCCAAAGTCGGCGCCCACCCCAGCCAAAAACTGATCTGCATTCCCCATCTTACAATACCCGCACATCCGCTTGTTGTCGTCGTCTCCATCCATCGGCACGGCATACCCACCGCCCACAGCCTCGACCCAAGGCCTCAAAAACGCCTCGCACGACAACTCCTCTTTTCCTCCCCCTCCTCCCCCAGGCAACTCAAACCTGAGCACCTCGTCCTCAGCGCAGCGCACATCCTTGCCGCCGACGGCGGCGCTGAGCGCGGCGGCGACGAGGTAGGTGAAGGGCGAGACGCGGTTGAGCCAGCGCCAAAAGGGCGGCAGCAGGGGCGCTGGCGGCAGCACGCCGCAGAAGATGAGGCTGAGGCTGACCAGCAGCTGCGCCAGGTTGCTGCCGGCCTCGGCCGTGGCGGCGGGCGCGGCGACGGCGGCCGCCAGCGTGCTCGCGAACAGGAGCGTCACCCACACCAACAGGAACATGAGGCCTGCTCGTTCGCCGCCGCTGCCGCTGCTGGTGGTGGTGGCTGTCGTTACTGCTAGCTCGGTGGTGGTGGTGGTGCTGCGGTGCTGTAGGCCGAGCAGGTAGTAGAAGGGTGGGTAGATGAGGAGCGAGGCGACTGTGTTGTACGGGAGCTCGGCGATCATGCTGGCCATGAGGAAGGTTGGCCAGGAGTATGTCTTCGACGGCCGCTCGCGCGCTTCGTACAGGGTGCGCTGGGTGATAAAGATGGGCATGAACTGCTGGATGAGCTGGCCGAAGATGGTGATGAGCATGAAGATGGCGAACATCTGGTTCTGGAGACCTTGGATCGTGTTTGGTGAGTTGAGGAAGACGAGTCCAATGAACAGGGACTAAATAAATGTTAGTGAAAAAGCTGTGAGCGAGCTTTTGCCGTACGCAGACGGCGAGTCCACCTACCGAGAAGAAGCAGACGGAAAATTTTGAGTATATGTATGTCGGTGTCCGCCAGTACTGTTGGAATACCCGCCTCGTTACTTCTCGCATCTGAACCCCGAAAGGAGCGGCAAATTCCCTGCACTCTGCAGCCTCGCCACTGGCCGTCTCGCCGTCTTCACTCTTTGCAAGCGGCGGTTTCTCCCTCAACCGTAGCAGCTCATGGCACACCGCATCGTACTCCGGGCTGTCCCTCCACACCCGCGGCCAGTCGATATCCGAGCTGCATCCGGGTGCCGCACCGATGACCTCCAGCAGCCACTCGGCGGGGTTTGCTTGATCTGGGCATCGCTGACTCTCCTCACATCTGGCTTCGAAATAGTCAATGACAGTACGTGAGTTCTCACCGATGTCACCGAAGTAGATGGTCGTTCCACCATTGTGCAGAAGCAGCAACCGATCGAACCGTTCGAACAACTGGGCCGAAGGCTGATGGATGGTAATTAGTACTGCCTGGCCAGCCTTTGTCAGCTTTTCGATCAGGTCACAGATGGCCCACGAAGTCTGTGAGTCCAAGCCTGAGGTGGGTTCGTCAAGGAAGAGGAGGGCGGGTCTGGCGGCGAGCTCCACCCCGATTGTGAGTCGACGACGCTGCTCCACATTCAAGCCTGCGTACGTTAGAATCAAAAGTTCCATAATCGACCCCAAGGATGTTCTGATAAATGTCTTACCTTCCCCGGGGACACCGACAACCGCGTCCGCGTATTCCTCCATTTCCAGCAATTTGATCACCTCCCCCGCGTAGTCCAATTTCTCCTGCCTTGGAACATGGGCCGGCTGTCGTAGTAGAGCACTGAAGTTGAGTGCTTCACGCACAGTCGAGGTCTCCAGATGCAGATCTTGTTGCTGGACGTATCCGGTTGAACGTTGGAAATTTATGTTCCGCGGCCGTCCATCGAGCAGCGCGTCTCCTGTTACCACCCCCATGGTCGTTCTTGCTGCAAGCGTGTCAAGCAGCGTAGTCTTTCCAGCTCCCGAGACACCCTAAATGTCCCTCTTAGCCTTATTTTCGCAGCCAAGCTCTCCAGAGAAAGACGAGGACTTACCATCAATGCGGTCAGCGTCCCAGGCTTGATCCAACCGTCAACACGGTCGAGAAGCCTCTTTGGCCCACCAGCAGTTTTGATGTCGTAGCACAGATTCTGCCAGTGGAAAACGGACGTCTGCTTCGTGATCGATCCTGCCGCACCTGGGCTACCAACGATGCTCCCACGCTGCCCTCTCGCCGCAGTCTCGACGTCGTCTCGCGTAGAAGTATTTGGTACGTATCCGCGACGGAAAACTAGCACCTCGCCTTTCGAACGCTTCTCACTGATGTACTCGGTGGCAATCAAATACGTCAACATGAACAGGAAGATGAAGCCGACAACGGCGCCAAAGTCCCTGGTCCCAGTCAGTCTCCGGTAGTGGGAATTTCATAGCTCGGGGTGATAAGACCTACCTCCAACGATGCGCATATTCGTACCGGAAAGCCGTCCTCAGGTACGCGTCCCCGTCCACGTAACTAGCTCCAGGCTTCGCGCCCACAGCGTCGCAGACTTTGTTCATCGGTGCTAGACCTGGATAACCCGGAACGAAGCTTGAGCACGACCATTGCCTACCGTGGAATTCGTTCGCCATCAACGCCTCAAACCCGTACGCTACAGGGTCGACCCAGTTGATCCACCGGCACCACCCACGCATGTACTGAATCGGTATCGCGAACCCGGTGAAAATCACGATGGCCAGGATGAGTAGGGTTGCGGGGACCATGGCCTGTGAGATGGTACGCGATACTGAGGCAATGGTGCGGAAGAGCATGGACATGGCGAGAGTGAGGGCGAAAGAGAGGAGAAGGAAGAAGAAGAAAGCCGAGACCTCTCGGCGGAGGTTCGTCATGAAGTAGAGAGTAACATTGAAGATGATGCAGTTGCCGACCTTATATGGGATGTCAGTAAGCATGCTAGCAAATGCCTCAGCGCTGGGATGGTAGAGTGCATAGCGCGTATGCTTCTCGACAATCGATCGTTGAGCATAAAGAGTTAGGATCTGTAGCGCGTTAACATATTGGTCACAACGCAGGTGCTTAGTTGTCGGCCGAGTATACCTCAAGTGCGCTTCCAAAGGCGTTCAACAGGATCGCGAAGAATATAACGGCGCCGCGTTTGAATAAATGGTCCGAATCATCTTTCAGGTTTAAAAACACACTTCCTATGATCACCGCCATGATCGCATTCGCAACGAATTGACCTATGGTGAGACTAGGATCGGCTTTCAACCGTTTTATACCTCTCCAGAGACAGAGCCGCACTTGCTGACCATACGACAGGGTATACGGAGACCTTGTTCGTCTTTGATGCGATAGTTAGCAAGGGCCTACCATAATCATCTACTTGGATTACTTACGCGAACCTGGCTTGTTGCGCCCTCTTCGACTCCACAAATCTCTCCAGATACTCGCCTCCGAACGAGTATTTCGTATTGTACTCCCTCAAGTCTTGTAGTAGCCGATGGTATTCATCGCTTGCCCTCCATACCGCCGCGAACTCGTCCGCTGTACGCGGGACACGATTCTCATAACCCTGCCGCACAACCCTCTCATGCGGGCTGGTCATGGACGTGAGGAAGTCAGCCGTGGTCTGGCGCTGCGGACACTCAAACCCCAGGTCTAGGAAGTAGTCTTTCGCATCCTCACATCGACCAAAGTAGATCTGCCGGCCATCATACAACACCGTCACCTTATCAAAGATCTTTCAACTCGTCAGTATATCCCGCCGCGATGTAGGGCTTGAGATTGCTTACGTCGTAAACGTTCTGGCTAGCTTGATAGATAGCCACGCATGCGCTGACACCCAGATACTCCGTCTGCACCCTCAAATTCTTGCAGAACTCCAGCGCATTCGCGCTATCCAGGCCCCTGGTGCTGTTGTCCCAACACTGCAATGGGGCCCTGCTCAGCGTGGCCTCGGCGATGGTCACCCGCTTCCTCTCGCCGCCGCTGACGCCGCGCACGAATTCGTTACCGACCTTGGTGTCGACCGTGTGACCGATCCCAAACATAGCCATGACGACGTCGCGCATGTGCTCCGCCCATCCCTCATGGTCGATCCCGCCGACCAGGAAGCGCGGGGAGCGGGCGCGCGCCGCGAAGAGGAGCGTGTCACCGACAGTCATCGAAGGGAAGTGCACGTCCTGCTCGGCCGTGTAGATGGCATCGCCGCGGAAGTCGTGATGCATCTGTTCGGCGCAGATGCCTGTGGCGAAAAAGTCAGAGAACATCACCTCACTTCGAGTGGGCCTGTGGGAGATGATCCCTCTCACTCACCTTGGTAGTTCAGATAACTCCCCTCGTCGACGCTCACCCCATGCGTCTCACCCGCCAGCGTCTTCAACAGCGTCGAGCACCCGCTCCCGGGCGGTCCCAGCACGAGCATCATCTCTCCAGCCTCAACGATGCCATCAAGCCCCTTCAGAATCTCCTTCCGCCTCGCTCTTCTGCCTCCACCACCCCCAAACACCCATTCGCACGCATCCCGTACGCTCTCCAAACCCCTCAACACCGCATTCCCCACCGTGGGCTGGTACTCGCTGTCGACCGCAACCCCGCTGACGCCGAGGTTCGCAAAGGCCACGCCAGCGGTCCGCGGCGGCTGTTTGTCCGGCTCAGCCGCCTGCAGCTGCAGGACTGCCTGCGCCCACGCCTTGGCCGAGAAGGCCGGCCCGCGGGGGTCGAGCTCGGAGCCGGGCGGCGCCTGGAACGGGTTGTCGTGGACGACGTTGCTATAGCGGTTCTTGTTGCTCCTGCTGCCGTTCGCGTCGACGTAGCGCGGCAGCGACGAGTAGCGGCTCGCGACGCTGTGGATGCGGCGGACGCGGTCCCTGTCTTCGACGGTGCCTGCGCCGCCGCGACGTCGGCGGCTGCGCAAAGAGGACGAGGCGTTGGTGCTGGCGGTGGTGAGGCGGGCGGGGCTCTTGGCGGCGCCGCTGCTGTTCGTGGTCCATTTCGAGTGCGCGCTGTGCAGGCTGCGGCGGTCGTCGAGGTGGTGGTGGTGGAGGTCGCCGGCGCTGCGCCGCTCGATGAGCTCGATGCGCGAGTCTTCGGGCTGGCGCGGGACCGATTCGCTGTAGCTGACGCTCGCGACGTCGCCGTCGAGCGTCCAGCATGAGTGGCCGTGGGTGTTGGTGCCGGTGTTGGACCGCGAGCGCGTGTGCTGCTGCCCGTCGTGGCTTCTGACGTTGTGCAGGACCGTCATGCCGACTTGCTCTCCCTCTCCCCCACCACCACCTCCGCCCCCATCGCCATCGCCGCCATCCTCTGAGTTTGCGGCTGTGGAATTGCGGCGACCGAACGTAAGTTTTCGAAGAGATGCCATCTGGGGCTAGCGATGTCCTGTCGGCAACTTTGGCCAGTGAGCTAAACTCCGATGTGAAGTGAGAGGAATCATGCGACTCAGCTTCGCGCGCGATTGGAGAGAGGACGCGTAGATTTGGGTGCTGCCGATAGGGGCCATGCTGCTAAGGGTGAACGGTGGACTTTGCCGTTGCCAGGTAGATCCAGTCGTGTGGTACGTTACGGTCCGCTGCCCCTCCCTTGCCTGAGATTCCAATCGAGCGCGAGCAAGGGTGAGGAATGCAACATCAGAAGAGACAGATTCCGTGTTTCCGTGTTAAAAATGACTCGGCGGAAGGTCCGTTGGTAGCGGATGACAAGGCGCAACTCATGCCACGGGTTTCTTGACAATCCTCACTTCGTCTTGGCCATTACCGAGGCTTTGTGCTTCCTATAGTTTCGTTGCTAAGTCTACCCTGCTGCTTGTTTCTTTCCGTTCGACTACAGTTTGATCAGTATCGTCAGAAATCTAGACTTATCCAATATAATCCCAGAAGTGATGATATTTAGGCAGCTACGTATCGAGCAAACTTTGAAGCTTGCCACTGCGAGTGCTTATGTTGCCCATGATGGACGGATGTTATGTCATTGGGCTTTCTGAACGTCTGCTTCTGGGCTCACAATTGTCTCTGGGATTAGCTGAGGTTGGAAGAAGGCCCTGGCTAGGTGCATCTTCGCAGCATCTGACAGCTGCGCGGCCAATCGTCATGCCGGCATGGCCTGGGTGGTGCGCACGGACCACATCCGACTTGATGTCCGTCATAGGACTCGCTCCTCTTCTTCTACTACTCCAACACCGACACCCTCACCGTCAAGACCTGGGCTTGACAACCCTCGCAAGGTTGTCAGATCTTCTGGCAGGCCTTGAAGCTTTCCGAACAGAAGAGTCTGCCCGGTTTTCTTGGCTGCTTTTCTTGACGACGATTCCTTTCCCGATATTCCCACTCCAAGATCTTCCGCACAAAACCACAACACCGACAACACCAGCTCCTCCACATAAGCTGTAGTCAATATGGCGTACAAAACTCTGATCCCGGTGTCGGGCTTCAAAGGCTCCGGCCCGCCGACCGAATTCAGGGAAGTCACCGTCTGGGAGAACAACGAATCGTCCGACGACTCCACCGGCAAACGCGCCAGGAGAAAGAAGAAGGAAAAGCCGTACAGGCCCTTGATCGGCAGGATCAACAAGTTCAGCTCCTACGACATCCTCCGCTTCCGCGACGAGGGCACGGCACACGCCCACGCGATGAAGATCTCGGTCCTCAAAGAGGGTCAATGGGCCGGCACCGTCTACTACATGGCCGACCTGGATCAGCTCGCTTCGCTGGCCGGCTTGAAAATCCCCTTCACTTCGAGAGTCATCCACAACGGCAGCCCTGACGCGCAGCCCTCGGTTCTGGGCGATTGGCTCAAGGAGTACACGGCCGGAGATGTCATGACGCCGCTGGTGAAGCTTCTCCAATACGTCCGCAAGAACTGGATCGGTCCGGATAAGGAGTATGCCGGATACGAGCTGAGGGTCTTTACGGATCCGTTCAGGGCCGACGGCTACCCTCCCGAGTGGCATGTCGAAGACACGAGTGTTCCGGACACTACCGCTGGAGTACTGGATCCCTCTCCGCTGGTCGTCGTCACAGCCTTGAAGGGTCCTGGCACGTTGTTCCTGCGCAACAGGGCGCTTGGCTGGAAGAACTATGACGAAGAGGGCTGGGAGGAGTACCAGGCTGCTGCTGAGAAGGATCAGCTTCGGACTGGAGAACTTGGCATTTTCATTCCTAGTCCTTCAAACTCATTGACGCGCGCCGGTAGGATGATCGGTGCTCTCCATGCAAGGCCGGATGAGCAAGACGGCGATCGGGTCGTCGCACAGTTGATACTCAGCACCAAACGCCAGATGAAAGGGTATGTGGACGACCATAAGGAGACGCTCGAGCGGAACCGTCTTCTGGGGTTGCTCGACGACGATGATGATAACAAGGACGATGAGGACGATGAGGACGGTGACGGTGATGACGAAGAGGACGAGGGTGAGGATGGCGATGATGAAGAAGACGATGACGAGTAGTTGAATATCTGCGCCATGGCTTCGAGGTAAACTACGTGCTTCGTCGACTACTCTAGGCTTCTGCCATCCAACATCATCATCCTGCAGCGGAGACAATTGAACATGAAACAAAGCATAAAGACATGCAAAAAAAAAAAAAAAAAAGACGACTAACGCGGCTCCGAAATTTTGGCTAGTCTGAGACTCATGCCTTCCTGACGAAGGTCTTTTGGTTAGTAGAATTTTGGATCTCAAAGAACTTGATTCAGCCAGCCGCGGGCCGACAGAGCCTGGGCAGGGGAAAGCACGAGGAAGCGAGCTCAGAGTATACGACCTATCACTAATAAGCTCGCAGCTCCTCCAGCGCTGAAACCCTCGCGAGCACTCACAGTACGGCAATAGAGCGAGGTATAGCCATTCAGCGCCCGGGGTCTTCTTACCCCAGAAAACTCGACAGAGATTAATACCTGTTGATAATTGGACAGGACACTTGGCGCTGCTCTTCCCTGGATCAACCATTGGGCTTGCTTTTTTCTTTTCTAGTGACGGCTGATGCTTGGCGTTTCGGCAATACGAGCTTGGATATTTTTTTCTTCTTTCCTGCAGTAGCCCGGGTACATCCGCTTGATAGGTCAATCCAAAGCTCTTCCGGTAGCTCCGTAAAGAACCATAGGCGATCGGGTGGAACGATGCTGACGCAGCCGCCCCTCCGCCACTTAAGTACGTGTACGTATCTGGTGCGACAACAGCTCGCACCGTGGCAGCACAGTGACGGCATGGGGAGTCGAATTCATTGTCTCGACGCGCCTGTGCATGCTCCCTTATATGTTCGTGGCCTGATTGACGCTCCATCCGCTCGTGAATTTACTCAATGATCGTGGCAGTGCGATCTCGTGCTCTAGCGAGTCGTTGGTGATCTACAATACGATAATCGCCGACCCCGCTGATCAGCATGCTCTCTATCGATTCGCCAGCTTCTCGAAGCGGCGGCAGATCTCGATCGGCCAACGAATCTACGAGTAAGCAGTCGTGCGTGGTACGAGGCGCGGTCTGAAGCACGTCGTCGGGCATTGCGAAACCCTACCGAGGCCCCTTTCGGCCGGACACCGACTGGTGCCGGCTACGACGAATTGATTGATGATGGCCACCGCCTCCGCCACCTCTGGGGGTGGAGACACATGATCCGGCGGCGAGGAAAAAAAAGGCGCGGTCGAAGTCGGTCGGAGACGGTCTAAGGATAGCAACAAGTCGAGGCCATCACAGCCTCATAGCGCGTCATCCTACGGCCGCGGCAATTCTTTGCGGGGAGGGACGGGGAGCGAACGGTCTCGAAGCCAGCGAGGCAAGGATGGCGCCAGCACACCGGCGGCGCTTCGGCGAGGAATGCGACGTGCCGCAGGATGCAACGGGCCTTCCCATTGCTGCCGTTCGTCAGGCCGCTCGCGCGTGTTGCAGCAGGCGCTGCAATGTTCAGGGGCGTTTCTCAGCTGGCGGTTGTGAGGTCGTGGTGGCTTGCCAGGGGAGAAGTGGTGGCTTGCCGGGACAGGGGAGTGACACGCCGGACAGGACAGGGTAGCGGTTGTGAGTGAGAAAATGGCGGCCGCCATCTGCGTCGTTCCCGTCCGCCCTGCGCCCTTGGCGGTAAAGCAGGCGGTAGGTACTGACTCAGGCTCGAAGGCAACGCGTGGCGACCATAGCTTTTCGCGCACGGCCAGCGGCCTGCGTGTTGTCCAAAGCTCCTAGGTGGATCGTCGCTCGCGCGCCGTATCGCACAGCCGCTGGCGCGACGGCGAACGGCCGCGCGCGAAGCTAGTAACCTCACGCGCCGCAGCCGTTGGGGCGGTGGACGTGTAGGTAGACGAGGGCGTGACAGGCGCTTTGTGATGCCTAGCAGAGCGTACAGGGATTGGTTGTTTCAGGCCGCCCAAGCTGGGAGCTGCGACGGGCGAGCTTCCGCATATTAGAGCTCTGGATTCGCAGGCATTGAACGTGCGTTCCAGCACCGTGTACATGCTGCTCCACCCACCCGATCTCGACAACAATAAATACGATTCCAGCCTCCCAAACCCTCCTCTTTTCTTCTTCAGTCAGGCACTCACCCACGATCCTCGGTGTAGCATCAAGCAGCCTCAGGCAGCCTCAGGCAGCCCAGCCAGGACGTCCTGCACTCCCGTTTAACGGCCCGCGTTCTCTCTCAAGTCTCCTTACGCGTCTTTATCCTTCTTCTCTTCCCCTTCCCATCACCACCGCCAGCCAGACACAATGGCCGACGGCATGGACTACCAGCACCAGCGCCAGCGCTCCGGCACCGCGAGCCAGCGCAGCGTGAGGGTCGAGGCTCCCATGGAGCCCGTAGAACCTGTTCCTTCGGTTCCCTCGATCCACCAGATTCCGCCGTCGAGTAGCGGCACCGCCGTAACTGACCAGGAGAAAATCGACATGGAGTCGAAGCCTCTCGAGACTACCTTCTCCCCCGATCCCCAGGTGGCTCCGGCCATGCGCAAGTTCCGCCAGAAGCGTACCAAGTCCATTGATCTGGACGACTACTTCGTATGACGTCTCCACCAGCCCTGTGCCCTGCCACCCGCTAACCTCGCTGTAGGAAGGACCACGCGCCATCGACAAGCACTCCAAGTGGCCCATGTTCCTGCGCATGCACGGAAGCATCTTCCCGGAGCTTGTCCTGCCTGTCTTCAGTTGCGGTTTGTGGGCGACGTTAATGTGCGTTTTGCAATTGCAGTGCTGATTTTCAATTGAAGGCGCGGTGCTAATTACATACAGTACTTGCATCTCGCAATTCGTCTACCCGCTCGGTGTCTCCAACATTCTTCTGACTGTCCTCGGCTTCGTCGTCTCCCTCGCCATCTCGCTCCGCAGCACCACCTCCTACGAACGCTACTCCGAAGGCCGCAAGTACTGGGCCCAGCTCATGCTTGTATCGCAAACACTGGCCCGTGAGATTTGGGTTTCCGCCTCGGAGGCTGAGGGCGAAGAGGGCAAGGAGGATGTGCTTGGCAAACTGTCCGTCCCTTCCGCCAGGACCCCCAATCGTACAACAGCTGACCGTTCAACAGCACCGGCCTGAACCTCATCGTGGCCTTCGCCAACGCTCTCAAGCACAAGCTGCGCTTCGAGCCCTATGTCCACTACGAGGACCTCCAGGGCTTGGTCCAGCACCTCGACACGTATGCCAAGGAAGCTGAAGATCCCGATCTTCTGATCCCGCCCAAGAAGTCTCCCTGGAAGGTTTTCGGCGAATACCTGGGTGTTCCCATGGCCGAATCGAACCCTCGCAAGCAGCTCAAGCGCGCGAAGAAGCCGCTTGGCAACCTGCCCCTCGAGATCCTCAACCACCTCAGCCGCTACGTTGATACTCTGACTGAGGCTCCCGAGGGCGGCGAGGCAAAGCTTAAGGGCTACCACCAGGTCCAAGCCACCCAGGCAATCTTCCAGCTCAACGACGTTCTCGCCGGCACCGAACGCGTTCTCACCACCCCTCTCCCGATCGCCTACACGATTGCCATCTCGCAAATCGCATGGCTCTACGTCCTCCTGTTGCCCTTCCAGCTGTGGGAGTCGCTGCAGTGGGTCACCATCCCCGGTACCATCGCAGCTGCCTACATCATCCTGGGCTTTGAGGCCATCGGTCGCGAGATTGAGAACCCCTTCGGCAACGACGTCAACGACCTGCCGCTCGACGACTACTGCAACCAGCTGGCCGCCGAGATCGACATCATCGCCTCGACGCCTGCCCCTAAGCCCGAGCAGTTCATCAAGCGCCAGGACAACCTCGTGCTCTTCCCCTTCAGCCCCAACGGCTACGGCGCCTGGGCGGCCCGCTCCGTCGGTCAGATCCGCGAGCGTCTCCGCTCCCGCCCGTTCCAGACAATGTCCGAGGCTGAGGATGCCCGGAAGAGCATGCACGAGTCACGGCAGAAGAAGAAGCAGGAGGTGTAACGAGCCCTCTCTTCGCTCGCATCTCCTTCTGTTTCTTTTTCATCATCGTTGAGTTTGACAAATACCCCCTCTCTCCTCAGTTACAGCGGTCTCAGAAGATTGATCTTCACTTCTTTCTCGGAAATTGGAAAGGAAGCAAACACCCGAAAGGGTCTTCCTCTTGTCGTCCCCCACAAGGACTTTTTAGCGAGCACGGACACCGGAGTTTTAGTACCCAAGTGAGATCGCTTGGTTTTTGTGCTTATTTGCGAGGTTTGCTTTTATCGTTTATACTCATTTCAGCAGAGGAAAAGGCAAGCAAAGGACAAAGAGGTTCGTTGCCGGAGAGCCTGACCAAAAGCAAAAAATAGGTGCATTTATGGGTGCATTTACTGTATTACCTGGCTTATTTGATGGGAAGCCACCTTTTTTGTTTACGAGCCACGACACACTCTACGTGGCTGTTATTGTCTCCTTTGTAGACATCGCGGGGGAGGACGGATCACATTTCAGTCTGCCAAAAATCCTCTTCTCATCGCTCGTTGGATGGAACCAAAAAAGAGAACGTCAAGCTGGATGTCTCTTTTCCCTAGAATATTTAAATCAACGATTCGACTCCCCACCCTACTTTTACTCCACTCCTCTTGACATCGTGTTATTCTTTACTTGGTTGAGCTACTTGCATTGCATCGGAATGCAAGCCAGAACTTCCATCCCATGCAGCTGACTTGCAGTCTGCGCATGCAGAGAGCAGCCCCCAGCCAAGACTCCTGACAGGAGGGAACCAATGGCATGGAAATGGCGCTAGTGCGATGGTGCGACAGTATTTCCTTTCAGCTATGATTTCTCCCCCGCTGACTGCCGTCGGCACTACTTGCTGTCTTGGCGGTTCCCAGGTACGGGGTATGCGCTGACATGTGCTGATGCGGGTTGCTGCACACGAAACAGCCTTGCATGCATGATTCTCAATTTATCTATGTGAGGATGACAGGCCAGCTTTGCGAATCCAGTAACGGAAGGAGACAAAGACCAACAGCGCGCTCACAACAGAGCAGACATGTTAACATTTCGAAATGCTTTTGACTTTTTTTTTTTTTTTGCCCACACTCCTTCCATATCCGGGTCGTTTCATTTCTCCCCGCACGAACCGCTCTGTGAGTCATCCATTTTGTATCTCAACGTGACCCCAAACGTGTGCAGCAGCCGGCCCGCGCGCGCTTGATCGACGCGGCGAGACCGACCCAGCATCTGCCCAGTACCTCGATCAGCAGCACGAATCCCATTTTTATTATGCGTTGGCGCTGATTGGGGAGGGGTGTGGGGGAAGAAGAAGGGGGAAAGAGAGAGAGAGGAAGGATCCGAGTAGTATAATAGCAGGAGCGCGATGATCCGACACAGGCGAAGTGAAGAAAAAGTCCCGCAGGGCGCGTGTTGCAATGCCGCCGTTTTCTCAAGGCTGCAGCTGTCCTTTCATTCTTAATGATGTGAGGATAAGCTGTTGGGTTTGCCTATCACGTCGTTTTGCCGAGCGTCACAGACCACCATCCGAGCGCCCCGCAGGCCACCATCGGAACCATGAGCCACGGAGGCGCGTACGCATGTCTCTCAACACTCCGATGGGGCACGGTGGCCGCTGTGGACGCTTCCGCCATGAATTTCCGCCTGAAACTATCCAGGATGCTTCAAGGGCCGAATCCACGCGAGTCATCTTCACGCAATGTCTCGGCCAGCAAGACTCGCCATGTGCCTTAACTTCGGTCGGCACGCTAGTAATAAACCTTCACGCTAACGCCGCAATAGGAAGCAGATGTTATCATTCCGTGAGGGATACTACTAAAATACAGCACACGAAAAAGCCGCGTCCCATCCGGCCCATTATACTTTTCTTTGAATACCCGTCGGGAGAGGGCGGGAAAGGGGACGGCTAGCTAGAGAAAAAAGGGCATGCTTCTGATTCCCAGGGAACAAAATAGAAAATGTATCGAACTGAAAGTTCGGATCCCACCAGCGCCTCGGTTTTCCCCTTTGACCCATATTAAGTCAAGTGGGCCTTCATCACGATGAAAAATAAAAACGCCTTCTAAGCTTTCCAAAGCCCGTTGTCATCCTTCATGCAACCACCGTATTCTTCTCATCCTCGGCGTGAATAATGCTTAGATCTCGTGGCTCTTGAAGCCCTCGTCGCCCTCCTTCAGCGGCGTGGCTTCTCTTTCATCATCGGATCCCACCTTTTGCACGCCAAGCTTCTCGCCAAAGGCGTCGGCGCCGTGAACTGCTTCTTGCACAATCTTCAGGCCATCTTGGGGACCAGAGATAGCGGCGCGCTTGAAAGCATCCTCCACTGCACGCATGCGCTTCTGGAAACCGAGACGGTCGAGGAAGAGCTGCTGTCGGCGGCGCTCAAGATCGCGACGCTCAGCCGAGAGGACTTGCTCAAGCTCTGAGAATTGCTGCAGCTTGAGTTGCATCTTCTGCAGCTCCACGTTGACAGCACTGGATACCAGGCGGGAGATGTTACGCTCCTCATGCGAAGCCAGCGCCGCAGCACGAGCCGCTGACAGAGCGAGCGGAACTGTGGCGTACGGGTTGGCCGGCTTGCTAGCATCAGTTTGAGTAGCCACAGCGCCGGCTGCCTGCGGCGAGCCCGTGTCGACGTCCATACTGTCTTCGTTCTTGACCTTGGCCTCGGGAGCCGCAGGTGCAGCAGAAGCTTCCTTCTCCTTGCCTTTGTCAGACTCACCCGAAGGAGCATCACCCTTCTCAAGCTTCTCCCTCAATGCGCGCTTCATCTCATCCACGCTCTTACCGGCTGCTGCAGCGGTGACGGCAGGGTCTGCCAGGCCAGCAAGGAAGCCCATAACAGACAGAACAGCATTGTCAGCCTGGTTAAAGGGGACGCGGCCGTTGCTCAGATAAGCGAGGTTGCCTCCAGTGAGTTCCGTCTTGTTCCCATTCTCCTGCTCCTCAAGATACTGGTCCTCGATTTCCAGCTGGAGGAATTTGAGGACACACTCTTCTCTTGTCCGGTTGCCGACGTATTCTGCGACCTGGTTCCAGTCCTCATCAAACATTTCCAATGCTTCCAGAAGGCGCAGAGTCTCTCCATCCGTCCAAGGCGCATTCCGGTCAGGGATACCCGAGTACTTGTCATTCTCGATCTTGGTGTAGTCTGATGCAGTGCTCGAAGAAGGGAAACGACCTTCCAAGAAGCAGTTCGGGCAGAGATCGTATTTGAGCATCGCAGCGGTCTTACCCGATGCAGAGTGCGGGGCAGATTTTGTGTTATGATAATGTACGCGGGTGCAGTCAATGCCGCACGAAAAGCAGTTGACCTGACGACCTGGCTCCTTGAGGGCATCCACGAGAGACTTGCTGTCGGCTAACTGGGTTCCGTTTGTAGCCGATCCCTCACCATTGGCGGATTTGTCCTTGGTATCAGCGGGCGTGACTTCTTTTCCGTTAGACTCATAGGCATTGCGGCGGATTTCAAGGTTGAGATCCTCCTTCGACGCAGGCGTTTGGCTCGCGAGACGCTCCGTGGCAGTCAGAGGCTTGCCTACGGTCACCACAGATTTGGGAGCAGGCTGATGAGGTTGCAGACCACGAGGAGTGTCTGCCGTGATCTTGAAGTGACCAGTAAAAGGAGGACCAATGTTTGATGGCCTGGTGTCCGGGTCGACTTGATAGTTGATCAGGCCCCACTGCTCGAGGAAAGCGTGCACACGCATGATTGCGCAAACATCGCCAGCAAGGTTGCGGCGACAAGCGGTCACGGTGAGATATTCGGCAGGGTTCAAGCGGTAGGTGTTGACCATGAAATCACGGTAATCCTTGTAGACCGCGGGGGTCTTGCTACGGTTCCTGCTGTTGAAAAACTCAGGAAGAGCCTTGCGCTCGATGTTGTGGATCGTGTTCATGTCGAACCAAGTGCTGTAACTCGGTAGGATGATGGCATGAGTCTGCGCAATGAGGTGAGAACGGGCTTGGTTCTCCAATGCGGATTTGGTCTGAGCAGGTTGGTCATCTGCGGCGGCATCGGCGTTATCCCCGGCCTCCTTCTCTGGGCTGGTGGCTTCCTTCTTCGTGTCGTCCATGCCACCCATCTCCTCGTCCTCCGCTCCATCGGCATCCTCAGTGTCAGGTCTGGGTCCTTCAGGCGCGTCAAGGGGATTGTCCGATACCGGAGCAGGAGTCGAATTGTCCTTCTGCGCCGAGTCCTGAGCGTCGTCTGCCATGGCTGTATCGGCGTCTGTTCACTTCTCCGTCAGTTACGAGCTCAGAAGACTGGTCAAGACTACTAGCTAGGTGAGAAGTCCACGAATCCCCGCAGCGGCACCAACAGTCATCTCCAACATTTCAGGTGTGATGGTTGAAGAGTGATACCTCGCAGAGCTCCACCGCGCACCAGCCCAGTGTGTCAAAAGCTCACAGGTTCAATAACAATGCCATTTGTCGTTAGGGAAGCTGCCAGACTAGTATCCATGAGGAATAGCACAGCTCACCCCAGTTGACAAAATCCGACAGGTCGGAAGGCACTGGGCTCAAAGGACTGGACTCCTCGTTGAGTGCGGGCGCGGGTGGATGGAGCTCTTGAGGCCAGACATCGAAGGGTTCGCCGGACGTGGGAGGCCAGGGGAGACGGTCCTCGAAAGAAGTCGATGCAGGGGGATTGTCGTCATCGGAAGCAGACATGATGACCGGCGGGCAGCAGTTTGTGAACAGTATTGGCGTGACATACCTGTGGGTTGTTCGATCTGAGAGTCGGCGGTCGGAGCGTCAGCAGCGCCGTCGTCGGCAGCGGAAGGCGCGTCAACGTCTTGTGCAGGTGCGAGGGAGTTGTCGGCACCAAGAAGCTCGTCGGCCATTGCGATGCAGGCGAGAATTGGGCAGGCGCGATGGGCCTGGGGATGAAGCTACGTTGGGACGGAGAAAGCGCGAGGCTGCGCAAACAGCGGGGGAAACGCGGGGGCGTCAGGTAGAAGTGAGCGACGCGATCGCAGCAGTGGCGCGTCGAGAGGGAGAATATCGGGCGCGATGGAGGGCGCGAGGGCGATGGCGGATGATGCGCGTCGTGGAGGACCTGGGACGTGAACTTCTTCAGCGCGCCGCTGGTCTCTCCGCGACGGTGCCAAGACGCTAAGTCCAAAACGGAAAGGCGGCATCTAGAAGCTCTTGTGGATTACCTCGGACAGAAGCCGACTCTCGGAGCTCAAGCTTGACGCTCTCACAAGCCGCTGCGTCTCTTCCCTCCCAATTCCTCACCCCTCCCCCGGCCCGTCCCCATCTCTCCACGCACGCCTCTCGCCGCCATGTTCTCGACCGTGCGCAACACCGCGCTTCGCCAAGCGCGCACCCAGCTCAGATCAGTCCGCCCGATTTCGCTACCCCACCAGTCCTTCGTCGCGCGGTTACTCTCCACCCTGGCCGTCCTCGAACAACGCGAGGGCAAGCTCAACCCCGGTTCATTGGCCGCTGTGACGGCTGCGCAGAAGCTGGGCGGTCCTGTCACGGCATTCGTTGCTGGGAGCAGCATCAAGGGCGTTGCCGATGCGGCGGCCAAAGTGAAGGGTCTGGACAAGATCATCTTTGTGGACAACGGTGCATACGACAAGGGTCTTCCGGAGAACTATGCCCCGCTGCTGGTGGAAAATATCAAGAAGGGCGGTTTCACCCATATCCTTGCGGGCCACTCTGCCTTCGGCAAGAACCTTCTGCCGCGTGTAGCCGCTCTGCTCGATGTGTCGCAGGTTTCTGACATCACGGCCATCGAGAGCGAGGACAGTAGGTTTTCTGATTGATGATCATTGACAGCCGGCTTCAAATCTGACGTGTGCAGCCTTCGTCCGCCCCATCTATGCTGGTAACGCCATCCTCACCGTCCAGTCCTCGGACCCCATCAAGATCATAACCGTCCGTGGCACTGCTTTCCCGGCGGGCGAGACCGAAGGTGGAAGTGCACAGCTCGAGGAAGGTGTTGACCCTAAGGCGGATAGCCCTACTGAGTGGGTTTCGGAGGATCTGGCCAAGTCTGACAGGCCCGACCTGGCCACGGCTAGTAAGGTCGTCTCCGGTGGACGTGGTCTGAAGTCGAAGGAGGAGTTCGACCGCCTGATGCCTCCGCTCGCTGACGCCCTTGGCGCTGCCATCGGTGCGTCTCGTGCCGCCGTTGACAGTGGCTTTGCGGACAACAGCCTGCAGGTCGGCCAGACGGGCAAGAACGTTGCGCCGCAGCTCTACCTGTGCGCTGGTATTTCTGGCGCAATCCAGCACCTGGCTGGTATGAAGGACAGCAAGGTCATTGCTGCCATCAACAAGGACGCGGATGCGCCCATCTTCCAAGTTGCGGACGTTGGCCTAGTTGGCGATCTCTTCGAGAAGGTCCCTGAGCTTACGGAGAAGTTGAAGGCTCAGTAGTCGCGAACGGCGTAAGGACGTGTTGATCTTGTTTTACTAGCTGAGCGCCGAACCAGGGAAATTTGAGGTACCCTGGTTCTACCATGTGCGCTTAAAAAGATTATGTACACCACTGGCCAGAGTCGTTGGACGATATGAGGTCCTGGTTGTGTAAATACTTTTATATCATGATTCTTATTTACCTTTCATATCCACGAAAAAAAAATCAAGAAAGAACACTCGGGCCTCTATTTACAAAAGATATCCCTACTCGACGCGAGGTCGCATGGTTGATGACGCAGCTAGATATGAGGCGGACGGTGGAGATCTTCCCCCGCGTTGTATGGCGCGTGGCTTGTTCAAAGCGTCACACGCGCGGCAAACTTGGACGCCTTGTTTTCGGATTCCTGCACGACCAGCAGCAACCTCTCCCATCTATGGCCGCCCCCCTTTTGGATCTTTTGGGTGTCCACATGGACACGAACTAACGTCGCTACGGCCGAACGGCCTTTTTCAATCCGTTTCACCATGTCACTTCCGCTTCTTTCACAGTCAAACGACGGTGCTATCTTCCTATGCTTCCGCCGGCGCCCCGCAATGATGCTCCGAACTACTGATAGCCACAACTAAGCCGCGCCAATTCCGTCACAAAGGAATTGCCAACAGGTTACGGCTCAACGACCCGCGTTGTTCCGCTCTTCTTTATTCCCCAATCCATCCACCAGGCGATGAAACGCCATAGATGCACTCTATACGGAAATAGTACTGGATTGCAACGTCATTGCAATCCCACATGATTTCTTTTCCTTCACGGAAACAAGATCTTTGGTGAAGAAGAGAAACATCCTTAACACAGCACGATGGCATCGACGGATCCATCTCTCACCGCTGCGTCCCTACCGGAGAAATCGGATAGCTTGGGCAGCATGTCGACACCGCAGCATATCACGATGAAGGAACCAGCGTTCTCGCCTTCCAAGCGGAGAACAGCGCAAGAGCAAAAGAAAGAGAAGAAAGAGAAGAAGAAAAAGCACAAGTGGACATGGCGCAATCTTGGCAGGTTCTGGGAGAGGAGAAGGGAAGACGGAAGTAAAAAGTATGCCGCTCTCTAACGACTTAATGTTTTTGAAAAAGACTAGCTACTAATCTTTCGATGACAGTGATTGGTGGTTCGCAAGCACTGCGATTCCGTGGGTGTTCATATTTCTTTAGCATATACTGTGTGAGACTGACACCAGCAACATAGACTCCTTGCCGCCACACTCGGTCCGCTGGCTAATGTGCTCTCAATTGCGGCTCTGGTTACCTACTGGAGGATGGATTTGGTCGTCGATGGGAATGTGTTGCCAGAGTTGTCTGGTGTGCCGTTCAAAGATCCGGAATGGACGTACTGGCTGAATGTGGCATCTCTGATATGCGGCTTTGTGGGCAACTTTTTCCTCCTGATGAACTTCACACAGAAGGTCAGGTACATAATCGCCTTGCCATTGACGATCATCCTCTGGTACATTGCTACTGGTCTGGTAAGTTATACCGCGTTGTCTCATTGCCGACAATTTGGTTTACAGTGGACAACGTAACTTGTGGTTTGTCAACTAACCCCTCTCAGCTCACGGCAATTCTTATTTGCATGGAGATCTATGTCCCACCCGATCGTCCCAACCAGACTTATACCCAAGGCTATTGGTATGCCGTCATGGCAGCAGTGTTCTACTGCATTTGCTCCATGATATTGATGGTCAACATGGTTGGGTACTGGCGAGGCCATTACCCTCAAACATTCACCCTGACCGAGTCACAACGCACGCTCATCCTTCAAACGATGATGTTCTTCGTCTGGCTAGCAGGCGGCGGGGGGATATTCTCACGAATCGAAACTCTACACGGGCAAGACAACTGGACTTTTGCCAACGCCTTGTACTTCTGCGACGTGACGATCCTCACGGTTGGATTTGGTATGCTACAGCAGTTATTCATCCTCTCATTGGTAGCATGCACTTACCATTGCTCTTTCCAGGCGACATGGTGCCGTCGAACGACGTCTCGCGCGGCCTCGTCTTCCCCTACTCGGTCGGCGGCATCATCATGCTCGGTCTCGTCGTGTCCAGCATCTACAAGTTCAGCACCGACCTCGGCCACGAGAAAGTGGTGCGCAAGCACATCGACAAGGTGCGCAGCCGCACGCTCGACCGCACCGTCACGTCCTCGTTCGAGCTACGCCAACGCGCGACGGCGAAGCGGCTGCGGCACTCGTCATCACGGCCGCTGCCCGTCATCTCCGGTCCCTTCAACCCGGTCGACCGCTCCGCCGCAACACGCATCCCCACCTCTGCCAAGAGACGAGAGGGAGAAAGGGAGCAGTACGAACTAGACGAGACGCAACAGCAGCAGCAACTTCGCGTAAGGAAGAAGAAAAAGAAAAAGGGCCCCGCCAGCGCCGTCGTTTCGACCGTGAAGCACCAGTACCATCACCACCACCGCCGCCGCCAACCGCGGCTACTACTACTACGCGAGGAGAAAGACCGGTTCGACACGATGCGCGCGATCCAGCACTCGACGGCGCGCTTCAAGCGGTGGTACGCGCTGACGCTGTCAGTGCTGGCCTTCGGCATCCTGTGGTGCGTGGGCGCCGTCGTCTTCTGGGTGGCCGAGCGCCGCGCGCAGGGGCTGAGCTACTTCCAGGCGCTGTACTTCTGCTACGTCTCGCTGCTGACTGTTGGGTATGGCGACCTGGCGCCCAAGTCCAACGCCGGCCGCAGCTTCTTCGTCGTGTGGAGCCTGATCGCGGTGCCGACCATGACGATTTTGATTTCGGACATGGTGAGTTTCTGTCCTTTTGTTTCAATCCCCTCGCGGTATCGAGGGGTTAGGGTACCTAAGGAACGGGGGAACTAAAAAGATAACGAAGGGTGAGAGAGACGCAGAGCTGACAAACAATCTCTCTTACCAGGGCGACACCGTTATCTCAGGCTTCAAAAACGCCACATCCAAACTCGCCGACGTCACCGTCCTGCCCAAGGACGGCATCTGGCACGATTTCCTGCAGTCGCACCCGCGCCTCCTCAACTTCCTGCAGCAAGCGGCCGCGCGCCGACGCATCAGACGCGGCCTCCCCTTAGGCCCCTCGGCAGACGCCAAAGGAGAACAGGAGGGAGAGGAAGAGGAGGGCAGCAGAAGAAGCTCACCACCATCTCGATCCGGCGACCTGGAGTCAACAGATCCCGATCCTGATTATAACGATGACCATGATAATGATGATGACGATACCGAGGATGCGGCTGCCCGCACCACCCGACCACCAACAGTGGCGTCCCTCGCAGCGGAGGATCCGGAGACGGAATCGGATGCTCGGCTCGCGCGGCGGTTAGCCAAGGCCATCCGCGATGTAGCCAACGACTTCAAAGCGGACGTGGACAGAGTGCGGCCGAAGCGGTACAGCTATGAAGAGTGGGTAGAGTTTACCAAACTCATAAGGTTCACGGCGGAAGGGAGGGAGGAAGAAGAGAGAGAAGAGGAGGAAGAGGGACTGGTGGAGTGGGATTGGATTGGCGAGAACAGCCCGATGATGGCGGGAATGAGCGAGGCTGAGTTCGTGCTGGATAGGCTGTGTGAGAGCTTGGGGAGATATTTGAGACGGAATGATGGGCTTGGAGGAGAAAGAGAGGTGAGAAGAAGTGGCGATGAGGAGGAAGTAAAGGATGCGGGCGGCTAGATGGACGACCGGAGTTACAGGATTGAATTTAACAAATGATTTGGAGGACTTCTGAAGTTTAGATAAGATATCCCAATAAGACGATGTGGTGGCGTGAGAAGAGAGCGGCCTATCTGAGAGTAATGGATTAGTGTGGGCGAGCGGGCTCGCTGTGACTTGCGCGCTTGCAAAATGCATCCGTGCGTCGACCAGCCGGCGCCGGGGTGGGTGATAAGAACAACATCCCGAGCCGCGGGCCGACGCAGTTGTTGCAAGGCCGACGACTGAGAGACGATAGGTAGACCCGCAATGGGCGGCCGGCACGGCAGGAAGTAGTGGAGATATGGCAGATTCGGACGACACAGAGAAATACAGCGGCTAAGCCTATCGTGGCAAGTACAGCCGGCAAAGGGCCAAGCGACTGCCGCTGATGGCGCGTGCTTCCCCGCAACCAACGACAGCCGATTACGCCCGGAGGCGGAACGACGGCGCGCCTGTTGCTATCGACGCCCTGAGCGGCCACGCGGAATCCATCAGCGGGGTCGAACGTCTGGCAGGCCATGGCGAGCACCATGTCCGCGGCCTCCGCTGGCTGGACTTGCCCCTTCGGGCCCTGAGCTGCTCTGCTCGGTGCCTCTATAAATCTGTCCCTCTCCTGCCCATTGCCTTCGTGAGGCTAGGCTTTTTCACTTGTGCATTTTCCGTGATACCCATTCTGCGCTTCCTCCTTCCGCGCCTCATCCTGTACCTTCACCATGGTCCCCCATCCCCTCCAGATCCTCTCCATCGACGAGACCAACCGGGCTCACGATGTCGTCGTCAAAGCTCACCCCGGCGCCGTCATCAGCTTCCGCGAGATCTTCCTGCAAGAGCCCGCCAAGGCCGACCTGAAGAAGTTCCTTGAGCTCGAGCACTCGGGCCGCCTGTCGCCTACCACCCCTCGTCCCCCGCGGTTGGCCAAGGTTCAGTACGACGTCATTGGCGCTGACAGGATTCCCGAGTATCATGAGTCCATCGTCGATGTGAACCGCGCTACGCGTGTCAAGCACGAGGTCATTGGCAAGCAGCACCACGCTGCCCTGACGCTGTACGTAACCCGCAGCGCTCACGAAACCCAAGCACTGACACTTGCGCAGGAAAGAGTTCGACACCCTTGTCGATGTCTGCAAGGCCTCGCCTAAGTTCCAGGAGGCCATTGCCGAGTTCAACCTCCCTGAGGGCTTTGAGGTCGTCGTCGAGCCGTGGCCGTACGGAGGCCTTGATGCCGAGGATGAGAACCGCCGTTACTTCCAGGGTCTGATTTTTGCGAACGACACCCGTAGCGGCAACCCTGACTCCAACTTCTACGCCTACCCCCTGCCGCTCATTCCTGTCATGGATGCCCACAAGCAGGAGATCGTCCGCATCGACCGCCTGGCCACGGGCGGCAAGGGCGACGGCCTCACCGAGAAGACCAACAGCCCCAACATCGTCGAGCACTGCAAGACGGCCGAGTACGTGCCAGAGCTCCTGCCTAACGGAACGCGCAAGGACCTGAAGCCCCTGAATGTTCAGCAGCCCGAGGGTCCTTCCTTCAAGATCACCGACGAGAGCTTGGTTGAGTGGCAGAAGTGGCGCTTCAGGGTCGGATTCAACCCGCGCGAGGGCGCTGTTATCCACGATTTGCACTACGAGGGCAGGAGTGTGCTGTACAGACTGAGCATCAGCGAGATGACGGTCCCTTACGCCGATGCTCGCCCTCCTTTCCAGAGGAAGCAGGCTTTCGACTTCGGAGACGGCGGTGCCGGCAACTGCGCCAACAACCTTGCTCTTGGCTGCGACTGCCTGGGCGTCATCAAATACTTCGACGCCGTTGTCATTGGCCGTGATGGCAAAGCCACTCCTCACCCCAACGTCATCTGCCTTCACGAGCAGGACAACGGCATTGGCTGGAAGCACACCAACTGGAGAACTGGCCGTGCCGTCGTGACTCGCATGCGCGAGCTGGTTGTTCAGTTTATCATCACTTTGGCCAACTACGAGTATATCTTTGCCTTCAAGTTCGACCAGGCCGGCGGCATCGTCATCGAGACGCGTGCCACTGGTATCGTGTCGGTTGTCAACATCGACGCTGGCAAGCAGAGCGACTACGGCAATGTTGTGAACCCCGGTGCGCTCGCCCAGAACCACCAGCACATTTTCTGTGCGCGCATCGACCCTGCCATCGACGGCCACCAGAACACGGTCATCCAGGAGGAGTCGCACGCCGTGCCCATGAACCCCAAGACCAACCCGCGCGGCAACTTCTACGAGATCCGGCAGACGCCCATCAAGACGTCGTCGTTCGCCGACGCGGCGCCGCACAACAACCGCATCTTCAAGATCGTCAACCCCAACCGCAAGAACCGCATCAGCGGCAAGCCGGTGGGCTACAAGTTCACGCCGCCGGCGACGCAGCTGCTGCTGGCCGACCCGGACAGCGTGCAGAGCAAGCGCGCCGAGTTCGCCAAGCACCACGTGTGGGTGACCAAGTACAAGGACGACGAGCTGTACGCCGGCGGCCGCTTCACGCTGCAGAGCACAAAGGAGGTCGACGGCGTGGGCGACGCCGTCAAGCGCCGCGAGAACGTCGAGAACGACGACGTCGTCGTCTGGTCCGTCTTCGGCCTCACCCACAACCCCCGCGTCGAGGACTGGCCCGTCATGCCCGTCGACATCTTCCAGGTCAACCTGCGCCCCGCCGACTTCTTCGAGGCTAACCCGAGTATCGACGTGCCCAGCAACAAGAACTTGGCGTCGGTCGAGGTGTACAAGGAGAACAAGAGCTGCTGTGTGAAGGGGAACTTGTAAATGTAATGGGAAAAATTGGGTTTTATGATGATGCGATGGGTTCTTGGCGTGGTGTGATTATATGGCGTTGATCGGATGATAATCATGGCGAAAATGCTTGTCTAGAGAGAATATAAGATCCACTGTTCCTTGCTACTGTTGTTCTGCTGTGAATGTTGAGTCTGCTTTTGCGTCGAGTCCAAGTCTGCCCGAAAGGGTCTAAATCATGCTTATCTAAGAAGGTACGTAGATATATTTTTTGATGTTGTCTCGGCCAAGCTTAGTTGGACGACCATACTTCTATTTTCCTTTTTTAGTTCCTTCTTTGAGACAAGTTCCTTTGCTATCCAGTTTTACCACATAATATTGCTTCTTTTCCCAGGTGGTAGAGACTCCGCAACTCCATGGAAGACTGATCCAAATCTGTCGTTGCGACTTCGTTCTGACAGTTCTCAGACCCTGTCACTGGGAACGTTGTGCCAGGATGATGCTTATCGCGCCCCCAATCCGCGCTGGCCAATCACGTTGGCGGAGTGCCTGAGCGGAGCTAGTGTGGAAAGATTCCGCCTCCCGCACTCCCCCACAATTCCGCAGTCAGACATCGAGCGGCAGGCCACAGCGACAACTCTACAACGACGACACGCCAACCCGCAAGCCCCCCAGACAGCCAGAATCTCGACGAAACCGCTATCTCTGCACGATGCCTATCTTTCCGCGCTCTTATCTCAACGCCAAATTTTTTCACCTACGCCCGAGGTAACCCGCAGTTCGTCAGTGACGAAGATGCTGCTGAGATCTGCGCCACATTCGGCCAGGCGGAAACAATTCCACGACTTTGGCCACCATGAAGTGCTGCGTAGGGCAGCCTCAAGAAGCGCGTGAACCAATCCGCGTTGCATTTTTCTGGATTATGGGGGCGTGCGCCATGTCCGCGACGCCTATGGCAGCAGGTGCTAGTTCGGCAAACCCGGACCATTTCCACGTTTGGCATCGATGACCTTCTCCCCCACAGAGATGGAGAGCCCGAAAAGTACACACGGTTGCCATGAGGGGAAATGCTAAGACGGCCAGTGCCATGTCCGGCCCCTGCAGTGTCAGTGTGGCTTCGCTAGTTCGGTGGGAAATGCGGGGAAAATAACGAGCTGCGATGCTGCTGGGCCTGTTGCTTGTTATCTCTTCAGGATGCCTATTATCTCTTGCCTCGACGCCAGCCCCGGTCACATCCTAAATTTCTGCGATAGCAACCTGCCCTCGTCTCCACCTTGTTAGTCTATTGTGCTGGTCACAGTCAGTCCCTATCAGAGACGCACGCAATCCTCCCACGTCCTGCCTCTCGCAATCGCCGCATACCGGAGCTCCCGTGGCGGTGATAGGAAACCAGTGGATATCGAAGACAGGCTTGAAAGACCCTTACTACTTACTACTTATCTTCTGCGACCAACTTTCACTCTCACACCACCGACCGCGATCGTCTTCGGCTCCTCGCCTACTCGCAGTTGACTTTTTTTCTTGGTTGCGGTGTTGTCTACCTTGGCTGCTGCGTCTAGTGCCCATCCTGGCCCCTCCGCCACTCCGGCTTCCCGCTTAGGAAACCGAGCGTCTGGATTCGCCTCTTCATAACCAAACACGCCGAACACCAACCTCGCACCTCCGCAACCATCGACTGCAGCATCCTTCATCTCGTCTTTCCATCAAGAAAAGCAAACCCACATACTACAGAGAAAGGAGAAATTATCATGTCTCTCACCAAAACCCGCTCGTCAGACTCGACGGCCAAGCCTGGCATTCATGCCAGCACGGCCGTAGACGTCGAGCTGCAGGCCGGCGCTGTCTCGACAGTGACGGGTCATGCGGATGAGCTCCGCCGCGAGTTCAGCGTGTGGTCGCTGGGTGCGCTGTTGGTGTGCTTGATGGCCACCTGGGAGGCTCTCTCCAGCGTCGTCGCCCAGGCGCTGACGAACGGCGGAGCCCCGTGTCTATTCTACAACTAGTAAGTCCCATCTACCCTCACAGCCTTCCTCATGGAATTTGATAGGCTGGCGGATGAAATCTCGTTGGCGTTGATGGCTATTTTGGTTGCCGAGGAAGAGAGGGCACAGGCTTGGCGGGGGTGGAGTAGCGGCCTAGTTGGGCAGGATGTGTGCACACCACATGATACTCGAGAGACTAACTTTGATGCTACAGTGTCATTGCCTTCATTGGATCACTGTTAACGGCAGCGTCGATGGCTGAGATTGCATCGATATATCCGACTGCTGGAGGTGAGTAACCGTTCGATTTCCACTCGGCTTGCCCTTAGTCACTTCCCTTTTTCTGTCCAGCCCAACACCCATTCAACTTGTGGTAGACCAGCCTCAACTGACTGGATTTCTAGGACAATACCACTGGGTCGCTTCTCTCGCTCCCCCTCACACACGCCTTGTAGCGTCGTGGTTCACCGGCTGGATCAACATCGGCGGCCAGATAGTGCTGACTGCTTCTGCCGCCTTCGCTGCTGGCCTGCAGTTCCAAGCCCTGATCGTGCTCAATGATGCGTCTGGCACTTATGTTCCACAGCGATGGCAGGGCCTGATGTTCTACTGGGCCATCATCGTATACAGCACTCTCGTCAACATCTTCGGCTCACGCATCCTGCCGCATACCAACACGTTGAGCGGCATCGGGCACGTTGTCGGCTTCGTGGCGACGGTCGTCGTGCTCGGTGTCATGGGCATCGGGAAGGATGGCGGGCACACTGCGAGCTACGTCTTCAAAGAGGTCGAAAACACCAGTGGGTGGTCGAACGATGGAGTGAGCTGGATGGTGGGCATGCTGAGTGCGGTATATCCATTCCTCGGGTAAGTGTTTCCATCCGTCTATTCTGATACTGGCGAATGCGAATCCTCTCATATGCCCCTACATCGGTTCCTCTCTCAACACCCTCCTCCCATGCATCACTGCTGTCCTCCCCCTCTCCACCAGCCCTTTCTCCTCGATCATCTCAACTGACCCTACCTCCCAGCTACGACGCCGCCGCCCATCTCGCCGAAGAGCTCCCCAACCCCTCCCGATCAGTCCCGATCGCCATGGTCGGCTCCATCATCGTCAACGGCCTCATGGGCCTGATCTACTGCATCGTCCTCCTCTTCGCGCTGGGCGACCTCTCCTCGCTCCTCTCCTCGCCCACCGGCTTCCCCTTCATGCAGCTCTTCCTCAACGCCACCTCCAGCCGCGCGGGCGCCAGCATCCTGGCCCTCTTCATCTCGCTCATCGCCGTCGCCGCCAACGCCGCCGGCACCACCTCCACCTCCCGCACCGCCTGGGCCTTCGCCCGCGACCGCGCCGCCCCCTGCAGCGCCTACTTCTCGCACGTCGACCCCCGCTCGCAGGTCCCCGCCCGCATGGTGCTGTGCACCGCCGCCCTGCAGGCGCTGCTCGGCCTCGTGTATCTCGGCAGCGCGACCGCCTTCAACGCCGTCCTGTCGATGGCTATCCTCGGCATGTACGCGAGCTACATCCTGCCCGTCGCGTACATGCTCGTCTACGGCCGCCGCGCCGATAGCCCCGCGAAAGTCGCTGCCGAGGCTGGCCACGCTGCTTTCAGCCTCGGTCGCTGGGGCGCCTGGATCAACGCTGCGGCCGTCGCGTGGCTCGCCGTCGCCATGGTGTTTAGCATGTTCCCGAGCGTGCAGCCCGTGTCGCCGCAGAATATGAATTACAGCGTCGTCGTGCTGGGCGGGTGGGTTGCGTTTGGCGCGGTGTATTATTTTGGGTGGGCGAGGAGGTGGTATGAGGGGCCTGTTGTTGATGTGTTGTATTGAATGTGGTGGTGAATAGGTTGTCACCGGGTGCGAAAATTTTTTCTTTTGTTGTTGGGGATGGGTGGGCATCGATGTTGATGGTGTGGACGGTGGATGAGCGGTATTGGATGTTCGTGGTGTATCTCCCTTGTTCTCCCGTAGCTATGTAGCTATGTAGGTGGTGAAGATGTGCAATGATTATGAAATTCTCCTTGGTGTACTGTTACCCGTAACTTAATGCGTCGCTGTCGTCCTGGAGAAAAGGCTTTCTACCCGAGAGGGCCAGGAGATAAGAGAGGCTCGCCTCTTTGCGGAAACTGACATCCACGTCCAGAAGTTCATCTCGATTGTCCATGTAGCAATAATCGCGGAAGGAATGGGTTACATTCAAGAAATTTCCAGTCAGTGAAAAGAATTGAAGCTTTGTCTGAACCGCGGCAAACTTCGTACTATGGATACATGTCACCGACCGCCTCCCATAAGTGCCCAGCACTCCCCCCATTCTCAACTTCTGTTGCCTGTTCGCTAGAAAGATAGTCCTCTATCAGGACAGAGTGGTAATTGGTGGAAAAATTGAAGGTGTTATGTTGAACAGTGCAAATGAATTGAATTGAACACTCCTTAGGAGCGGATGCAGCAGCGAAACTACCTGGATATATATACCAATTACTTGGGGTGATGTCATAAAGTATAATGAATGGATTACGTTTTAGTGGTAAGATGTATAAGGTATATTCCTTGGTGTTAAAGAAAAAGCAAAGGATACGGGAATTAGACTCGGCAACCAATAAAGTAAAGCACTGAGATCTGATAGTATCAGGGCGCGTTGAAGTCAAAGGCGGGAACACTATGGCAAACACAACGCGAGCACGCTTTGTCTTGTCGTTTAAGTAGCTCTCTGGCCATCTCGTGGCCCAGCGCCTCTACCATAGCTCCTAGGCATTAGGAGCCGTGTACCTTGAACGGCTGTTCAAATGAAGAGTAATTTTCAGTGCAGACGAGGTCGAGGTTTACAGAGTTGACGAAGTGGCCCTCGGTGCACTCTGCGATGGTTTCAGCGGCAGCTTTCTCGTAGACTAAGGCGTTAAGCGTGTCCGGGTGGGTGGCTGCCCCCGGAAGTAGACCTTCTTCCCAGCTCTTTGAATCCCTGTTTCCTGGTAGCTCCTGGGGGGACGTTGACCAGCACTGGTTCAACGTCGCTGTGCCATTCCCTCCCCAACACGTAGACTGGATGCCGGAGCGTCGAATCATGGTCACTGTGAGAATGAAAACTGGAACGAGTTCGGACTTACTCTTGGTAAACTTGCACATCTTCAAGTCAGTTTGAACAAGCCCCAAAGAGAATCCGCCTCTCTGGAACATTGCTGTTGGACTGATGAGGTCCTTTGGAGAGTTTCCGTGGCTGATCGGGGAGCTTTGCGGCTACCGCCAACAATGATCAGGGGCCCGAGAACATAGCCAACATTCTCATGAAGGACTTGCATCACTCTGGCGGCCTTCATCGCGCAGTAGATGCCCGCGGCGGGAGAACCTTGCCAACCACCAATGGTACCGGTCCGGCGCGAAGGACGGCGAGCTGACCGAAGAAGTTGGTCACAAATTGATACTCTATCTCTTGCGCGTTTTACAGTTCTGGCAAAAAAAAAAAAAAGAGAGAGAGTTACCATCTGTGAAAGCTACGAGAGCGAAAATAAGAAGAAAGAAAGAGACAGAAGGTAGAAATGCTAATGATACACTCATCGGCGCCATCTCTTCTAATGACTGACTGTCTGCAAATCATTCATTGAAGTTCTGACAGTGATCACTCACAAGTTCATCTTTCATAATGTGCTCATGAACGACAGTGCCAAACAGAAGAGTAGTGAAAGTTCGATCAAACATACTAGCTATGATACTTCCTTTCGGCTACTGATGACAGCCGTTGCAGTTGCTTTTTCATGCACTCAAAATCCAGGCGGGTTACTTCCAAGAGAAGAAGTCAAAAAGAGGTGGAACTGCTTGAAAATTTGAGATATTGGAAAGTGAGGCTTCGAAGTGCTGTATGAGAACCAACCTGTGGGTCCTCAACGACAGAAAACAAACATACTGGTGTCAGTTCAACCAAGGACCGGTCTGGCCAAGTGACCCGCATTGGGTAGTACTTGTGGTGGCACGGCATCAGCGGCGAGGGGGGCGCGTATGCCGCAACCGCCATCGTATCCTTCCCGACCTGACAGCCGCCTAGACGCCATAGTGCGTCAGGCAGCGCCCGTCCCCTGCCGCCAGGTACCTGCATGATCGGTTAGGTGAGCTGACATCTTCTGGTGAATGGTCATGCAACGACACCCACCACGACCGAATTCATTGGCAATTCCGCCTTTGTTACGTCCTTTTCGATGTGATGCTGGTCATGAGGCTACGTACGCGTTGCAGTCACTCACAAAGACTATTTGTTGGGCGCAAGCCCGAGTGCAACCCAGGGCGACGCGTTGCCTGTCGGAGTACCCGGACATAGCGGCAGTGGCACGGCAGATGTCAGACCAAAGCGGCGGAGAAGGAGGGGCTCAGAAAATCCACAGACCCGGTTAGGAGATTAAGACGGGGCAATTATGGAACGTTGGGAGACGCGGCGTCCAAACGATGTCTGTACTGCCATTGCCTCCTCACCGTGGCGCGGATGGCGAAGCCACGGCGTCCTGTTAATTCTCCGATTGAGCAGTGCGAATAGAGTCGGTGAGGCAGTGTCACACCGGCCGTCAGAACTTTGTACTGACTTGCGATATAATCAGGACAGTGGGTTGTTTGACGAGCCGGGACAAAGACCTGGTTGTCGGGTTCCTGGACATGTCATCCGGGAAGCCATCGGCGGAACCAAGGCCTGAAACCCGCGTACCCTTTATTTTTCTTTCTCCTTTTGCATTGCATACGCAAAGCAAGGTGTTTCTGAAAAACAAAAAATCGAAGGCGCTTTGTTTTTCTCGCAGGAGCATGTCAGCTGAGGGTGAGGCTGAGCGCCAGGTACAAGGCTATTGTCAATTGGCGAGGGAATACGAAGAAGCTGCAGAGACGCGAAAGCAGCGACGAGATTGTTAATTGCACACACCGCCAAAAGCTACCGTACCAGGCGAGGGGGCGGAGCACAGTGCGGCGAAGAAAGAAAACACCAGGCTGTGACCGTTGACCTGGGATCGGTGGGATGAGCCGGGCATCCGCGAAACAGCATCGACGGGGGCCGGTTTGGCATCGAGTCGGGCTGGGGCGATCGATTTCCCAGGGAAGGCGGTAGGACAGTGCGCGCTTCCCCTGGTGCCGGAGGCTTTTGCTCCTTCGCTCGCTTATGCAGTAACACCAGATCGGAAGCGCACAATCAATCTCGGTACGACGTATGCAGAAGCGACGGGGCGGGAATGCGGGCAGGGTTGTGAGGCGGCGGGCCGACATCCACCGCTTCTGCGCGTCATTGCCGGGACCCTTGCTCTTGCGGATCGGTGTAATATCTCAGAGATCTCCAGGAATGCTACCCTCTGGTGTCGTCCCCGGTTAGTGGGACGCGGCGCTCCCCGGACACAGCTTCTATGAGACAGGGTGTAGTCGGCCCAAAGCAGACGAGAGAGCACCAAACAGGAAGGCTTGAGCAGCCCGGCGCCCTCTTTGGGCAGGTCGAGTCTGGCAAGGGCGCGCAGGCGAGTCAAAATGGCGGAATGCGACACGGCTGCGGGTGCCACGAGCACGATGGGTGGTTTCCAGGAGTGGCCGGATGTCAAAGAAATGAGGGTCCGTCGAGGGATGAGGGTGCTGACACAGGGTGGAATATTCTCGAAGGGAGTCAGAAACCGGGCCAGCTCTCACGATAGGGAGCCGACAGGTCGCATTTGGGCGTACGATGGAGTCAATCAGGCGGGAGGATCCGCGCGCCCTGGCGTTGGTGCAGGGGAGGCGGGCCAGTTGGAGGGCTTGCCGTCGGTCGCCAGGGCGGAGCGGGTCAGACATCGAGGTGTTCCTGATGGAGGTCGCCAGCAACCGGGTTTCGCGCAGGATCCTGCAGGTAGATCGATCCCTGGAGATCTTGTGGCCGACGGGGTTGGCGCGGGAGCATGGTTAGGCACGTTTCTTCGGCCTTGAAACCAATAAGACAGCGGCAGACGCACGGCAGGGCGGGCGGCGCGGCGCTGGAGCGGCGGGCTGTAGGCGTGGGTGGGATTCGTGGTGAGGCGCGCGGTGGTGGTGAGGACGGGCAGCGATGGTGGATCGACGGTACATGCCAGGCTGGACCCGCGGGCCTGGATGCCGCGCAAACGGCGTCGGTGGCGCGCTGCACGGGGCCTGTTCGAGCCGCCGCAGCTTCCCTCCGCGGCGACGCCCACCGCGGTGCTGGAGGACATACCGCAACGGATTGCGGGCACAGGAGACGCTGCGTCAGCGGCCTGAAGCGGCAGCGCGCGCGGCGGGGGCCATGCTGGCGCGCTCTGAGCCGGCGAGCGCCGGGCGGCTGTGTTTTCGCTGGCGCCAGCAGGCGGCGCGGGGCACTGAGCTGCCCTCTCTCTCGAAATACCGGCCTCAGCCCTCTGGCCCGCTGACCAGGGGCTTGGAACGGCCCTGTCGCCGCGCATTGGCCGGCGCTGGCGGGCCATCGCACCGCAGTGCCTTGTCTCAGGTCGCGCAACCAGGTCGTCAGGAATTCCGCTTTGCGCTCAACGGCGGCGACGATGTGACACGTCCGCACCGCCCAAGAATGAGCCCGCATTCCTTTGCAACAAGGATCAGCTACCTGGAATTGCAACCCATGGCCGCGGTTGCGGGCCACGACGCCCTAGTCTGACAAGCTTCCACGCCCATGCCACTTCGGGCGCGCCGCCTTTTGATATAGGGTCGCAGAGCTCCAACTCCATCGTGTTACGGGCGTGTATCTGTTCCCAGATCTGTCCACCGCCTGTCCGAAAGCGACCCATCGTCGACTCAGTTGGAGCATTCCGCAACAGCACGGCCCAGACGACCTCACTATAAGACGCCTGCCGGCGCCCTGGAGATCTGCCATCATCGGAGATCAGATCCCCTTCCTCGACCCACGCCTTCGTCGAATCGGCGAATTTACAGCTGTCCTTTGCTCCCTCCTGTGAGTCCCCAGAGTCAGCAGCATCCGGGACCCTTGCGCTGATTGTCGACGTCACAGCTCCTTCCAGTTACTTAAACCCGCACTGCTCCTTCCCGCCAAAACCGCACCACTTCATCCTCTCTCTCTCTCCATCTACCATGGCTGTCTCCGGAAACTGCGAGCACTCGTTCAAGATGGTCAAGTCGGACAACTCGCTCATCCACTGGATCTGCAACCTATGCCACTCCGGGCCGCATTGGTTCATCTTCGAGTGCCAGCGCTGCAAGCTCAAGACGTGCCGGCCGTGCTCGAGCAAGGCGTAAGCGTCACGCGGCTCTGGGGCGACTGCGGGCAGTCCTGCAATTTTGGTGTTGACGTCGACAGACAGGCTGGGGGCTCGCTAAACCGGGCCTACGGTCGAGACGATCTGCACCGGTCCATCGCAGGGATCTAGAGCCCTGCCGAGATCCACTCGCACATGGGAGAGCAAACAAAACGCGCGCCGCCTCACTCCCAATTTCCTCAGCGTCCAATCCTCGCCCTCAGCGGCACAGTCGGCTGCTCCGGGGGCCCGTCCGGCGCACAGACGGGCTCAGATCTGTTCCTTACGGCTTCCATCTGCTTCTTTTTTTCCACCTGCGACAAAAAGCAATCTACTTGACTTTTGGCACGGCGCTCGATATCCTAGACCGGACAGGGGTTTTATGCACGCGTTGGCGAATGGGCTTGGGCGATTTTGCAAAAATACTTCTGGCGTACCTGACTTTGGTGTGGCTTGCATGATTCAAGATTGGCCTGAACGGGTTGGCTGCGATCCCGCCCCTTTCCGCTTGCTCTCAAACTTGTCTCAGCCCTCGCCGCCAATCTCGCGAGCCTATTTTTGTTTTCTCTTTTCCTTTTCTTATCTTGGCATGGCATTTTCTTTTCAGACGGCTATACAACAAAGATCTCAGCGCACGCGCAAGCACCTTTCGCGCCTCATCAGCTCTACCAAACCCCAGCATGTCCTATTCCAGTTTTGGTAATGAGTAATGTATCACGTTAAGAAGCAACACACCAACTGCTCTCGTGACTGTTGTCTGCCATGTACTCGCCCGCGCCCGCGCTACTCCAAGCCCCCCTCCCCCGCGCTCCACTTGCCACACTTCCACCCGCGCAATCCTTCGGGACCGCAGAAATGCGCTCATGGCTCGCCCAACGTTCGGGGCATTCTCGACGTCGTATTGACACTTGGCGCAGGGCGGCTCCATGCTTTCACCGCTCACCCCACGCGTCTCAGACTTGCGTTTCACAGGGAGAAAGGGCCGTCGCGGAAGGGCGGCCGGCCGTTGCGTTGCACACGCATCAACCCCTCGGATGGCGATCCGGGAGCATCGTGTGCTGAAGATTTCAATCCCAGGCTCCTTACACACCGCTCCTTGGCCGTAGCGACACAAATACTTGCGCGGCAGCGGGCTGGTGAACCGACCAGGCGCACAAGCCGGCGCTGCCGTGTTGCCGCGCACGGCGTCATGGAGAGCAAGTGTGAGCAGACCTCACGCCCACCTCGGCTCCAGGCTGCCCGATCGGGCAACACGGCGGTGCGGAGTGGGCAAAGGCAGAAATGCTAAACAATGCTTACTTTTCTTTTTGGCAGCACTCTCCACGCCATCGAGGCCGCGGAAGGTCGGGAGCGCTTGCTTAGCGTGTGGCTCAGATCGCGCGCACGCGGGGATCGAGAAGGCGGCATGCATCAGCCAAATGGGCGATGGCATGACCGGGATTGCAGACAGCCCTATAAGCCTCGAGATGCCAGGGGGTGCCGAGCGGGATGCGGCGTGGCTCGCGCTTTCCCCTCGAACAACCCTAAAACAATAGCCAACGTCATTGCCCGCGGACGGACCAAGAGGGGAAGGAGACGTCACGTCTCAAGATATCGGACCCGCGGAATTCCGCACGTCACAATCGTTTTGTTGAGATTGGCGATGGCTGCACTGCGCACATGTCAGCCCTACCAGAAACAAAAACGAGGCAAGCAATCGCTACGAGCAGAGTTTGAGTTGCAAGTCAGAGCACTGCACGCCTCGCCGAAAAGACACCCAAATTCTCTCCTACACGTTGACCGGTCGACGAAGCTTCCGTCATCCTTCACGCCACCTGCCATTGAATCGCTCGTTGCGGCGGTTGCGGCGCTGGGGGGCGTTTCCGGAACGGCAGGCCCGAAAGGTACCTTCGAGGCGGCGCACATCCACAAGCCAAAAAAACACTTAGACACGCCCAACAGAGATACTTGGCGCAAAGGATCCGCGGCCCCCATCCTCGACTCGCACTCCTTTCCGCTAGCCGTGGAGCACCGTGCCACTCGAACCACTCCGCACATGATTCTGCACGTAAGCGTCCTCCCGCCCGATAATGCTGCTCGCAGAGGCGAGGCGCAGCTTTGACACGGCTTACATGCCTTCAATTCCACTCCCCTTATCGCCCTGTGCAAGGCGGTGCCTCCGCTTGCGAATGCCGCAGCCACGTAGTACGTACCCGGAGGAGTGGGCTGCGTAGATCATTCGTCCACGCCTCCTCGTCCCATTGGCTGATGGCCGCGGCCACTTGTACCTGCATTAGCTCCCTCCCCGCCAGATCAGCAATGCATGATCCACAGAAAACCAACGGAGCCTCACGGGCGAGCGCATCCAGGCGAGGAGCCGCCGAGATCCGACTGCACCCTTCCAAATCCGAACGAACAACAGCGAAGGAGGCAACCCACGTCCCCTTTCCTAAGCCTCACTCTCGGCTATCCACTCACTCATGCATCGGCAACGCCAGATCCCCGTGTTGCACATGTATCGACTGCTGACCAGTCCTTATCCACTGCCGTGCTTCCTGCAGCCACCCGACTCTCTATCTCCCCACGTGTCACCAACCGAGCGGCCGCCTTCAACTACCGAACCGATCTGGCCCGGACGCTCTGATCGGAACTCCCCTTCTCCTCGTGCGCTACACTGATGTCGTACATGGTCTTTCCCTGTCACCGACTCGTACTCGCGTACTTGCATGCATGCATTCACACACGTCATCTCACAACCGCCACTCGGCAATCGTTAACGGGTATCGGTCTCGAAAACCACCCTGATACTGGTATCCCTTGCAATATACAAATGGTGCATTGAAATATGTACAGATGATGTCAGAGTGCTGAAGTCAAGCTTTACTCTCCTGCCAGATCAAGCAAATCACTTCACGACAGTTTTAATTGGCCGGGCATTCGATGACTTCGGCCACTTCGTCCGAGCTGCAGTAACCCGACGAGATGTGTGCGGAAGCCTTGGAGCAGTTGTTGGGGTCGGTAGGGTCACTGGAATGTACACTCAGCAACCGAAGCTCTCTGCTCGGTCCATGGAACGCTATAAACTCACCGCTTGACGTTCAAGAAGCACCACTTGAGAGTGTCGAGAAAGTCACCGTCGCCGGTGGTAATGAAGGTAGGCTTGTTGCCGTTCTTTGGTAGGAGGGAATGTCAATACGTATATCACTCCCGCTGAATTTCCATTGTAGGGCGCTTACGCTCGTGGTGAAACAGCACGTCTTCAACTCATCCTGTCGGGCCGAAAGTTCTGCAGATGGCGCAGCCAGCGACAGAGCGGGCAGCAGGGTAAGGAGGACGGTCTGAATAAGCATGATGGATGGTTTCAGGTGAAGTGTAATTTGGGAAGGATGTTGAAACGTAGCCGCAGGACGAGGGATTCAGAAGAGCTCGTTCAGGGCAGAGGCGCTCCTTAAAACCTCTCCAGATCCTCGAATCATGCTGGTTCTGTGGCCAAGGCTTGGTATAGGTAGTCCATGCTACAACGGTACCGGAGGTACTGGTTAATTAGAGACTTTGCAGATAGTGTGTTACAGACGGTCGAACTGACAGAAACGGTGAACGTTGATTGGTCTTCTTATACGATGATCCTCAGGACGGATAAAAGGAGGTAGCTCCGGTCCCTCTATGAGGCTCGTGTTCAGTGCGGCACCTGCCATAAGCGGCTACCTCAGCACACCACTTCGGAATAAGCTGCCCGGGCAAGCGGGCTTGAGTAATATACACCGCAATGATTTAGTGCGTTTTCATGCAGGGAGAACAGGGCGTACTAAGCCTTGTGGAGAAGATGCCACGATGGATCGAGGAACGGAGAAAACGTCCACTCCTATCCGGCTGTTGGGAAAACGAATGCATCAAACAGCTGAAGAAGTAAATTCACCAACTCCGCCTGAGACGGCTTCATAGCCTCACTAATAGAGACGTTCTTCTCCCTTCAGTCAGCATTTTTACCGCCTTGCCGTTCTCTCGCTCCAGTCTCGATTGTACAAGCCATGTTCTACCTCTCTCTCGTAACCTTTCCTCAACCCTAAACCCCCGACTCCGCAATCTCTCGGTCCCTTCTCCTTTAAGCCATGCGGCTCTTCCGTCAATCTCGGCAAGACCTTCAATGCGTTGTTCCGGCCAATGTCTACCAGATCTCTTGAACTGATGGGAACGTACTCGTCAAACCACACGCAACCATTAGGTATACTCTCATAGGGATAGTCAATGGAAAACATGATGCTGTGCGACCCAATCTCCTGCATGGCACACAGCAGGGCTGGCGTCGAGAAGTGGCCGGACGTGGTGATGAACAGCTGCGTGCCAAAGTAATCGCGAACGAGCCGGTCCTTGCGCATCGGCATGTCCGGAAAACGGGCGCGGTTGAGCTTGTGGTCGATGCGGTACAGATCGTACGGGCTGTTGTTTCCCTCGCATCAGCAAGATCACTTCCTCTTCCTTCTACAAGAAAAAAACACAACAAGACTTACATATGCTCCCCCATATGCCCAATCACAATCTTCAACCCCGGAAACCGATCCAGCACCCCCGCACACACGATGCCCAGCACATGCACGCTGACGCGATTCGCGTATCCCAGCGCCGAGAACTCCAACCACGGGCGGCCCGCCCACTCCTGCTCGCGCACCAGCGGCGTCGCCGCGCGCGGATGCAGGTACACGGGGCAGCCCAGCTCCTCTGCCACTCTCCAGAACACATCGTACCGCGGCGCATCAAAAAAAAGCATCTGCTCGTTCCCCTCCGCGTCCCGCACCGACTGAAAATCATTCAACAGACACCCCACGAACGCCTTCTTCCTCCAACACCGCCGCAGCTCCTCCGCCGCCTCACCGGGATCATGCATGCTCAGCGCCACGAACGCGGCGAAGCGGCCAGGGGGAGCTTGGAGCACGGCGTCCGCGAGCGCGTCGTTGGCGCGCCGCGCGAGGGCCGCGGCGGCGGAGGGGTCGGCGACGCCTTGGGCGCCGGGCGAGGTGTGCGAGAGGACCATCAGGTCGATGCCGTTGGCGTCCATCTGCGCGAGGCGCGTGCCCGAGACGTCGAGCAGCGCGGCGTGCAGGCCGCCGCTGCCGCCGATGACGCCGGGTGGCGCGAGCGTGGAGGGGTCGTAGTGGGTGAAGGAGTCGGGGATGGCCCAGGCTTCTTCGAGGGCGATTTTGCCGTGCATGGTGTGATGGGGGTTGGGGGGAAGGTGGTTTGGTAGAGGGCTGGTGCTGGGGTTGCAAAAATATTGGGAAGTGATGTCGGGGGCTGTCGGGATGTTTGAAAATGAGGTAAATGGAGACTTCGGCATTTAAGGTCGCATACCCGCGGCCAGCTGCCGAGATGCTCAGTCGTGCATGGAGCATGCATTTTGTGTTTGCCAGATCTGGAAAAATTCTAGACAGGGTGATTGGTGAAGTTGTATTGACACGGGTGGTAGGCGCAGGGGTTGCGATACCCCGCGTGCGGGGTGATACTTCAACGGGAGATCGATCACCTTCACAGAATTGCAGGGTTTTCCATTTCTGCATTATGTAATATGTTATGACGTATACAATGTGAATTTCTTGATTGCATTGCGTCAGGCTCAATGGTTATTCTACAGACCCCGAAAACAGCCGTAAATCATCACACTGTGTACGATAGTCAGCAAATGGCTCAATCTATATCATATAAGGCTTATGTGACTCCACGACGTGGTAAGCATACTGTGTCACTTACCTCGTAGACATGCTCAAACCATAATGTGCAGTCTCTTTTCTTACTTCTGACTAGCGCAACCCACCTGTCGTACTTGCCGCACAAGCCTTCCCAGATTTCAGCATCGCCTTTAGTACTATGAGTAGATTGCGAGCTTCTAATCGCAGTGTTTGTAGTCGGGTTAGCGCCATGGTAGAATATCAGGTAGCTCCAGAAGGGTTTATTCTTCATTGCAAGCCAGATTCCTGGTCTGCAAAGTCCGCACCAGCCTTCAAGTTGATCACAGTCGCCTCGTTTCCATAGTGGTGCAGACATGCCGTTTTGGAAAATCTGTTTCCTTGGAATCATTCGGAAAGGTATTCTTCTCCTGGATTACTTTTGATTTTGCATGATTGGTACAGCCGAAGAACCTCCTGTGGTAGCGTAAGCATACTATTCAATTTAATTTCCAAATGTTCCTACCGAGAGTAGCGTAGAGCCATGGAAGTCTTCATCTAAAGCAGAAGCATTTTGAGCCTGGAAGAGATCTCGCAATGTGACTTCAAATGACTCTCCTTGTACGCAGTCTCCTTTAGCCGCTCTCTTGTATTGTTGATGGCTCGAAAGCCAGGTGACTCCATGGAATTAACAGGTCTGCTTGTACCAATCACCGGCGAGCTTATGGAAAAAATCTCTCAGAGGTTTGCCAATATCGGATCTGCAGACTGAGATCGATGGTGCGCGCAAGGAGCCATTCAGGAGGAGCGATTTTCATCTTGAGCTCAAGACTTTGCTCCGAGGCTGTATATTTTGGACAGAAAGAGTAGTGGGAGCTTTTGAACGCTCGCAAAAAATGAGTTACAGCAATTAGCCTCCATTTTTCAGCTTAGTTTGTTAGCTTGCAAATGCATGTCATGGAATCTTCATTCTCGGATGTGTCTTCGTGTGCCTTCGTGTTCAGACGATCGTCGAGAAGACGCCCAGTGGTATTCCCAGCCATGCACACAGATCTTTGAGTTACATTGAACATGTCGTGAGCACTGTCTGGGAATGCAAGTTCAAACACGGCGCTTTGAAGTGCAGTGTTGTCTCGTACAAGTTTGTAGAAATCTTGAGTCTGCATCGGACGTCAGCAAAGCCGTCATGCGAATTGTGCAGGGTCTGCACATACCTCGTATCCATGCAGAAGACGGGTCTGCGCGGCATCGTTTGGTGTCATTTGATTGGCTTCAGGAACTACTCGTGCACATTTCTGGTCCGTTGAAAACTGGGCGTTCGGGTTCGTAGTGGTGTAAGTGAAAAGTATGACGCGAATTTCTTCAACCGGCACAAAGGACAAGAGGGTAGCCGCATATGCTGCTGCCCTGCCAGCTGCATACGGTTGCCACTGCTTGTTTTTATGTGAATCTGCGTAATCGCAGATACCCCGTACCACGAGACATGGGAAAGTGTTCATCAGACCTGCAGCCTCCATCTCGAAGCAAAGCACCCCGCCAAGGTCAGAGCTCACTTTATCTCTTGTAATCCCATCTCTCATGATCTGGTTTCCTGACGCAATCGTTCCATAATGGACTGCAGGGAGTTGCCCTTGCCGCGGATGTCGATAGATTATGTGATCATGATTGCACGATGAGCATCCTATTCCCTCCAAATGCTCATAAGCGGCGGCGAACAGGAGATCGGGCTCAATAGAATCTCCAAGAAAAGGGTGATGGCTCTCAAGCTTGGACAGGTAGCTCAGGAAGTGACCCTTTTCTTGGTAATGACTCGCCTGTATCTTGGATACCGCATTGAGAAGAATGGTTGGTGGAGGACTTAAATATCGCCTTTGCACGAACCCTTTAGATATTGTTGTCCCGAAATCGTATTGAACCACTCCGCCATGTCCCTTGAAGGGCTGGCTAACAGCCACATCTCCAAGTCGAATGCCGGCGTCTTTGCTGGGTACACCGCCGCCGATGCCAATCAGGAGATTGAATCGAATGTGGGGAAAGAAAACTTCATCTGAGTGGCAACGAGTGCGGCGGAGTTTGTCCCCATTACTCCCGCCGGCAAACAGGCGATCACAACATCGCGCTTGCCGATTCGTCCAAGTATGTAGATGTTGGTATCGTTTTCGAATCCAATGGGGTTATGTTCCTCTTCAAGCATGCATTGTGCAGCAGTGAGCTCAATTAGGAGCGCATAAACCATCCCACTGTATACTCGTTGGGAGATAGACGCCGGCTTGTCATTGAGACAGTGGATCTTACTCAGCGTCATACGTTTCTTGATTATTTCTAAGGTATTTCGATGTCAGGATTTATCCAACGAACGTAGAGCGTAAGGGTATGTGATACGGATTGATAAACAAAAAGCAGCTTTTGGAAAAGAATGGAATAAGCCGACGAATTTTTGTCGTATTCAAAACGACATAAGAGGATGAGAGAATTCTCGCCGCTTATAATCAGTTTGTGGCCGATCAAGCTGAGCGTGGCAGCCTGGGATTTTCCATAGGTTGATCCCGCAAAGACTGAAATTATGCTCGAAGGATGACGAGGCTGATGCGGAGTGGCAAACGCATATGCAGCTTTGGTGCTTTCCCATGAGCCACAACATTAGATTGGTTAGGGGTTTTCTAAAATGGGTATTCCGAAGCGGTGGCTTGCCCTGTGGTCAGCGAGAGTTGATGATCAGCGGACAAGGTTATGCTGCCTGCTCTCAAAACTGAAGCTGACAGTGGCTAGGCACTCAACAATGGCGGAAAGGAAAACCGCGACGGCGACCATTCAGAGCTTGAGTTCATAGTTTCACAATTTCCAAGCAGCGCAGGCTTCCGCCAGCACAAGGCAGCAATGGACATCGAAGCTCTCACATACAGGGGGATATTTCAGCCGACGGCTAGCGTAAATTTAGTTTTCGCTCATACCATGGGTAGTTGCAGTGTGCTGTCTCGAGATATCGGAATCAGGCGATGCTCATTTCTCCAACAAGGTCCGTGTCGATTCGTCTTGTTTTGGTGGCTAACCAGAATGGAAACACGCTTCAGCATGTTCATCCAATGAGCAAGTCACGATGCGAGATTATTGTGTGGTTGGTGCGCGCCGGAGTTAAAACACGAATTTAATCTCAAAATCCGAACAAAAAGCTGCATTCTTACACTGTGGGACACAATCCCCTCAATCGCTTGGAATCCCGGGTTCCCGGCTTCCAAACATAGTGAGTTACACAGAATCCTGCAAGGTCTCGCCCACAGTCCACCCAACAAAAATTTAAAAATGTAGAGCAGCGCAAGCAGGGGCAAAAGGAATTGCATCGACTGGGAGTTGAACCCAGGTCTCACCAATTCTCCAGAGTCCCGCGTCCGGGCCGTCTCTCACGGGGGTCATCTGCTCCAAGGGCCTCGCCTTTCAGGCCTCGCCTCTTGGGCCTCGACTCCACTCTGATTGAGATCGATACGTTCTAACCACTGAACCACCGACGCTTTTTGATGTTGGAAAGGTAGTTGATAGTATGCTTTATAAAGGAACAATGTCGAGCGACGAAGGAGAGCGGCCGTGGCTGGTTGACCGGTGAGCGAAACGCGCACATTCAGTCAACCCTTGCATTATACACGTAGTCGGTGCGCTAATTTCACATTTTTCATCTTAGAAGGTCCCCAACACGTAGATCTAACGGTAGACAAATGTAAAGCATTTGCTGTAGTTTGAACTCAGGTCTCGGTGAGCATTCAAGACCCATGCCCACAGCAGAGATCTCGGGTGGGTGCTCTTCTAGGACCCGCATATCAGGCTGGCATCGAAACAAAAGCGTCGAGCTTGTTGAGAGACAGGACCCATCACTTGGCTACACAAACTGTACTGAACTGTAAGGAATCCAAAAAATGGATCAGTATGAAAGGGGTTGGCTATCAGAGGCATCAATGATTAAAGCTGGAGCGATATTCCCACATATTTAGGCGTGTAGAACACTAGATAAAGCGGTGAAAGTCTAAAAAGAATGTCATGATGGATAGTGACATTGCAGCAAAAAGAACTGCATTGGCTAGGAGTTGAACCCAGGGCTCATCGAATCCAAGGAGTTTCCGCGTCCGGCCCATCTTGGGTGGGGGTGTGCTTCCTTTTGGGAATGCACCACCAAACTCTGGTAGAATCGATGTGTTTTACCGCTAAACTACCAACGCCTTCTATTTGATGAAGGAGGCAAGTCGAAGTTGCTTTATGAAGATCAGAGAAATTTGGCGTCTATATAAGAATTTGAAATAACAGTCAAACCTCATGTTTGCTGTTCTCATGAGCCCCGTGTATTCGGTGGATGCGTTGGAGCTATTAGTCTCACTTTGCAGGAAAGTTTGGTGCACAATGCTTCAACACCAGATGCTCGGGGCATCACTGGAATCCAAGGGTGACGTGAGGTAAGGGGTGACGGAAATCAATGAATAGGGATAACTTTTTATGCATGGATCGAAGATTGTGCAGATCGGTCTGATAACGCTGAAGAACAACACGTCTGCAGCCTCACAGTCTTATCTTGACGAACGTCGGGAATAACAGTGGGTCCAGATTGTCATCGGATCGGCTACACATCATGCTCGCAACATGTCAACGTTTTGGTACAAAATCACGTGTGGGGGGCGTCGATCATTTTTTCCACTTCACCCTGCATGAACGCTCGTCTACCGAGCGACCCGCCTTCCGACAGCCGGAAAAGCAAAAAGCAAAAAGAGTTCTCGGGGGATCGACGGTCCGCAGCGCCGGGTTTGGGTGCGTCCTCTTTGCCTGATTCCGAAAGAGAGCAGAGATCCTCCTTTATGCATACAATAGCGCGACGTTAGCTCCCCCTCTCCCACTCGGAGCGTCCGGCTTGACGTCAGTGATCTTCGTCCATTTTCTTCTTTCCCTCCTCACTGCAGGAGGAGGCCTTCAAGGGCCCCGCTACGGGCGTAAGTGATCTGCGAGATGAGGCGTGGATGAGGAAAGGTGTCCCGAAGACAGCTGTCTTGAGCCGTCTTGAAGCGAGATTGCGACAAGAGTTCGCGGACGATCAGCCGGGACGAGGAAGCTGAAAATGCGGTTCTTTGTTTGGGCTGCGTACGCATGATCTACGGCTAAGTCGAGTCAGTTGGAGAGTAGGGCCGAACGTTGCAGTGCCTTTTAATTTATTTCATTGTACCCGCTGTTGCCCCTCATCCAACACCGGAGTTTCGGAGGGAAAAAAAGGTAGGATTTGGCGGGTGGAGTGACGGCCAATGAGATAGGGGCCAGTGTGTTGAACGTACGCAGGGTCTTTTGTACTATGTACTACGTGGTCCGCAGGATGAGATGATTCCCCGATATGGCTAGTGGCCTCGTCTGCGGAACGTGCCGCTTGGGCGTGATAGCCAGGATCTGTTGCGAAGGTGACGACAATTTTCAAGGATACGATGGTGCCCGTACGCTCGGAGCCAAGTTGGTCCCAATGCCGTGGCAGTGTTGCCGGGCATCTTAAGTGACCGTGAGAATAATGGCCCCCAATTCTATCATTAAAGGCTAGTTCGTCTAAACGCGAGCTCATTATCTTCACCTTCATGGACACGGCGAGACATCGGGTATTGCTTCTACAATAGCCACCGGCCCGAACCATGGTGTCCGAGGCCAGTCTAACCGGACAGTTTAGCTCTCTTTTTTTGTCTCTTTCCCACGAAAAAAGGGTTCCGGTGTGTGAGGGTTCTTCGTCATCCGACTCCTGACTCACTCGACCGAACGTGGCGTTGGTCACTTGCAATCAATAACCCGATATGGCCCCTGCTGCCTGTTTCTGGACCCCAACAGAGGTCTCGTCCCCCGCACTATGTGGGTCCCTCGTGGCTCTTCGATCGGCTAACGGAACAAATCGCAAATGTCTGGCGTTTCGAAATAGAGTGCTATTCCCCTCCTGGCCTTCGACTCCGTATCTCACCGCCGGACTCTTCAACGTTGATCGTGGTTGGGAAAGCACAGGAGAGACCTACTGCTTTGCAGCGCGTGAAAGCTCTCTTACCATGGAAGGCAGCAAAGGGATAAGAAACATTCCCACCGATGTATGCCGGTAGATTGCGTATCGGGGTCCGAGAGTGGTTAAGTGTCGGGTCCGGAACGCGTTCCGACTCCCGTCTCGGCAATGAGCTTGTATAATGTACCAAGGGGCAATGTATGAGATGAATAATGAGTATGTCTTGGTTCTATTTGCCTCCGGCAGTCAAGAACGAGATATGCATTGCTATCTCGGAGGACTTCAAATAGGGGGTATCAGGAAAACTGTCTGTTTATACAGCAATGAGAAGATAGAAAGAAAGAGAGAACTCCTAGTTCTTTCAGCACGCATTACCGCCCCGAATGAAAAGTCTGCTTGTTCCTGCGGCCATTTCGTGGCTGCGGATTAGCGAACGCCGAAAGGGCGCTTGTATGCTCTGGAGGCTGTGCTGACGCGTCTTGACGCCGCATTAGCCTCTCATTCCGTCGGAAAGACCCATTCGTCGTATCTTCCCTCAACAAAGTTCCAGACATAACGCAATTTATCCCGTCTTCATGCACAAAATGCATTCTCAAGGTTTCTGGCACGATCAAGCTTCTAATCCTGAAAAGGAATGGCAGGAGGGGGGCGGGTCCGGGTATCTTCGGAGCCGAACGGAGGGTACAAAGGCCGTCGTTTGGCGTTTTAGTGTTTCGGATGTCGGGACAGAGGAGTCCCGGCTAAGGTGAGATGTGTCGATAGTTGGTGGGAAGTTTGTGGCGTGTCCTATGAAGCTCCCGAGTTTGAAGGCCCGGCAGAAGGGCGACTCGAAGGGGCCTCGGACCTGGTCGAGGGCCCGGTGGAGGGCCGGTCGCTCATCGACTCGTCCCACGACTCGGCCATGATCTCGGGGAACAGGGCCTTGGTCGAGATGCTGTCGACGAACTCCTTCCAGCGCACGACGTGGGTGCCGGCCTCGTTGAACTCCATGCTCCAGACGTACTCGTTGGTCCAGGGCCCGGAAACGGTGGTGCCGGTGCAGATGACCCACATGCAGACCTTGCGGGCAGGCACGTCTTCGATGAGGTCGTGCACGGAAATGTAGAAGGTCTTGAAGGTGTTGAGGATGAAGTTGAGGGCGCGTTGGGCGGCGTCGTTGTCCTGAGCAGGCATGCCCATGGACTTGGGGTAGATCTCACGCCAGCAGCTGCGGTCTCGCATGTTCCACACGGCGCGCGTGTCCAGGCGGTTCAAGGCCTCGACGATGGCCAGGGCAGTCCGGCGCTGCTGCGTCATGGCGGGAGCCTCGCTGGACTTGGACGACTTCTTCTCCTTCCACAAAGGCATGGCTGGTCGAGAGAGAGGGTGGTGTTCACTTGTCGGGCAAGGAACAGCGGAGAGCCGGGTTGAAAAGAGATGTGCAGCTGGGGCCGTGTGGGGGGAAAAGCAAATATTGAAATAGACCTCACCGTCATTTCAGTGGGCCTACATAGTCCCAGACTTATCAGCACAGCCGGAGTCAAGTCCCCGTTCGGGATGCCGGAGTTCTCTCGTGTTGCGCCTCAAGATCACGCGCTATGGTCGGTTTGGGAGAAAGTAGCTTGGTCTTTCGCTACGGCAGAGGGCACAAATCGGACCGTTACCACTGGGCCGCATGCGATCCCTCCCCGGAAACGGTACCCCCATGCCTCCCGCCAGCCACCCCTTGCCTTGTGGCTTGACCCAGCGCCGCGTCCTGCATCCGGCACCGGGACGCGGCATTGACATCGAGATAGCGAGCAGTGCCCGCAAAAAGAGCGCCGTTGAAGGCTGAAAATGCCTCCGTCAAATCGCCTGAGAATAGGATCGGCCTTGGCTATTCTCAAAGCCACTAAAGTCGATGCATCTACGATCGAACTACACGAGTAATCAGTCGCCGGGAACGGGCTGTTTACCGAGGTTAGGGGTCGTTTTTCTGGCGGGCACTAAATCCTGACAGCCCTAAGTCGATCAAGCCACACGCGGCTGATGAGAAAGCAATGCCTCTATGAGGCAGTGAGCGCGGGCCATTAGGCAGCCCCCTCGCCGCTTTCCCTTCGTCTCATCGGTCCTATCATGAGGTAATGAAGTAGCGGGTGTATTATTGCTTCTGGGGTCTGGGCCATGCTCTACGCCCGAGCGGTTCACAACCATTTGCGATCGTCTGGTTTCCCACGTGGTTATTCGCGTGCGCCGAGTACTTCGGCTCGCGCCGTACAGGAAGTGCTTGGCTAGAGACGGGAGAAGGATGAAGCGTGCCTGTCGGGATGGCATCCGTATCCCAGCTGCAGTAGCTACAAATCCAACAGATGCCTCCAGACTCATGCCAGGGCAATATCCCGCAATTCTACAGGCGATCTAGATCGCGCCTCTTCTCTGTGCTCTTGCCTCGACCCTTAGTGCGCGCCGCCGAGGACCCTTAGTAGCTGCACAACACACCACCATCATGCCTGCACGTCACCCACACTTCAACCAACGCTAATCCATGCACCTTTTCTGCCCACAACCTACCACATAAGGCTAGCTGTCCATCGCCGCTAGCGCCGAATCCTTCTCACCATATCAAATCTTTGTCCTTCATGCACTAAAAAGAAGGGAACGCGCTATCATCAGAAACTATAATCCAACCCCAGGCATCTCAGCTTCCTAATAGCAATCCACCAATCACCTTGCTCTTCGATCATCTGTAAGGCGTGTGAAACCTAACCAACGGGATTGGCCAAACCCGATTAAGATAAGGCTTGCTTTCTTATCTATTCATTTTAATTCAAATAGATCAGACAACGGTAGCACTACACTTCAGCGCAGGATCATCGTGGAGCATAACAATAGCTGGAAGATCTTGCAACGCGGCAAAGGAGTGACTGCGGTGAGTATTCCCCTTTTCTTTTTTGCATCACGGTTCTTGGACTTCCCTTAAACCCCCCTGCAACTGTTGCGCAATCCTCAACTCGCTTAGCATCTAAAGGCACTTCCTTCGCCCTGCAGATCCACCACTACCTCCGTCCCCACATCCTCTCGGTTTAGCGCCTTCCTAATTGAGAAATATGCTGACCCTCACCCCTTGCTAGTAGCCAGCCACCAGTGCTGTTAAGTTGCTTGATCAATGGATAAGCTTCGATAAGAGTCTCGCGTGGCAGGAGTGGAGGAAGTAGTGGATCTGTAGGGCGGGGGATATTCTGCACTGACATTCACCGTGACGTCACTGAGTTTTACTACTCCCTTTCCCCCACAGCTGAGTGGCTAATGCGAGGATTGTGACCATTTCGGGCAGGGGGATAATGCACCTGTTCATTCGAGTTGACTCGCCGCTGTTGAGGATGATGGTCTATAGGACTCTACTGTTTGTAGCTTTTGTTGTCAGGGTTTACCTTGACTTATACATGAATTTTCTCGGAGACGGAAGAAGTTGTAAAATGAGTTCAGTCAAGAGCTTTTTCCGGCATGGTCAGCCAGTATACCTTTCGGTAATGGTTGTCATGACCTGAGCAGCGACGATGTAGTTACTCTAAGAGTTTGGTCAGTGAAAAAAAAAAGTCTAAAGTGGAGTTGAAATTGCCGCATCAACATAAGAATCTCAGTTTGACGTCCTTCGCGTAATAGCTGCCTGCGACCGGCTAGAACACGCAGCTTTGAGGTGTTTGTTTCTGTATTTGAAGAAACCGTCGGAATCTAGACCTTATGATATCGGCCTTCGTTCAAGCCTCTGTGACGCCTGCTTGATCTCTCCATGAAGTACGACGGACGTTATGCTAAGCGGAGTGGGGCAAGACGATCCCACACACCCTGGGTTTCACCTTAAATTCTACGACGATAGCCGACGGACCCCATCTAATAGCACCCCACTCCCGGACGCCATCAATCCCGAAAGCGCACGTCTGCATAAGCTTACCTTGCTTTAGATACTCGGAAAGTAAGAACCTCAATCACAACCGTCTCACGGCTGGTTTCAGGGAAATAAAGTGGAGTAACCCCGGGGTACCCTTGTCACAAGTTGCCCAATGATTGAACTGAAGTTGCTGATGAGCATAACATTATTGGAAGACCAATTAGCTCAAAGTTCAGCGTTCATGTTCCATCTACAATAGGTTTTGGAATGAGATCCTTCTCAAAATTGGTTCGGCAATAACCAGGTGAGACGGTCAGTGACCTCGCTCACCAAAAAGAGGGAAAAGAATCGAAAAAATCCCCGTAAGTCATCACTGCTGAACGTTGCTGGTCCGATGTCTCAACCGAAATCAGCAAATACCAGGCCATTTCCAGTCCCAGAATCCCCGAAAAGCCCGTCGCCCCAAGAACCACGCCCAGACCTGCCCACACATACCCGACCATACTTTTCCCACGCCTTACCCAGCAAACTTCAGTAAATAACCTCAAACTAGCCCCCCAACTATTGCCTACCCAGTATGTCCAAGATTATTGCAAAAAAGGAAAGAGAGACCCCTGCTTAAGGAATGAAAACGTGTGGGCGAGGAACATGTAAAAGGAAAATTAGCAGGGGTATCAAACAGATGGGCCGACCCAAGGTAATCTAAAGGAAGCACCTATGCTAGAAATGCCGCGCTGCATGCTGCATGCTAGTTCGCCATGTACGTACGCTAGTGTGTATGCGTCAAAATAAACGTGAAAAAAAAGTCAAATGAAGCGATCTGCATCTTGCGTAGCTCGTGTCGTGTGGTCGAGGGAAGGATTGTTGCGAAGATCTGTGGTTTAGTAAGAATAAGAACATGAATCAAATACGCAATGGGGGTGAACGAGCCGAGTCAAAGAGTCGTGTAGCTGAGGACCGCATGCCAGCTCCGTTTCAGAAGCTGATCAGACTTCCCTCAGTGACAATCCCCTTCTCCGCAGTCGAGCCCCAGCGCCTTCGAATGCTGTCCAAACCCGCGCCTCCGGCCGGCGCAATGGAAGCCGCAATGGGAGCAGGGGCAGTGGAAGGCACGTGGGCGGCGTCGCCAGCATCAAAGCTGCGCCTCCTTCGCATTGTTCGCGTCTCATCCAATCGCTGCATAGCGGGGGCTAGCCGTCGCATCTTGGGTCGCCTGGCGCTCTCAGCATTCATCATGGCGCCAACACACTCCAGCGCTTGATACTCGGCCGCTTCGTCCTCTTTGCGGCTCTCTACCGTGCCGATAGCGCCGGAGCCCTTGAGGGGATGGTTGCCGTTGGTGACGCCGGAGTTGATCCGGCTATCACGGTGCCCACTACTGAGCCCGCAAAGCAGTTTGCGCCAGGACGTGACGCGATCTAGGTTCGCATGGAATGATTGGTCGCGGCTAAACTGGGAACGATAGCCACGGAGGTTGGACACCGTCTGGCCCTTCGCAACAGTCAACATCTCCAAAAAGACACAGCCCAGACTAAAAATGTCGGCAGAGGTGCGGTAGCGATGGCCTTGGCCATGACGCGCCGCGACCTCTGGAGCAGCATAAATGTATGCCGCTTCGCTCAGCGGTCTCATGCTATTGTTAGTTGGTAGGGATGGGCCCGCACCAGAGTAGCTACGCGGCGACCCACGGGGCGAGATGCTCACCCCGTCGGTCGAAATGCCGAACGTAGAGAAAACGATCTTGGCTCCGTCCAAAAGAATCTTGTTGGGTCGAATCGCTTGGTGCATCATGTCCATGCTGTGGATGTAAGCGAGGGCCTGCGTGAGATCATTGATCCACGTCAACAGAAGACCAGGCCGGGTTGCCGCCATTGGATGGCGCAAGTACTCTTCCAACGTGATTTGTGCTTGCATGGTCACGATGCCGATGGTAGCGCTCTGGGAATAGGAGCACAGAATTTTGGCGACGTTCGGGTGCTCCAGAGTCTTGAGCTTCTGAATCTGGCTGAGCAGACCAAGCTTCTCGGCGTGGCGCTCGAATGTGAAGCATTTCCGAACAAAGACTCGGCCGTTGTCATCGCCCATCCAGCGTACCTTGTCAACCGTCTTCTTCTCTGTTCCGGAGTGGGAGAAGACGCCGACTTGCTTCAGGGGAACGATGTCACGCGGGTTGAAGTCCGTATGCTGGCCATTCTGCGGAAGCTCTCGAGTCAAGACGCGCCACTGGTTCTCAACAACCTTCTTCGGATTAGTAGCGATTCCTTCCAAATCGGCCTCCTGGAAGGGGAGCTTGGTGTCCTCTAGCCAGTAGAAGCTAGCGCGTCTCCAGGCAGCGATATCATCGCACATCAAGAACAACAGAGCCGTCTTGGAATTGCCCAAAGCCCACGTGTAGGCACGCTGGCCGGTGGTTCGCTCCCAGCCCTGGCGGCTTATGAGCGTGGGCGACTCCCGGTGGACATACTGCTTCTCCAAGGCCGGGGTGATGGTGGCGTTGAAGAGAGGAGCAAGACTGACACCAATGCTGCTTTCCCGGAAAGGGTTGGGGGTAGGGGTGGGAGCGGGTACAAGATCCAAAGACTTCTTCTTCGTGTCGTCCGTGGGAGAGGGAGGCGCGGGCGAGCTCATGGTGATGAATGCAGGCTTCGCACCACTCAGCGGCTGGGGGGCAACTGGAGTGGCACAGCGGCTGGCTGTGGGCGTGACGCTGCAGCTCAGAGACGGCGGCGTCGGGCACGGCAGGATCCTCGGCGGCGGTGAGCCCGCGGAGCTCACACTGTCGGGCAAGACGACGCTGACGCTGCTGGCCCACGGGTTGTTGCTGGTGGGGGTCATGCTGCGGCTGGCCGAGGACGAGGACGAGGCGCTCGGCGAGGGCGGCGATCGAGCAGGCCAGTCCCACGGGCGGTCGTCGCGGAAATTCGAGACAGACATTGTCTGATGCAGAAAAGGATGCTTCGAGGCGGAAGGCGCGGCCGAAGCCGACCAGCCGGCGAGAAAAGGTGAAGCTTGCATGATTGGACGAGGACGGAAGCGAGACTGGACGGAGACACGGCCGAGCAAGAGCGTCGCGGAAAGACGGGCACACTACGGACGCCGCTCACAGCGCGGGTGCAACAAAGGCAGAAAACATGACGGGAGGGGAGGAGGGGAGGGCGCGCGTGAGGAGTTGGGCGCCGTGAAGATGTAGTTGTACTGGCTGGGCGGCGCTCGGCCCGGGGCGAACTATGCTGATTGCGCCTGGCCGGAGCGATGCGCTGGCAGCTGGCTGTCTGCAGCGTTGCGCTTGGGCGGCGAGTTGGGCGAGGACGCGATGGGCACGACTTGCGACCCGACATGCATTGTTACGTGGCTCACGCGAACTCGCCGCTCAGCACGACGACCAGCCGAGCGATCGCAAATGTGCGCAGCGCCGCGCTCAGCTGATCGCGTGCGTGCGAGTTGCAGTCGCAGCGTGCTGTGGATGGCGGAGTGGTGCAGCACAGGCGTGCGGAGAGGGTGTGCGGTGGGCGGCGGAAGCAGGGGTGGGGTTCGAGGCGCTCAGTCCAGCAGCTTACTTCGAGGACACCCCACGCTGGCCAGGCACGCGGGCGTTGGCGGCTCGATAACATCCTGGACACCGCCGCCAGCGGCGCCACGAGGCCGTCGTTGAGCCGCAGCCGCTGGGGCATCGCGCCCGCAGCCACCCAGCGGCCTGCATTGCCGTCGAAGCAGGGATGCGACAGTGCTGAAGCTCGTTGGCGCTCCTCACCGCGCCCCGCACCCGCGCTGCCATTGGCTCGCGTCGCCGCCGAGACCACAATCTGTCGCAGCCAGCGCTTCGGTGCTGCTTCGTCCTCGACCTGCCACTGGCCTGCGTCTAATTTTGGCCAAAACCCACAAGACGGTTGCCCGGCACAGGCCGAAGCTTAACTGGATCAGCGCAGCGCCCCCTCGCATCGACATCTCGTCCGCACCGCGTCGCAGCTCGAGTGTCAACTGCTCCTCCACCAAGCTCCCTCGACGGCGCTAGTCACGCCATGATGGCTCCTGTGTCTTGAGTTTCTCTCATGACAGTTTGATCTCGCCTGGCCTCCGTCCTGCTATTGTTATGCTTTCATGCGGCTTCATCTTGGCTCCGTCTCTCCATCCTAACATCCTCGCCACCTCTTCTCCTTCTCTCCCGCCCTCAGACCGGTAAGCTGCTGGACAGCCTTTTGTTGTTTCCTCGTTCCTTGTAATACACCACATCCACGCTCATTTCTCTTTCTCCATTCCATCCCGTAATCCCATCCAGTCAAGCTGCTGGACAGTCCAACATGCGGCCTTCTTCGAGCCTCGTCGCTAGCCTCCTAGTAATCGCACAAGCCGCTGATGTCAACGCAAAGGGCCTATCAGGCCAGTTCCTTCATGCGCTCCATCGTCGTGCGCCCAGTTTCGAGGATACGATGATGAGGCAGGCCCACGAGTTTTTCAACGAGCTCGAGGCCCGCCAAAGTGAAGCAACCTCCGACCCAAGCAGCATTTCCACAACTCCTGCCTCCAATGGCACCGTCGACCCCGATGAATGGGACTCGCAGACCAAGACATCATGCGACGCTGCCATGATCAGGCTGGCCGCGAAGCCCGACAACCCGAGCGGTCTGGCTGTCTGCTACAACATTCCATTCTTCAACAACCAGACTGGTGTTTTCCAGGCCGAGCTCCGCATGTACAACATGACACCGCCCTTCGATCCGTGGACGGGTGTGACGGCGGCAGATATCAGCATGACGCTGTCGTACCAGAGCGCCACTGTGCAAGCTTCCAACACCTCGGACCCTGCTTCGAAACGCGATCTGGATTCGACCCTGGCATGGCCGCCCATCAAACTACGCGAGATCGAAGTCAACGACCTTGCTCGTCGTCAATCAGAGCCAAGCGGCCCGCAGGCGATCAAGGTGCTCATGTATGTTGGACAAGTCGACCAGGACACCTTGGACAGCGCCCAATCAGCGTAAGTGAAAGCTCCAGGAAACTTCACGCGAGCCTGCGACTAATATCCTTGCAGCCCGGAAATGCAAAACCTGCTTGTGCCATCGGTCAAGCTTACTGCGCGGTCCCCTCAGGACATGTCTCCTCTTTCCACCGAACTCTCAGCCACCAAGGCATCATTCCTTAACGGTGTCTTCTCCAAGAAGGGCACAACATCTGCCTCGGACGTATCCGCCTCCAACGTCGCCAATGCCGTGTCTTTCCTCATTCCGGGCTATCGCTTGGCTCCGTTGGAAGTGCCTGGTCTGACACTGCCCATCAACCTGCTTTTCCCTACGGGTCTGATTATTACCTTGGTCTGGACTGTCGCCTTCTTCGGTGTCGTTGGATGGGGAACTCTTGGCAGGATAAGATTCAGGGACCAGTACAGGCGGAGAGTCAACGTAAACAAGGAGATGAACCAAGCCCGCATCTAGATGGGGGTACGGTTCTTGGACAGTCGTTTGAGCGCATCATTTTCACGGAGTTTTGAGCGATCGCATTTTCCCTGCAAAAAGAAGAATACCCTGGCGGTGTCTCTATATCGCTTTCGATTCTTGAAATTTGGTTTCCATGTAGTTAATTCTTGCGTCGGGAGAAGGACTCGACGGCTTATGCAGGATCTCGGAGGTTTGGTTTACGACTGTAATGCAGAGACGGCGTGTTAGGCATGCGTGCGTAGCCGGAGGGCTATTCAAAACCAAAAATCAGTTACCATGAAAAAAAATAAAAGGCCAAAATTCCATCCCCGGCGATAACTCAGAATGCTAAGGTCTTATCTAGAGTCGGTTGTCATCGGGATAAGAGCCGCGAGCTATCGGCGTCAGACGCGCCCTATGCCGGCCCCCGCCATTGACAAGTTCCACATCTCGGCTCTGTACTGGAATCCTTCATTGACTCACGAACGGAGTGTTGGAGTCATCCCCATTCTCTATATAAATTCCTCGCATGATCGCAACGTCTTCAATTGCATCCATTGACCAGTACTTCCATTGCAAGGGATAGTAGTTGACGTCATTCGACAATTGCTCCATCACTGCCGCGGAGCTTCCTGAACGCGTAATCGAATACCCCGCTGTATCAACGTCAATTGCTCTCAACATTCCGCAATGGGTGAAGTCGCCACCAATCCGTCGCCATTCGGCCGCAAGCTGCGCAAGGACTTTCTCTTCGATGACGACTACATCAACATCAACCATGGTCAGTAAATAAAGGACGAGTCTCCAGAGACGTTCAACCCCGCACTCCCTCATCACCCCAACCTCCTAGCTGCAAGCTCGAGATGATAACTCGTGATGCACAGGCTCATTCGGCACCTATCCCAAGCCGGTGCAAGACGAGATCCGGCGGTGGCAGTCGCGGGTGGAGGCGCGGCCGGACCAGTTCATCCGGTACGACTACCCGGTGGAGCTGCGCAAGTCGCGGGCGCTGATGGCCGAGTACCTGCACGCGCCGGTCGAGGCCGTCGTCTTCGTGCCGAACGCGACGACGGGCGTCAACACGGTGCTGCGCAACCTTGTCTTCGCCGACGGCGAGGTCATCGTCTACTTCGCCACCATCTACGGCGCCTGCGAGAACACGGTCAGGTACATATGCGAGACGACGCCCGCCCGCGCCGCCCGCGTCGAGTACACCTTCCCGGTCGAGGACGACGACCTGGTGGGCCGCTTCCGTGATGTTGTCGCCGCCGAGACCAAGGCCGGCCGTAAGGTCAAGGTCGCCATCTTCGACACCGTTGTGTCCATGCCCGGCGTCAGATTTCCGTTCGAGAAGCTGACCCAGGCTTGTCGTGAGCTCGGGGTGCTGAGTCTGGTCGATGGCGCCCACGGCGTCGGACAGGTTGATCTGAACCTTAGCGAATTGGATCCTGATTTCTTCGTGAGCAATTGCCACAAGTGAGTATATCCAATTCACCCTTTCGTCCCATTCGATATGCGGAAGGCCTCCGTACTTTGTTCTCAACCCACCTCTTCAATCACAAATCCCACCCCTCGTATCACCACTAACCCCCCTCTCCCAGATGGCTCTTCACCCCCCGCCCCAGCGCCGTCTTCTACGTCCCCGTGCGCAACCAACACCTCATGCGCTCCACCCTCCCCACCTCCCACGGCTTCGTACCCCTCCCGGACCCGGACGCAGCCGGGGAAGAACCCTACATCAACCCTCTCCCGCCATCCGGCGAATCCGCCTTCGAAGGCAACTTCGCCTTCACCGCCACGCTCGACAACTCGCCGCTCCTCTGCGTCAGCGCCGCGCTGGCCTACCGGCAGTCGCTGGGCGGCGAAGCCGCCATCCGCACCTACTGCGAGACGCTGGCGCGCGACGGCGGCGCGCGCGTGGCGGCGCTGCTCGGCACCGAGGTGCTCGACAACGCCACGCGCACCATGGGCCGCTGCTTCTTCGCCAACGTGCGCCTGCCGCTCGCGCTGGCCGTGTGCGAGGAGGCGGCGGCCGCCGCGGCGCCACAGCGCGAGCGCGAGGGCAAGAGGGCCATCGCCAAGGCAGAGGTGCCCGCGCTCGTCAAGAACTGGGCCGCTCGCACCATGGTGAAAGATTACGGCGGCTTCCAGGCGCTGATCGAGTACGGCGGCGGGTGGTGGGCGCGCTTGAGCGCTATGGTGTATTTGGAGATGGCCGACTTTGAGTGGGCGGCTGGCGTGCTCAAGAAGGTTTGCGAGAGGGCGGAGCGGGGGGAGTGGATGGATTAGACGGGCCGAGAGTGGGTTGTTTAGACGGATGGGTAGGGTGGTTGAAGTAGTTCAAAGAAGCGATGAGAAAGGGAGGGGAAGAGAGTGGTGGAGATGGAGTCAAATCTGAGAGCGCAGTAGCACATTATTTAGAGCGTACGAAGGACAGAGATAAGACATGGATGTCTGGTAATGTTCAAAATGGTTTCCGGAAGATTTACCTTTCGCATATTGCACTCTTACTAGGCAGGCCGTGGAAGCAGACGCCTAGACCTAAATGTTGGTTCCGCAATCATCTAGATGGGTCAACGAAGACTTCAATTGCCTAGGTACGTAAGTTGATTGCAAGATATCTGAGAGTAGATAAGATGTTTAGTAGCCCACGTTAGAGTGGGGCAGTTTTGAATGTATGGCGTGCAGTCCAGGGACTCATTGCGTGCCTTGGGTATCCTCCCCGCTTAATGCTACCCACAAATAGCCGCCGTGACCTTTTGAATTGTGTATGCACCGATTGTGTTCCGCATGTAGTTGCCTTCCGAGTCTCCTTTCTTATTGGCTGATGGATATCCGTGCTGACTGTTGATGTCTTACTTTCTCCCCCACGGTCTGAAAAACCTTGATAAGTGATAGGTCGATAAGCCCCAGACTAGGACAGAACTCAGACCAAACGGCTCGGCTCGATAAGGGGATCATGAGTTGCAAAACTATAAGATTCGATGTCCTAAACCTTCGCCCTAGCCCTACCTTCCCAACTGAAAGGTGACCAGACTACCCGTCCCTACCCAACCCCAATTTCTGGTTCAGGGCAGAAATCAAATGCGCACGGTGATAAACTTCTTTGATCGTACATGCCTGAGGCTTCTCTTCTTTTTCGGTCTGTAGTTCGTCTAATGGTCGCCTGTATAGCCAATAGAGTATGCAAAGGCGATGAGTAATGGGTATCAACCGCGGACACCCTCCAAAAACAAAGCCAAAAACGTGAACGATCCAACCGATGAAACAGAAAACGCCTTGATGCATCCAATTGCCCTTCTAGAAACATTACAAATCCAACGACCAGGATTGAGGTCGAAAATACACGCCATGGTCGCCTGAATGCTTCATTAGGCTCGCTATTCGTAAAGTCGACCACACCCGTGAGAGATGATATCGAGTAGAGGGCGTTGGAGCCCATGGTCGTCCGCTCAGCAGGATCTAACTTCCAGAACTTGGTGATAACTTCCATGCTGCTGGATGTATGTTCGAAACGGTGTCGACACCTGAGACAATCCAACGGATGTAAGGCTGCGTGGGACGACATTGACCCTCGAGTAACTATTCTTACTGGCGTATGCCGAATGACAAGGTGCAAAGTTTATGGAGTTTGTCCATCTTACTTTGATGTTGTGTCAGGCTCGGTATCCCTCCAGGGATTCGAGTCGTAAATGTCAAGCAAGCTACCACGCAAATTAGCATAAGCTTATCAAACAAGTAGAACCCTAGCCAATGATGTAAGGGTTGGAGAGGTAAGCTTACGCATAAGTTTCAAACGGAATGCCGCGTGGCTTTCCGTAGCCTTCAGAAAGCTCAGGCTCAAAACTGACGTCTCTCCACATACGGAAGAGCTTGCGCCAGTAGCAGGCTTGGGCGGCAGGCGTAAGATATTTATCGCGGAACATGGCGACATTGTTGTCGGCGATGCGCTCGGCCTCTTCAGGGTGTTCCAAGTAGTACTCGACCTTCTCGCCGAGGTCTGAGAAATCGAACTTGACGGGGATGTAGTTCATGGCCGGGCCTTGGTCGATGAGAAGCTTGTGGTGCGGCTCAATCCAATGCATTTTGGGGATGATAGGCACACTGTGACAGTTCTGGAGGTATTTGAGGCGACCAGAGTAGGATCGGCCTAAAGACAAGGTTAGTTTTCTTGGTTCAAAATCCGCGCGCCCAAGTGGATGACCAACCTTCAGTGTGCAGCACATACTGCCACTGGCAGTGGTCCGGCATGATGACGAATTTCTCCTCGACATCCGGATCACTCCAGTCCAGCGCCACGATGTCGCTCCACGGCTTATTGCCCCACTGCTTAATCAGCTGCTTACGCTGATCCGTCATAGCTGCACCTCTCCACACAACCTTTGGCCTCTTCTCGCTGAAAGCCTGCGCCTTCTCACGCACACCCATCTGATTCCGCACATCCTGGTAAGCACCGACAGGGTCTGTGGGCCACGACCAGTATCCGAAATCAGGCATCAACCACACGTCCTCCCACTCCGGGTCCCGAGTGAAGCCCCAGATGATGTGATCGTAGTCCTTCTTGATGTCGCTGTAGACCCAGTCGTCGACGGAGAAGGCGAACTCGATGTTGGGCAGCGGGCCGTTGTAGGAGGTAATGGCACGGTGCATGTTGTGGAGGACTGCAAGGGTGCGTTCGCGGTAGTCGCGGCGGTGGGTGGTGCCCCTCGTCTCGAGGATGTAGAGCTGCAGCACGGTCAGATCGGAGCTCTGCGAGCAGTGCGCAGTGGCAAGCGCATACCTGATGGTCGTAGATCATGCATCGCGTGATAGCGTCATCGCGCCAGGTGATGTCCAGGTCCTCCTTGGTGACATTGCCCTTGTTTCGGCGAACTCTGGCGGCATTCTCGAGCTCGATCCACAGATTGGGGAAGGTCCAGTCGCACTGCTCCTCGTTGAGGCCGTAGTTGCGGGCGTCGCGAGCAGGGTGGAAGCGCCAGCCTTCGGGGGTGGGCGGCTCTTCGAAGATGGAGGCGAGCGGGATGGCGACGGACTGGTTGTTGTAGATGTCGAAGGGGAACAGCTCCTCTTCGGTCTCGGGGAGCTGGGGGACGGCGTCCTCGACCTGCAGGGAGAAGCGGAGCAGGAACAGCGTGAAGAAGACGCAGAACGCGGAGGCCAGCAGCATGCGATGGAAGGTGGTTATCATTGTGGGCGTCGCCGCTGCCAGAGCGACGGAGAAGGTAAGGGTTGCAGTGTCGTGAAAGAACGACGAGAGGTGGAGGGTAGAGGGCTTTGGGGCTTGAAACGCGCCAGGGCGGTCGGGGGTCACGCTGGCGGTGGCAGTGGCAGGCAGCGGGCCTGATCAGTGCAGGTTTGGTTGTTTCGCGGGTTGATCGCCTGGGGCGGATCGCTGCTCAACTCAGCACTTGGGGCAGGGTTCTGGTGTCGCAAGGGCTGGCCATCCTCATCAGGAGCTCTCCGTTGTGCCGCTTTTCATCTCGCCCCGGCCCTGCGGCCCTGCGCCCGGAAAATCGTGTTTCGTTTGCAACCTGCGCGAGGCGGGAAACGGCGGAGACGGAAATGCTTGGAATTCTGCAGGGCGTAGCCTAAGCCTCCGCAGGGGTAGGCACTATCGAAAGGCCCGGCCGCGGGATGCGCCCGCCGGGTCGTGCTCGCTACCATGCTCGCCATCAAGCGAGGCGGAGAGGCGAATGGGAGAAACGTGGCGATATCGTCTTGACGTGAGTCGCGAGGCGTGCAGCGGCAGGTGCAAGGGCGGAACGACGTCGGCGGCTCTCTTTCGATGCTTGCAAACGCCGTGCAGCCAACCGCAGCCGCCAGCTTAACGTCGACCCCTTTCCCGCGTGGCTTGAAGCGGCCTGTGCCACAGCTTGGCCGCTCAACACAGGGGACGCGCGCAGGAGGCGCGATAAGATAAGCGATCTGCCAGGCACCGATGACGCACGAAACAGAAACCGTTCCTTCCCCATCTCGCCGTCAACAGCGTTGAAATGCCCTAGCGACATCGTTAACAGGTTCATTGCGAGGGTTTCGTTTAGTCGCTTACCTTTTCCCTTTCAGTCTTTCGGCTTCCGCATCATTGGTCCTCGGTGTCGCTGCTAAAGAGCTTAGTACGCGTTGTATCGAAGCTTCGTCCGGGACGATTGAAGTTTATATATTTCTGGCCCCCAAATCCATTGGTGTCGGTGATCAACTCCGCCCCACAGCCCGAGCTTCCGAGAGCACATGTCTCACGGCACTTCCTTGCTTTTATACCAATCTGTTTGTGCACCCAGCATGATCCTTCGGGGCTATGGACCCAGACTCGGTGTTTCCAATGTATACTTTCCGGTTCAATAAATCTTTTCCTGTCAGCATCAATCCTCGTTAACCTGGAATGTTCTTGCAGAGTGCTCCTCTCTACAGCAATGAGGAGCCGTATACTCTTTTCAATACTTTTTACTCCCACTGTTGCCGGAGTAACTGTTGGATTCTTCTTGGGAGAAGACAGATGGCAATGCAACTGATTTTGGGCCTGCCTTTGCACACGAAAAAGAACAGTTGCGGGGGAAACCTGTGCACATGCCCTTCTGGGGCATCGTGAGTTATACCAACTCCTCTGAACTGACTTCATTCACTCGTGTAAAATCCGCTGATTGAACGCTGTCGATAAACCTCACACACGGCGTGGACCGTAGGTAATGACTACACTCTGTACAATACAATGGTCAACAAGGAGGCCGTGTATTGGCAATGCTTCGTAGACTATGAGACCTGCATCGGAAACGAGGGCTAGTCCAACCGGAGCTTCATGAGGAACGAAAGTTGATTCATCAAAAGCGGCCAGGGGAATCCCCAAGAAGTGCTGCGAGCGTATTCCACGATAGCTTTCACCTCAAGTGAAACATCTCGTGAGACTGTGCTTATCAACTTCATCACTCGCGCCGTCTCAAAACTCGCCGAAGCTACATGAGACTCCCCGCCTGTCTCATTCTACGCAGCAGGGAAGAATGCGCCAATAGCAGACTCAGACAATTGTCAGGGACTCTCGGATCAGGTGTCTTTATCCCCGCTCTTGCAGCCCTCGGCATCTCCACTCCGATCCCGAAGCCTGTAGAAGGTTCATATCTGGTGAATTCTCACAGTTGTTGCACCACATAAACTTTCAGCTTGACCCTAGACTAAAACCCACTTGGACCTCAGCTATATCAAAAAAAAGAAAAGAAAAACCCAAAACGAAGAAACGAACCAAAAAACCCCACCCGAACCCCCAAACCAAACCCCCGCATACCAACATAACCCCAGACAAAAAAAAGACAATTAAAAAAAAAAATGCCACCACCAACCACCCACACCCTCGCCCTCATCACAATCGGCCAATCCCCCCGCCACGACTACGCGCCCGACCTCCCCTCGCTCCTCCCCCCACGCACGCGCCTAGTCCAACACGGCGCCCTCGACGCCCTCTCCCTCGCCGACGTCCGCGCCCAACTGGCGCCCCTACCCAGCGAAAAAGATGCAGGTAGACAAGTGCTCGTCTCGCGCATGCGCGACGGCACCGAGGTCAAGATGGACGCTGCGCGGCTGGAGCCGCTGATCGAAGCGTGTGTGAGGCGCGTTGCCGCCGCTGCTGTCGCGGCTAGAAAAAAAGGCGCTGAGGGGGCAAAGGAAGGTGATGACGAGGCTGTCGACGCGATCTTGCTGCTCTGCACGGGCGATGTGCCGGCGTTTGGGGCGGACTTGGGCGTGCCGGTCGTCGTGCCGCAGGATGCGGTGAGGCGGTTTATGGAGGAGAAGGGGGAAGGGAGAAAAGGTGCTTGGAAGCTGGTGCTCGTGAGCCCGGAGGAGCGGCAGGTGCAGGCGGCGCGGGGCCGGTGGGAGGGCGTGGGCGGGTGTGAAGTGCTTGGGGCGGCCGCGGCGACGCCGTATGGGGATGCGAGTACTGGGGAGGTCATGAAGGTGGCGGAATGGATGAGAGGGCTTGCTGGGAGCGAGACGGGGAGAGTGCTAGTGTATTTGGATTGTATGGGGTATACTTTGGAGCATAAAAGGATGGTAGAGGGTGTGGTTGGCGGAACGGTCGAGGTGGTTGTTCCGAGGGAGGTGGCATTCCGGGCAGTAGGGAGGCTGTTTGGGGAAGAGTAACTGATGGAAAGCTCGAACAGAGACATTGAAGTTAAATACGTCTGATTCTTCTAATTTTTGTGAGGTAGGAGAAAGTTGATCTCAAACATTAAGCCATTAAACGTCGTTATCCTTCAGACAATCTGCGGATAGTTTCTCTCGGACCGCCCTTTACTTGTAATTCACTCTTTACTCGTAACTGTCTCCTGTGGTTCCTTCTCCACTTGTGGACTGTATCCTTGAATCTCTTCCACTGCGGTTGTAGGAATGATATTCAATGCAGCGGCTTCCTTTGACGTGAAGGTGCCATAAACATCCACCTGATCGTATTCGCCATATCCGCCGTAAGGGAAGATCTTGTTCAGGAGGAAGAACAGAGTACCACTGACGAAGAAGCCTGGAGAAGCAGTTAGCAAGCTAGTCAAAAATAAAACCAACAAAGTAGACCCACCAACTAGGAATGCCATGTAGTACAATTCGTACAGAGCCTTCGGCGCATCCTCCTTCTCCTGGACGGTAACTATCAGACCACCGATAGTGGGGGCCCAACCAGCCAGCCAGCACGGAATCACGCGCCAGTTGAACCCCTTGGTGAACCAGTAATCGGTGTCGTGCGTGCGGTACAAGTGGCTAAGCTTGATGCGGCCGCGGCGAAGGATGTAGAAGTCGCAGACCATGACGCCCATGATGGGAGAAAGGAAAACGGCGAAAGAACTGAGGACGGAGACGAAGGTGGCGGCCTTGTTGATCAGCTGCCACGGCTGTACGATCCAGACAGCGATGAATGTGATGAGGGCTCCACGGCGGATATCAATGTAGCGCGGGAACAGGCCCGCCAGGTCAATGCCGCCAGCCACTGCGTTGCCGCACACGTTCTCAAACATGCCAGTCAACGCGAATCCTGCCGCGAGGAAGAAGACACCAGCGCGAGCTTTGCTGGATCCTTGGCCGGAGTCCATCATGCGCATGAGCAGATCCGGAGGGTTCCAAAAGACCTCACCGTAGAGCTTCTGACAGGCACTCGTGACGACAAGGCCGACGAGACTGACGAGCGTACCGGTGATCCAGGCGGACATGATGGTGCCGGCGATGTAGTGCTTCGGGCCGCGAGCATAGCGGGAGAAGTCGGAGCCGTTGGTGATTCCAGCAGCAATGCCTCCAATCATCTGGTTGATACCTCTCATCATGAGCCATGAAGTATTCCAGGATGAGGTGGAGGGGATTGTCTGTCCTTGGCTCCAGAGCGGACCGACGCCCTTAGCGGCAGCCAGAGACCAGATAAGCATGCAAATCATTCCAAGACCGCAGTAAATGGAAGTGATCTGGAAAGGAAGCTTGAAGCGCTCTGGGCGCACGAGAAGGAAGGGGAACGAGAGGCACCAAAATACGATGAAGCCGACGAACTGGTAAGTAGTTGTAGGCATGGACGCGGGTAGGGTGTTATGCATGGTAGCAAAAGAGGGCCAAATGGCAGTGATACAGACACTTGCTACTCGTCAGTTTCATGGTTGCAAGGCAATCCTCCGAAGGGTTTACTTACGCAGTCAGTCTGCCTCCGTTCCAGCATTGGACAGCACACCATATGAAGTTCAGAAGGATACGCTGAAGAAGCGGGATGTAGCTTCCGCGCAGACCCCAAGTATATCTGTTCTGAATTGTGAAGCCAATGTGCCAACGAAGACCACACCAAGCGACCAAGGTGGAGAAGAAGCAAATCAATGCCCTGCCGACGACGATAACGCACAAAGACTGAGGGACGGACAAGCCGTACGCTGGGCAGTCGAAGGTTAGAGGAGCGGTAGAAGGGCAGATGATATGTAGGCTTACTCAGAAACGTGTTGGGGCTCTGCCAATTTGAGACGTTCAAGCTGTTGATGGTCCAGTAGCCGAAGTAGTGGAACCAACCCCAGGTTCTCCGAGACGGCGGTAGTGGGATGAGATCCCGGTTTGACCAGGAGTTGGCCTCTTCATGCTCTTCCTCCTTGCCTTGGAGCTTCACCTTGTCCTTGAGCTGGCGGACGCGCAAGGTGGTCGCCATGACGGGCAGTGCTGATCAGAGGAACCGTCGAAAGCTGGCCGGGACCAGAGGTCGGGTTACGGGCGGGTTTTACATGGTCAGCGGCCGTGATAAGCTGGGGTTACAATGGTCTGTGGCAAACGAAATCGTCGCTGATCTCCACGTGCAAGCGGTCTAAATCCCCGAATTCAGCGTCCTTATCTAGAGCATGCTGTGACGATAGTTTCATCGGCAGTTCATGGGGAGATGGGTGCGAAGCCGAGCCGGGACGGCAGATGGTGCGCCGGCTGCCCCTCACCGCAAGCCGGGGACCCTCACGCCCGCATCTTGTGGCCAGGGTGCATGCAGAGCACAATCGCATTAGCTGGCTGTTTGGTGCTACTCCAAAACGGCACAATGGCGCGCCTTATCTCCAGGTTCGCGTCATCTTGGTCGTCCCTCCACATCTTCCAGTGGTTTTTCGTGCAATAGCTGACTCGGCGCATGGAAGGTCCATCCGTTCACTGACAAAGAAGGTTACAGGAAGTTTAGGCGGTGATAGCCGAAGGATCGCGTTCCTGGTGATAACGAAACTGCGTGCGCCGGTCGGCGGAGAAGGAGCCGATCACGCCCGATCGCCATCGCCGGCCGCTGCTTCCAAACAGACAACAATCGCTTGATACCTATACCTGCCCCAGGACTACCTCTGAAATCACAGACACACCGCCTGCTAATCCCCTTCGGTGCCTTCCCCCAACAGGTGGCCCGAGATTCACCCAAGCAGTAACTGATTCTCCGGGTAAACCACACGCGCCAAGGCTGCAACCAGACGCTTCAAAATGACCGTTAAAAGACTAAGAATTGGTGTTGACGTTGGAGGGTCAGTAAATGCTCACAAAGCATGAGCTCTTTTAACTTTTGGATCCCATAGGACGAACACAGATGGTGTCATCCTCGATCCTCTACGTGCCTCAGAGCCGGACAAGGGGATAATTGCCTGGTAAACAGCCCATCACGCAAGGGCATGGTATACCAGACTCATTTTCAATAAGGCACAAAGCCCCGACGACGACCAATCCAAGCCTTGGAATTAACAATGCCCTGGTTTCCATGTTTGAGCAGTCTGAGATCAAGCCTCACGAGGTGGCAAGCGTCACCATGGGAACCACGGTAATTCCCTTCTATCTACACGTTTTTTCAGCCACAGAGTGATTACTTTGTTATATATTACTGTTCGTTTTTCCTCGATCAGCAGTCTTTTCCTTCTTGATCACAGGCTTCAGGGCTCCAATGCCGTTTCTTCTACCCCTGTTCCATCGCATCCCAGATATTTTCCATATCCCCCCACTAACGACGCTCAGCACTTCGTCAACGCCGTAGTCGAGCGCGACGCCGCCCGCCTCTCCCGCGTCGCCGTAATCCGCCTCTCAGGCCCCTTCGGCAAGCACGCACCGCCCTGCGTCGACTGGCCGGCAGACCTGCGTTCGCTAGTCCTCGGCCACCACGCCCAGGTCAAGGGCGGCCTCGAGGTCGACGGGCACCCGATATCCGACATCGACGAGCAGGAAATCGCCGCTGTGTGCGCGGACATCGCCGCCATTACGCAGCCCCGCGCCATTTCCGCCGTCGTCGTCAACGGCGTCTTCTCGCCCATCGACGACGAGGACCCCGCCCGCAACCAGGAAGCCCGTGCTGCAGCGATAGTACGCCGCTGCCTGCCGCCGTCTGTTGATGTCGTGTGCGCGCGCGACGTCGTGCCCCAGCTGGGCTTCCTCGAGCGCGAGAACGGCGCCGTGTTGAATGCTGCTATTCTGGCTTTCGCCCGGCGCACCATCCGCTCCTTCCACGAGCCTGTGAGGAAGCTGGGCCTGCGCTGCCCGGTCTTTGTCACGCAGAATGACGGCACTATTCTCAGCGATGAGGCGGCCGCGAGGCTGCCCATCAGAACGTTCAGCAGTGGGCCGACGAACAGCATGCGGGGTGCCGCGTTCCTTGTGTCGGGCAAGAGCGGAATCGAGCAGGTGGGAGATGATGACGGGAATAAAGACGAGCCAATGATGGTTGTTGATATCGGTGGTACGACGACGGACGTGGGTTTGCTGCTGGCCAATGGCTTCCCAAGACAGGCTGCCGCGTTCAGTGAGTTCGCGGGCGTGAGGATGAACTTCTCGTGCCCAGACGTGAAGAGGTGAGTTCCACTTGTCGTTTGCTCTGGTTGTGCTGGTCACAACCTTTTTCGCCCATTTTGGCTGCTGCTTGGTGGCCGCTTTCATGGGATTGCTCATGCCACAATACCTCTTCCTCTTCTTTTGCTCCTTGAAGGTCGATATCGAGTTCTTCAATGAACCCTCTTTTCCTCTGTTTGCTATCTTCCTCCGCTCAACATCCTCCCAACCCCGTTACGTTGAAGTCATCTGATACATCATCACACCCCCCTCCTATCGACACATCTCCCACCACACCAACGCATCCCCCCAACCACTAACCCCTTCCAACTCCAGCATCGGTCTCGGCGGCGGCTCCATCGTCCGCCGCTCTTCTCCTACCTCTCCCCTCACCGTCGGCCCCGACAGCGTCGGCTACGCGATCCAGACCTCAGCCCTCTCCTTCGGCGGCCCCATCCCCACGGCGACCGACTACACGCTCGCCTGCAACCCCACCCTTACAATCTCCGACGCGCCCGCCACGCACACCGCATCCACGCGCGCCGCCATCCCCGCCGCCGACGCGGCCGCCTTCGCCGCCGTCGTCCAGCGCAAGCTCGAAGCCGTCGTCGACACGATGAAGACGTCGCCGGCGGACCTGCCCGTCGTGCTCGTCGGCGGCGGCGCCGTCATCGCGCCGGAAACGCTCAAGGGTGCCTCGCGCGTCGTCAAGCCGCGGTACGCGGGCGTGGCGAACGCCGTGGGCGCGGCGATGGCCGGCGTGAGCGCCGTCGTCGATACGGTGCGGTCGACGGCGAAGAAGAGCGTGCAGGAGTGGAAGGAGGAGTTGGAGCGGGAGGCGATCGAGAAGGCGGTCAGGGCCGGGGCGAGGAGGGAGGGGTGCAGGATTGCGGAGTCGGATGAGTTGCCGTTTGCGTATGTGGCGAATAAGAGTCGGTTTATCATCAGGGCGGCGGGGGTGTTTGATTATGGGAGGGAGGAAGGGGTTGAGGGGGTGGATGTGGTGGAGGGTGATGGTGATGGTGTTGAAGACGACGCTGTGGATGGGGGCTTGATGGCGGAGTACGAGAAGAGAAAGAGTGCTGCTGGAGAGTTGGTGAAGGAGACGGAGCAGGCGGAACAGGAGAAGGCATTTGATTTTGAAGCTTACAGGCCGAAGGTAAAGGACAGGGTATGGTATATTTCTGAGACGGACTTGGCGTGGATCTCGACAGGGTGCTACATCCTGGGTACTGGTGGAGGCGGCAGTCCTTATTCGAGTATGCTGCGCCTGCGTTCGATGTTGCAGAATGGTGCTGTTGTCAGAGTGGTCAGCCCGGATGACCTGAAGGATGACGATCGCGTCGGGTGCGGTGGAGGAATGGGCTCGCCGACTGTTGGTATCGAGAAGCTTGCTGGTGATGAGTGAGTTACTTGAAGACAAGGAGCAGCGGTGTATCACTGACTGAACATCACAGGATGATGGAAGCACAGGAGGAATTGTTCAACCTTACGAAAGACAAAGCCACTCACATGATCGCAGTTGAAATTGGCGGTGGCAATGGCTTGCAGGGAATGATCCTCGGTGCAAGCACCAACATGGACATTCCTGCCGTCGACGGCGACTGGATGGGCAGAGCTTATCCAACGAAATGGCAGACCACACCTGTGGTTTTTGCAGAAAGAAAGACCGTATTTTATCCATCGTCCATGTGTGATGGAAATGGCAATGTCGTGGTAAGTTTAGGCGTCACAGATTCTTGCGGTCGGCGACTGACAATTCTCGCAGTTCATGACCAAAGCCACGAGCGATGAGACGGTGGAGCGAGTCTTCCGCGCAGCTCTTTCCGAGCTCGGCTCGCATGTCGGTTGCGCCGATGGACCGATCACGGGCGGTAAGTTTCTACCTTCTGAAAATGGACCTGGAGCTGACGTGATGAACGCAGCCGAAACAAGGAGATGGGTAGTCGAACATACTATTTCGCTTGCCTGGCGCATCGGCCGCGCCGTCCACAAAGCGCGGCACTCCAACCGCATCGACACGGTTGCGGAGTCCATTGTCGATGAAGTTGGTGGCAGCGGCTCTGCGAAGGTTCTCTTCAAAGGCAAGATCATCGGTGTCGAACGAAAGCTGCGCAACGGCCACGTCTACGGCGAAGTCGTCATAGAAGCTACCGCTGCCGACCTCAACGGTGATGGTGGACCGGCGGAAGGAAAGCGGGAGTTCGAAGGAACAGTAAGGATCCCGTTCAAGAACGAGAATATCGCAGCGTTCAAGGTCAAGGACGACGGCTCCGAGGAGACGCTGGCCATCGTGCCTGATCTCATTTCTTGCATCGACGCCCAGAACGGAGAGGCGATTGGGACGCCCGAGTACCGCTACGGCTTGCTAGTGATTGTTTTGGGCATCACTGCGTCTGACAGGTGGACTTCTACGGAGAGAGGCATAGAGCTGGGTGGACCGAAAGCTTTCGGCTTGGATGATCTGGTGTATACGCCGATCGGTAGGTTCGAGAAGCCGAAGAGTGTGATTGATGAGTATTCGGAGTGAGAACGTTGTCAGTATGCACGAGAGACCAGGTCAAAGCAACCGTAGAATGAACGTCAACACAAGTAGAAATAAACACTGATTCAAATCACCAAGCAAGCTCGTACTAAGGTGAAACCATGACGTGTTTGATTGATTTGACGTTACTTCATAGGGATGAGACGGTACAATTTAGGGTTGGTGGTGTGAGTTCATTTGTTTTCCATTCCTTTACTCATCGTCATCATCGTCAACATCGTCGTCATCTTCATCATCTTCATCGTCGTCCATGTTTTCCATGTCGTCCCTGTCGTCCATGTCGTCCCTGTCGTCCATGACGCTCCTGGCGCCCAGGAGGTGCATGGCGTTGGTAACGTCGACGGTGGCGGTCAAGTAGGAGATGGACGGACTGTAGTTGCTGTCGTCGGTGTGCTGGAGGGAGAAGAGCGCGCCATTTACGACGGCCTTGCCCTTCGGGAAGCTGGCCGGAACGTAGAGAGGGACGCTGATGTTGTGCCCGTGGGTGGAGGAGAGTTCTGATAGCAAAGGATTTGGCGGTCAATAAAATATACATAGAAGGTCGCCCCGGCCGCCGGGGTTTCAAATGTAGAAAGAAAAGATCGACTTACTTCCAGGAGGATAAAGGATCTTCTGGCCCAGAAAGGCAGCTCCGAGCATGTCTTTGCGGGCGTACTCGGCGGGCACGGCTCCGAAAGTAACGAAGATGTCATGTTCACGGCTCATGTTGCCGTCGTCGATGAGCCGGGCAGCGAAGTTCTGGCCGGACTCCAACTGCTTGGGCAGGGCGAAGGCGACGATGTGGCCGGCGGCCATCGATGAGATGGAGAGGAGGCCGGCGAGGATGGAGGTGGAGAACTTCATTGTTGATGAGCTGAAATGAAAAGATAATTGCTGAGCGGGGTTCTTCTGTATGCTGTGGGCTTGAGATGGGCTTGCGTTGGAGTGTGGAAAGTCTTGACTGGCAAGCTGGCCATCATTTAAGACCGCGGGATCTCCAGGAATGGAAGGGGTGGAGGAGGCCCATGGCAATCATGATGGCGCGGTTGGCAGGTGCGATCACTGAGCGGGCAATCAGTCCTTTCTCTCCGGGTAGCTCAACACATCACCCGTCCACCGCCTCGATTTTATGCCGCAGCCCTCTTACAGCTGTGTAGTCTCACGTCCAGCTTTGATCACCCTCCGTCCACACACCCCCGAGGCCAGTTGCCACTGCAAGCCGGAGGGAGAAAATCGTATATACAAGACCTATCGAGAAGGGTCAGGTCAAGACACACAGCAAAAGCCGTCGTCATTTCCACCCAAGATTGATGTCTCAGATAAAGTGGTAAAAGTGGTAGGAACGAGGCGTGTGGGGATACGACGGAAGGCTTGCGGGAATGACGTGCGGCCGAGGGGTCCGGCGGCGTGCACGGACTGTGTTACATCGGAGGGGCGACTGTTCTGTCGTCGATACCTTAACTCCGGCCACTCAAAGTACGTCTACCATTTTTGGAAACAAGCTTTCAGATGAACGAGGTGGGGCCCTATGCATGCCGTGATCGACGCACGACTTCGAGCCTCGTATCCACGCTATCGCCGGTGCTTTCATTGGCTACCGTTGCTTCTCTGGAATACTGAAGGCACAGGCCTGACGCCGGACCGCCGGGAACTCTTTATGAGGCTTGCTGTACGCATGGGTATGCCGGCCGTTTGGGTGAGCTGTCGGATCACGTTTGGTCTAGTGTGATCGTTTGTACTTTCCACGTGGGGCATTTCTGGTAACTTTCCGCTCAGGCCATTTTTAACTGTTTCTGGTGAAGCTCTTCAACAGCGAGATGACCTAACCTTGCTACTCGCTAGACAAATGAGGATGCTTTCTATACTGAGAGCAGAGCGATCTCAGCTAATGCCTTGTAAGCCTCTTGGAAGGGTTACTCAAGAAGCAGAGAAGGAGTCCGACCCACCGGACTAATTCAAGGGGTGGCTTGACTAGCATCGGAGAGGTTGAAGCAGCGGTGAGTTGTGTGGAGAGTACTGATTCGGCGGCCGTGGTGAAGCTCATGATTAGTCCAAATGCTGAACCGGTGAGCGGGGTTCAAGGTAAGTTGAGGTAGTACCATTTATTTTGATGCATTTGCCAAGCTCATGGCTTTGCGTCTTCGTAGCCTTGCCATTGCTGTGAAGGATAAATCATTTCGAACGAGAAGAACGCACCTCAAGCATCTCTAGAGTACCCTACTCTCGTAAGACCACCTGAGAACTTATTCACGCATTGGCAGGAAACTTTGATGAGAGAAATCCTTGGTGTTGATATGAGCGCCATCAAGAATGGAGCTCCAGAAGACCCTATTCGTACACTTCCACAGTGCTAATGGTAATGAAATAGCACTTGTCCCTTTCATGGCATATAGAGCATTCCAGCTGCTTAGAAGCCAATCCAAGTCTTCCAGAACTCTCCATCCTCAATGCAAGCAAACCTTCCGAGCGCCATGCTGGGCCGTTCTTCTTTTCTTTGTAATACAGTTATTTCCCATTCATTCCAGCCCCCTAGAATCGGAACAGCATCTTCAGCAACTTGACCTTGTCGTCATCGTCCTCGTCGTCGGAATCATCGTGCTTCTTGCTGACGGGGCTGCCTTGCGCGAAGAACAGTATCTTGATCGCAATAGCCAAGCCCGCGTGCAATGCAACGACAACAATGAGCAAAATCTTTGACGTCTTGACATCTGTCGCGCTGAGGACTGGGTAGAGGTTGCGGAAAAGGAAGAAGGCCGAGACGCCGAATCCGAGGCCGACAAAGACGTAGTTGAGGACTGTTGTAGCACAGCGTTAGCTCCCCATTCCCTCGCTTCTAATTACGCAGGAAATACGTACTCGTGATCGGACTCCAGCTAATCAACGCAACGGGGATCCAGATGATGTTCGCATAGCCGTAAAGCGTCCAGCACTCCATCAAGTTGGCGCTCTCGCTACCAAACCACTTCAGCAGACCCCACAGCGCCACGGGAATGACGATGGTATATCCGTAGATCAGGCCAGCGCCTCCGCTCAACAGCCTGAAGTCGTAGGGGAAGTGTTCGTCACCGGAGCGGGCGAGGTACTGGCTCATGGTGCCGGTGAGGAAGAGGATCATGACGACCGTTGTCGCGATCCACACGGGGCCGTACAGGTCCGGGTTGCCCTCGAGCACATCGAGGAAGTTTGAGCGCAGCGGGAAGCCAGCGGCCCAGCAGCGCTTCAGCACCTCGGCTGTGTCCACGTCGAAGAACTGCTGGTAGTACCCGATGCTCCACAGGTACCGCTTCGACGACGAGCCTCCCGAGCCCGAGCCTATGGCGCCCCGCGCGCCCGAAGATGATGCGCCGGCGCCGCCGAAGGCACTGCTGCGTGAGCCGCCGCGCCGGTGGCCCGAAGGCGCTGTGTCTGGGGCGATCTTGCCGGAATCATTGGAGTCGAAGTCTACGCGAGGTTGGACGTTAGTCGAGGCGGACGCGAGGCAAAGGCGAAAAGTGAGTGCAGCGTACTGGAAGGGTGAAATTCAAGGTCTTCTTGGAGGTCGGTATGGCCTAGGTCGCCCTGGGAGTGAAACGCGCGTCAGTCGGGTGTCCTTTCTGTGATGCCTGGTGGATCTCTCCAGTGCGGAGCGGGCAATTGAGGAGAAGCTCACCTCAGAGTCGACGTCAACGACGACATCGTAGCCGCGGTTTGACATTTTGGGCGAGCAAAAGAGCGGCGTGGGGGTTGGACGGCGGGGAGCTTTGGTGTTTGTGAAGCTGGAGCTTGGATGAGAAGGCGAGCTGTCAACTTGATGCTGCGGTCATGCCGAACTCGCCCCGATGGCCTACGTAACACCGTTGCGACTTATGTCATGGCCGGACTCCACCATATCAAGAAAGCTAGTGCCGGCCATGACTTATACCCAGACCCTTGTTTCAGTCCCACCGTTTCACCTGTAACGCCCTGCATTATTTGCGTCTAGGCAAAACGAATGTTTCATCGAGAGAGCATAATAACATCCAACATGCCAAAGCACCGCTCTCTTCCACATATTACTAACAAATGCGTATTTGTGTTATGCTGAGGCCGTCTATCATGCAGTCGCTGTTCCTAGTGAGCACACCACCCAAACTAAAAGCAAGCTACTGGTATAAGTAATGCTAGAGTGAACATGAAACCAGACCCAGATACAACCGAAAGCTTAGATATCCCACTTGCAGCTGGGCATTCCCAAGATTATGGAAAAGTCTGGCGGTAGGGAGCGGAAGGTGAGAAGAGAAGAACAAAAAAAAATACAGAGCAAAAGTGAAGGTCCCCCATAGGCGTGTGGCATAATCGCTGTCCCTCACAGAACTGGCGCCAACACGCCCCTCAACCATTTCACTACTTTACGCACCATCACCTCAAGTTCCCCGCCTTCTTCCATCATGCTCTCCGCACCCTCCTCCTGCACCACATCTTGCGCACACTCGACGAACTTCCACCTAATCTCCTCTCCTGGGCCGCCTCCGCAAACGACCTCCAGCATCAGCTTCAGCAAATTCTCCCCTTCCCTACCCATGAAGCGCATCAGCACGTCTCCATCGACATGGTAAGCAGTCCGCCGCTTGAGCCCGGCCAAATCCTTGTCCGGATCCAGGGCGCGCAGCAGCGCCTCGGCGCTGCGGTTCTGCGTGTGCAGCCGCGGGCCGTGTGCATGAAGCGTGGTCCCGTTGCCGGAAGCACGCTGGTTGTTTGTACGGACGGCGGGATGGACCGACGCGAATGAGGACGAGGACGACGAATCGGCCGCGGGCGATGATGACGACCGGTCGAGGTCCATATCCGCATCATCAAAGTCGCCATAGTCAGTCGCTCCGTCGACGTCCATGCCATCCGTCTGCGTCTCCAAGGCGACGACGTCCGCTTCGTCGACAAGCCTCACCGGCCCTGCGATCAGACGGTGAGACACTCCCAGGTTGACGAGCGGGACGAGCATCCCACCTGGCCGCTCCGCCCGCCTCTCACGATCTAGCACGTTGCAGAGATTTTGGAGGAAGCGCAGCAGGCGCCACGCCTTTTCGTCGACGAGCGAGAGGCCGAACAGTGTCCCGTCCGATGCCGCTCCGATGATGTCGTTGACGAGGACGCCGCTCGCTGCGGTGAAGCTTTGTGATTGATTGCGGTGGTACTGGAGGGTTGGCCTGACCAAGCCTCGCCGGAGACGCATGACGCTGCGAGGCAGGGAAGCCTCAAGCAGGGTCGGAGCAGCGGTTTGCTGCGTTCGTCGCCGGGGTAGATGGAGAAGTGTTAGTGAGCCAGCTTTATCGGCCACTAAGACCAGATTAGACGAAGGGGCGGATGGTGAACTTGGTTTGGCAAAGCCATAGCTATGCCCATCGCCTAAGCCACCAGAGCCAAGTCCATCGAAGGCACCATATGGCGTATTGGTGACCTTCTTCTTCGAGATCTGGGGAAAATCTAGCGGTAGATGGAATGAAGTATCGCGAGCCTGTCGGTCTGAAAAAAGGAGCTCGAATTTCATGGAATTAGGAGTCCGGTCTTGCAAGTCATGCTCAACCTTTAGAATGATGAGAGAATCGCAGGCGGTCGAGACGTAAATGAACGGCGCGTCTGTGGTAACGTAGAGGCCGGGAGACGGCAGATCATGTTCCCCAGCCGTTTGGATCCTGCGATGTTCGGGTCAGAACAGTGGGTGAAATGTCTAAGAAAGATTACTCACCTCTTCGTCTCCTCATTATATTGGTAGACAAGCAGCCTCTTTCCATAACATACCACAAGGAAATTCGATTCCCCATAGCTTGCGATCGCAGTGACTTGCTGCTTGAGTTTCATCTCCTTAGTCTTCTCCAATTTTGTCGTGCCATCTCTCGTAGCCCTTTGAATGCAGACAACAGTCCCCTTCCTCCCATCGCCTTCAACAGTGCCCACTACAACATGGACATATTTCCTTCCATTGCTTTCGAGGGTCCACGTTGTAAGGGCATTGACCCTGGCTGTTGGGCTCAAGGCATACTCTGCGATGACATCCGTGCTTGGAGATCCAGGGCGATCGTCATGCATTCGAATATAGCTCTGAGCATACCGACGCTGGCGGCCGTCTCGCGTTGCTGGATCAAATACGTGGGATTCCAGACAAGCAACGAAAACGGCCTTGAGCTCCTCCGAATATATGACCCTATTCGGAGTTCCTTTGACCGGGATGCTTCTGGGAACAATGTGTCTCTCTTCTTCCAGCTGTGCAACATAAAATGACGTGCCAGAGATGCAAACCAAGGCTCCACCGAGATCCCGTATCAAGTAGTCTTCGCGCGGTACTCTGCAAATTGATGAGACGGGACTCTGACGCAGGCTGGGCCGATTCCGATCAGTGAACCAAATGTTGGTGACTTCGAGGCCGATGTGACGCCCCATGCTGTAGTCCAGACGGTAGAACTCAGCGCCGCAAGTGGCAAATGCGAGGCTGATGCCTCCCTCTGTATCTTTGACGACGGCGGCTGGTGTTTGGCCAAGGGTTATCCTCCTTGTAGAAGAGATGGCGGCAGGGTTTGTCGGCAGTGCTGATGTCTTTTCATTGAGTTTATGCGTGAGTGCTGGACAGGAGAGTTCAATGATGTATAGATCACCGCTTCGAAGGCCGCACACGATCGCAATGTCCGTTTTGGAAGCATTCGGCGGATTGTCGTGCAGAAGCACTGCACTCTGACAAGCATTCAATGTTTCTTGTGTGGATGCATCTTGCCAGATCTGATGTTGCTCTAACAGCCGCCCAACGCTTCCATCTTCTTGAATCTTGTACAGCCGGATCAGGCCATCAGTTGTGGCCACAAAGAGCATATTTTCATGATCATATCCCAGCACCTCGACGCAAGTGGGATCTGCGCTCAAAGAAATTGACGACGTAGACTCGAACTTTACTTCTTCTCCCCACGGTTCTATTTTCTTCGCCTGGAGAGAAAGCCCGTTCTGCGAACGGATGCCGGCATAAGCGGTGGACAGCTTAGAGCAGACAGCACCTGCAAGAAGCACCTCTTCTGGGGGCAACGTCCAGGAGCCCTTCCTTGGCAATGTCTTGCCCAGAGCAAATGTGTCCAAGGCTATAAACCCCTTGGGTGTGATTTGAACTGCAAGGCCGTAGCCCAGCATACCTGAAACCAGGGTTTCATTCTCGAAGTCAACCCCGGAGTTTTCCTCGTCGAAGTCAGTATCCACGCCCGAGGCATCGCCGGCGATATGGAGAAGCAGACTTGAGGAAGGGAACGACAATAAGAAAAATACGCCGTCTGCTGATGAGTCCGGGAATGACCAAAGACCTGTGACGCCCGCGAGATCGTCTTCATCGAATGTAAGGCCCAATTTGGCGTTGAGGCCAGCTCGGATCTCCGTGATCGCACCGTATGGGCTTCTGCCGGATGTTGCGAGAACCCGTCGCCTTACACCACCGATGGGATTGCTGGAATGAGCTTCATCTGCCAGAATCAAGTCCAGCGTTGGCGACCAGTTCTGAATTGAATTAATGAAATCAGGCTCCATAATTTGGGCGCGTGTTCTCTGAGAGCCTTTTCGGTCGTTGAACTGAATCTCGTCCCGCCACTGGCCAATCTATACCGGGATGTCAGGCATTGTCCAATCAGGAAGTGCAGCACAACGTACCTTGACGATTTCGCCCGCAGACATGTCACCGGCCGTCACCAGGACATCTGGCGTATCTAGGTAATAGCCTACATCCAGACTTGCGAATGCTGACGCGACGTTGCACATGAAGTGGCCGGCTTTGCTGGTCAAAGCACCACTGCGGGAATTGACTTGCATGTAGTGCACAACACCGTCTTCACGCACGAGGTAGAAGTTTTCTTCTTGCTTATTGTTCCAGATCCAGTTACGGCCTGTCCTTGCCCAACTAGTCCACGTCGGGAAACGCCGTGAATTTCCAGGATGTCTTGGACCCTCTTCTTTGGAGAGGCTCACAGAACTCCTCTTTGGGTTGCCCGTCATGATCTCCTGGTGGATGTATATTTCGACATGGCCCGCAAGAATGAAAGAGGGGCCATGTTGAAGTGGAATTAGCAGTTGGGGATTGCGTTGGTCTGGAGAACGCATTAGTGGCTAGCTGAGAAGAGCAAAAAGACGACTTACTGTGAGAGAGCGGAAAGCCTTCGACTACTGGACGGATGTGCGACAGGCCTTGTCTGTTGTCCCATTCATAACAGGACATGCGGGTCTTGCCGTCTCTGGAATATATAACCAAAAGTATTACGTGATGTTCATCGTCTGGCTCTGGGTAGAGGAATTCCATCTTCAGGATGGTGCCTGGAATGGCAACCGGCCGCTCCGACTTGAGCGGCGTCCAGTTTTGGGTATCATGAGAAATGTTGCTTCGCAGCTCAGGCATGGTCTTGGCGGCATATATGAAAATTGAGCTCTCGGCAGCGCCTACAGCGAGAGCTCTGGAACGGGGATCTACAGCCAAATGCTTCCCCGGTTGTTCAAGAAGAGAGGCGTCAGGAGAGAGCGGTATGCAACTCTCCTTCCATTCGACTGTGCCGTCTCTCCTGGGGCGAGCGAACAGGAAAAGAAGCTCTTGGGACTCCAAGGTGAGAACGAGGATCTGTGGCGGGACGAGTTCATTCCAATCTATTTCCATGGGGATTTGTGCCTTCTCAGTCATGGGCGGATGGATGAACTTCCTGGGCTCACCAAAGACCCTGGCGGCGCGGATGCGGGATCCAAAATCAGCTTTGGTGCTGACATGCTCGAGATGTGCGTTGGGGAGAATCTCTTTTAGGTGGATAAAGTCCTCGCCGATGAAAACAACGTCGTTCTTCTCCCGGTTGCGCACGCGAGCGGGGATGATCCAGTTGACGACGGGGCTCTGGAGGACTGTGCGCGAGAGCAGGCCGACCACAGGCTGCTCCATGGGGGGCTTGACGGGGAGTTGCTCCTGAGATGACTCGCGCTGGGTGTTTTGCTGCAAAATGTCCTGTATGCTCACGCGGCGGGTGACCCAGCGGCCGTTTTCAAAGACGCCAGTTTGAAGAGCCATCGGGGGCATACCCTGCTATTAATGGGCGTGGGTGGCAATAAGCGGGCGTATGGAACAGGCGACTAGGGTGGCTCGACGCAGGACTCAGCGGATTGGTAAGGAGGTGAGAGCTCGGCGACGAGGCTCAGGCTGGAGAGGGCCTGGGAGAGAGGAAAGGAGGCAGCTACTGGGGCCTGGAGGCAGACATGCGGAGGATTGATACGGGCGGTTGCGGCAATTGCGGTGGCATGGTGGAGAAGACGGTTCTACAGCCTCATCCAGCTAGGCGGAGCCGAGGGCGCGGTGGTGGTTTGCGCTCAGGACAGCGAGGGCCGGGGCTCGCGGGGCGACATGAAGAGACGTGAGTGCCGTTCTGGGGATGCAGAATGATGCAGGCAGACAAAATAGGTGTCGGGACACGCGGGGCGCGCGACTTCGTGCGCATAACCCGTGGGGCGCGAATGTCAGCGAAATGCAACAGGTCACAAAGTGCTGGAAAAAAAATGTGAAGTCAAGTCACGCAGGTCGAGACCTTGGCCGTCATGCATCAGCATCACTCCTCCGCGCGCCTCAGCCGCCGCAATAGCGTCACCGCCGACGCGTTTGGCTGGAGCTTGCGAGCTAAGGCCGCCGCGCTCGACCCGCCGCCGAACGCCGCCAACCTGCGGAGCTCCAAAGCGCCGCCCATGTCCGCCCACGACGAGCTCCATCTCGCGCCCGCCGACGACGAGAAGCATGCGCCGCCCGAGCCCGAGCCCGCGCAGCCTCAGCGCGATCGCCGCGACTCGGATGCCTGGGCCGATCTGAAGGCGGCGCAGATCCGCAGCGCATGCAGGGACGCCGACGTCGACACCTTGACCCGCCTTGCAACCTCCAAGGGCGGCCTGCTCAGCGACCGCCTGCGCCGCGACGCCTGTACGCCGCCGCTCCAGCCAGTCGACCGGGTCCCGATGCGCTGACTGTGCTGCAGGGCCGCTGCTCCTCGGCTCCCTCCCTGACACGCACAGCGACACCGACTGGAGCGACCTTCAGCCGCATCATGACGAGGACCAGGTCAAGCTGGACGTCAATCGCTCCTTTGTCTACTACCCCAAGGGTATTACTGGCCCCTCGGCGCCCCAGCGCCCCGCTCCACGACGCTGACGCCCCGCAGACCAGTCGGAACAGCAGATCGAGGAGCGCAAGGAAGAGCTATTCGATGTCATTGCCCAGATCCTGCGCCGCCATCCCCGCTTGTGCTACTTCCAGGGCTACCATGACATCGTCCAGGTCTTCCTGCTGGTGCTCGGATCCGATCTGGCTGTGCCTGCTGTGACCCGTCTGTCGCTGCTGCGCATCCGCGATTTCATGCTTCCGTCGCTCGACGCAGCCATTGCCCATCTGAAACTGCTCCCCTCCATTCTCTACACCGCCGACCCAGCTCTATACGCCCACCTGCGTCCCGCCGAGCCGTTCTTTGCCCTGGCCGCCACCATTACAATGTTCGCCCATGATATACAGGAGTACGGCGACATTGCGCGCCTCTTTGACTTCCTGCTGGCACGCGAGGCCGCCTTCTCGGTGTACCTCTTTGCGTCCGTACGTGTACCCGGGCGTTCAACGGTTCTGTGCTACCGAGCTGACACACAAACCTCTCCTCCAGATCATTCTCACCCGCAAAGACGAGCTCCTCGAAATCTCCCCCGACGACACCGACGTCCTGCACGTCACGCTCCAGAACCTGCCCAAGCCCTTGGACCTGGAAGGCCTGATCTCGTCGACGGTGGAGCTGTTCACCAAAACGCCCCCCGAATCGCTCCCCTACGGCGCCTGGCGGGCAATTTCGCCTTACAGCGTGCTCAGGACAACCCGCGAGCCGCGAGCTCTGACGACGCAGACGCTGGAGCAGGGCGAGGAGCTGTTCGCCAAGCACGAGGAGCAGATCCGCCGCGCCAACATTTACAAGGCCAGGGTGACCGCCATCAAGAGGGGCCTGTGGCGGTACAGGCGCCCGGCAGGCGGTTTCGCCATGGCCATCGCCGTCGGCGTGCTCGCGTGGTGGCTCGGGAGATCTGACCACGGCGCGACCTACTTGTCGACCATTCGCCAGACGCTGTACATTTTCTTTGGTCAGTATCGGTAGAGGAAGGCATCTAGAGGACATTAGGGGATTGCGTTTTAGTCGAAACACATTACCGGCTCTCTGCATGTAAGAGTATATAGGGTAATACTGGCGTTAGGAAGATCGCCCGGATGTAGGCGATTGATAAAAGGTCTGAATTGAATGATTTGCTGCTAGAATTTCTTGTATCCATCTCTTCGTGCTGGTCATGTAGTGATTCCTGTGTTGGGAGCCATATAATTCTCACAAACATCTGGACTTTGCAGTATTGCAATTAAAGCTAGTGCGAAAAGTAACAGGGTTCTAGAATAAGGGAAGACCATCTTATTTAAATTGTATAAGCAGTAGAACCTATCATCTAGACGGGAGTGTAAAACTCTACATCAATGTCTAAACAATCGCTTTGACTACCCACGATACGATTTAAAGGTAAATTTACGCTAGCTTTCGGCTACAATACCCTTGTATAGTTATAGGCACCAATTAAAGCAGATTTTCTAATGTAAAAGTTGAGTTTAGAAAGTTAGGGCAATAGTCTGTTTACCAGACACTTTTGATTGGGTCCACCTTAAGAATAGCTATCTTGCAGTTAACGGCCGGTTTAGTCTCCAATGCAGAGCTAAAATAACCCATCACACCAGCCCTCCTGTAACATCCACCCATCCGAATTACCCCCTTCTTCTCAACTCCCTTGTCACCTTACAATATCTATGCAGCCCCTCTCCCCCATCGCACGCAAACGCCTCAGCCTCATCCTTGAACACAGGCTCCCACCAGCTCCTCCCCCTGCTCTGCCCCGGCCCCGGCCCCGGCCCGGGCGCCCTCATCATCTCGGGCTCACCGCCGCTCTCCAGGCCCAAGTCCTCTCTCCCATCCAACAGCACCCGCACATCGCCGAAGCCGTCCTTCAAGAAGGCGTTCTGGCCCTTGCCGACGCCGATGCCGCTGGCACCGGCGCCAGCGGTGCTGCGTGCGTGCATGGCCCAGGCGAAGAACTCGCGGCAGCAGGCGGCGACGACGGCGGGCGGGACGAGCATGCCGGTACCACCACCACCACCACCACCAGGGAAATTGCTGCTGCTACTGCTGCTGCTACATTCACGCTGGTAGCGGCGGACGACGGCGAGCCAGCGCTGGCGGAAGTTGGTTTCGTCTCTGCCGCCGCAGATGAGCCAGGGGTAGAGGGGCGGGCGGAAGGCGGAGGGGTCCGTGTGGGATGAGGGCGGCGTGAGGACGTTAATGGTCAGGGTGGTGAAGGTCGTTGGGGTCGGGGCTCGACAGCGGCTACTTGATGGTGGTGTTGAGGACGAGGAGAAGGTGCTGCCGCCGCTGCTGGGAGTGGTGATGGCGGAGAAGATGACCGGGTCGCCGAGGAAGGAGGGCCCGTAGTTGCGCAGGCGGGCGAGTAGCTTGAACAGGTGGCGGTGGAAGGAGAAGTCGCGGTCCTTGGGCTCGTACAGCAGCGATGACCAGGACGCTCCTCTGGTGCGCGAGATGGACGACGAGGAGGCGTTTGGGTTCTGCGAAGGATGTCCCGGTAGGGCGGACGGGTGGACCGTCTTGATGGGCAAGCCACGCAGGCTGCCGCTGCCTATTGGCTGAGGCTTGCCCACGGTTTTGAAGTCGATGTGGACGGCGTCGTAGTGAGTTGCTACGGCGGGGACGCAAAGCCAGTCAATGAAGAGGTACTGCTCGTTCCGGAGCAGAATGCGCAGCGAACATGTTAGCCGCCGTTGGGCGCGCAGTCGGTCAATAGCATCGGAGACCTCGGCGTTGATTTGACGGCTGCAGCAGAGCAGAGTAGTGCTATTGACGCGGGTGCGCCGCGGGTAGTAACTCGCTTCCTCACCCCATGAGTCGTATTGGCGGTAATCAGAGGTGATTCTTGGGGGTGAGGATTGAGCGGGGGGCGTATGAGTCGACAGTAGGCTGTACTCCCAAATAAGGTCGCGGAGTTCACGCGGAAGTAGAAGGAGGTGGCAGATGTCTAGGCTAGGCTCGGTCTGGCCCGCGGCGGGCTCGGCGTTCCGTTTCGAGGGTGCAGATGTGTCACAAGGCCTTGATTTCATGACGCCAGGATTCGGGATTGCGCCTAAGGTTCATGGGAGCCGTGGCGGCTCTCTGGTAATCGGGCTGAGGTCATGTCGGTGCGGGCGGTGAGGTTAAGGTGGAGAAGACCTACCCAGACGCTGGGTAAGCGCGAGGCGGGGGCGGGGTGCCTTAGTCAGCTACATCATCACGTGATGTGGAGACCTACCGACCGGGGGGTCAAGCACCTCTTCAGCCCAAGCAAAACGACGAGTCTTTTGTCTTGGTGAAACCGACACGTCAGCATTCAGCATGTCTCGCCCAGGTGGCAAGTATTTGGGCGCGCATGGCAGCATCGAGCCCAGCGGAGCCCAGCGGAGCCGGCAACCGTTACCCGTCAACGCTTAACCACTGTCTGCCGGACGCTAAAAGCTTGTGCGCAACGGAGTTGTTCTCGGCATTTGCGCCCTCTCTCGCCCTTACCGCCTGCTGGGATCGGATCAGCGTGAAGATTTCCTCCAACCTCGGGTGACTCGGCTATCGACCATGGCCACTTCGTCACCTTTATCACCTGCAGTCCCGACTGAGACCTCCGGAAACAGCAGGTGGGGCGTTGATCTATACTTTGCTCTGGTCTTCAACGTGCCTCAGTCTCGGTGAAGCCCTACGTTTGTCATAACCGTGTCTAATTCTTATTATCCTCTTATTACACCTTGCTGATAGCTCTTTCCCTCTTCATCGCCGCTTACAGGGTTCCCTCAGGAAAGAATTCCGCTCCTCCATACAGCTTGTCCTTGTCCTCGTATTCCTGTTTCCTCGCCGGTTCTGGGTCCACCAGAGATCCATACAGCTTCTGGATCGGCATCCTGGTGTTGCGGTCAAGCACTGCGCATCTCACGCCATTTGGACACTTGTACGCCGAACCGGTCAGCGTGCGAAGGTTCCATTCAGCCCCTGGCAGCAGCTTTCCGTCGGCCCGCATCTGGATGTGTTCGTGGCTCTCGAATGCCATGCGCGCTTGGGACTGCAGTTTGTTACTGAAGATCCATTCTTCGGTGAGGAACCGCGCCTGCTGTGCGTAGAAGTGCGGATTGATCATGCCGCCTGCGTAGAACTTCTGCCACTCGGCGAAGCTGGTGGGCTTGCGGTTTCGAAGGCCGCAATGCTCGGTTCCGCGGTACTGATCCTCCGCCAGCGCCACGGCCGGAGAGGAAGAGGTAGGATGAACCTTAGTGCTGATGTCCACGACCAGTCGGCGCAGGCTGCGTGTCTTGGGCGGCGCCTGCGTGATGTGGAACTCTGGGTTGCTCCTGAAGCCTGGCCCACGTTCGAGGAAACGCTGCAGGATGTAAAAATAGCACCACAGCACACGCGGGTACCGGTCCGGGTGGAACGTCTCCAGCATTGACTGGTCCGGCTCGCCAGTCTCGTCGTCCACGTGCCACACCGGCGGCTCGACCAGTCGAAAGTTTATTATCCAGTTGTCATAGTGCAACGAATTAACCGGCAGGCAGAGCCAGTCCAAAAGAAAGTATTTTTCCCGGTAGATGGTCAACTGCAGCTTGCAGTCCATGCGGCGTTGCGAGTAGAGCCGGGCTATTGTCTCGTGGACTTCGGCGTTGATCTGGCGGCTCGTCTGCAGCAGCGGTATGCATGCTATGTGCGGCGTCCGGTTGGGATAGCCTATCATAGACTCGTCGTCGTTGGTGCAAAAGAAGTATCGTTGGTCCCATTCCGAGTTGGTCGTCCTGTCTCCAGATGGCAGAGGGGGAGGCGTCCGGGGCGTCGTGAGACAGAATTCCCAGATCAAGTCTCGGAGTTCTCTGGAGATGCCTAATAGCGATGGACCCATACTCTGGACGTGTGGGCTGGACTGTCGGGGGTGGAAAGGGGTGGGAGTGATTTTGTTGAAACTAGACCATCGGAAAAAGAACCGGACGAGCGGCTACGACGTTGATATCAAGCGCCTCTCAGGCAGTGAATCCGCCGGCATTGTCGACAGGGCTTGGTTCCAGAGGCGCCAAGGCGAAGAGCAAGACGACGCTTTAATAAGATTTCGGCTGCTGCCAACTGATCGACGTGCTCCACCGACCAAGCCACCACGCGAAACGACAAGACATGAAGCATCGGATCCTGCCCCCGGCTGAGGCTTTCCGCACCTCCTTCCGCCCCGGTGGCTGCATCCCTACCGCCGTGGATCTGATCGCAGCCAGAGCAGTACCGCGGACCCCCGCAACCAAACCTTGCCACTGCTCACCGAGACACGAGCACCGACCATCTTCGGCAGTCTTCGGCAGTCTCTACTTAGTGCTGGCTGCCTGATTTACACTGACACAGACCACGCCGTCCCGTATAAACTGCCTTTGCGCTTATATTACGACCCAAAAAGGAACCATCTTCGAAATGGAGGCTCTGCTTGTAGCTTAGCAGCCTCATCGCGTCAGAAAAGCATGACGGACCGGACAACCCTCCGTGAAGCGATCGACAACTACCACAAACTAGTCAGCCTCGCCGCCCTGCATGTCGTCTCCGGGTGTGTTGACGGCGCCGCTGTCAGAGCATGCGCCATGCTCCCAGCTCCTTCCGGCAATTCATTCCACGTGCGCGCTTTGACTGCGTTCCGAGACTCGGTCCCAGACTTCGGATGCCATGCGCGGCTTTAAACAGCGGACTGTGCCGCTCAGCTCCAAACATTGCTCACTCAAGGCACCACTAGAGTATCAGAAACGCCTCCGCCACTAATCGCCCGTCGATCCCCAATCCCTCAACCACGTGCCGACGATCTCAACGGCACCACGCGTCCAAGGATCGATTGACTTGCGAAAGCTTTTCCGTCACCCTAGCTCCGATTCCGAGGCGTGTTTGAGATCCAGACTAGCGATCGATACGATGAGCTAAAAAGACCCTGCCCAATGTCCTATAGGTACATATATACCTAGCTACCTCCCGTAAAAAGTCTTCACAGGTCCCTTCACTAATATCCGTGCCGCAAGCATCGCCATCAGACATACTGTTCTGAACTGGAAACAAAAGAAGTTGGAACCAATTCTAAGGCTTCTTTCTCGCCAGTTTGCCCATGTTGAGACATACTACACAGCCTACTCTCTATCCCTCTTACCGTGCCGAACGCCATAGTTTATCTCTCCTCATTTGGCAACTTACCAAGACAGAAACCAGCAAGAACCGGAAAATCTGAGGCAGTGCACAAAACAATGTCAAACTACAAGTGTGGACACACCATACCGGCTCTAGCATTCAGACAACAAGGAGCTGCTTCATTGGCCAATCGTATGCATTCGCTGGCATTGAATTCTGATAGCTCGTCTATAGTATACCAAGACAGCCTTGTTCTCTTCAAACCGACACATTTCGCCAGGTCTCCGCCGAACCCACTACAATGCGCTGCTTGGAGTATGTCGTGTCTAATACTAATAGGAACCTTTTTCTGTTTTTTTTTTTTTGGAAAAAAAAAGAAATAGTGGTCTCATCGGAGAGGTTACAGCCTGCCCCTGGCCTGAAAGTCGAAGCTTTGCAGCCCGCAAAATCTGTGCAAATATGCACCTACACGCCCAATGACGGTTGTTTACATCTCACTCAGATGGTGCTCGACCGAATGAGGAAACGGTTCAAACAAAGGCACGTGACTTGAGTCCTGAGACACCCTACACTAATCTGAAACTTAGAGTCCCGCGGAAAAAGAAAGAACGACCAAAAGCTTCCAATTCCACACTATTCCTCATCGGCGGGTCAAAGAACTCGAATCGAACAACATCAACCGACACGAGGTCTCAAAAGATCAGCGCCTCAAACGTCAGCATCCCGCCACGGCAAACAAATCCCCAGCCATCCTCTATGCTCACCATGTTCACGTGGGACATAAAAAAAAACGGACGAAAGTGAGCCGCATGATGGGCTCCCCTACACCGCATGCCGCCTACCTCCCATCCAGACCGACGATCAACCTGCCAGGAGCGACCTTACATCCTAAGATCCCTACACCGCAAGACATCGAGGGCACGGAAAAAAAAAACGGTCCAAAGAACTGATGATGATGATCAGGGTCAACGGTGCAATCCTCCACATGGGGATGTACAGCTGGCATTGAATCCCTCTCAACGGTGTGAGATATCCACCCCGGTAAATGCCCGTGCCCCGTAGGGCGGGCATCATCACGCGCTACTCCGACCACCCCGGCCCCCTGCTGCTTACCCAACATCGTCATCTCGTGAGCAGTAGGAAAAGGGATGGGGTGGTTGTTCAACAACCAAGGAAAAGGAAGCGGTTGGAAGGAAGGATTTCAGCACCGGCCCGACTCGTAGCAACGCGCGCGCGCGCGTAATACACAACGGAGTAAGAGGAAACAGCTATCTCCGTATATTGGAAGGATGACGAGGCAGGCAGGCGAGGCAGGCAGGCGAGGCGAGGCAAGGCAAGGCCCTCGGGAACTAAGCTCGATGCCCAACGGCCGGAGAACACCGTTGATCATATCCACCAACACGTATACCAGAAAAGAGCTCACCAACCGAAAGAAGATAGCCAATTAAAGGGAGAAAGGGGTAGGAATGGAAAACACCGAAAGTATACTAATTTAAAGGACCGCAGCAATCTACTACTCGCAAAGAAAGCCGAGTTGGAAAAAAGCACACATTACAACGGCCCTTCTCTCTCTTATTTTTTTTCTTATCCTCCAAGCCAACCTTCAATAAGCTCGTCCCAAGCCAAAGCACCGCAATCTCGCCGAACGGCCGCCGAAGAACAGGCCTAGGTGCATAGCATGCATGTAAGCATGCTAGCAGGGGGCGGGACGGGAAAGCAGCGCCTCAATTGCCGGGAGCGGAAGCGGCCCGGGATAAAAGAAAGTAGCGCCTTGTTCGTTTGCCCGGCTGTTTTCGGCAAATGATCCTTCCAACATCTTCCCTCTGCAAGGGGTGAGGTGAGCCACCAAGCGTCAGGAGTCATCCAGGCCTCTCTTATCTTCCCTTTTTTCCGTCTTACTTTCTCTGTTCGGCCTGCCTCGCTGCCTACAATGCTGGCCAGTCAAGACTTACACTTCTGGCAGGCCTGCTAAATCATTATCGAATGCCATTGAGATATATCTCATCGTCGATTCGGGTTCGCGGAGAGTAAAGCGTCAAAGCGAGAAAAGAAGATCAAGTCCTATAGCAAGGAGCACAACGGTTCCCCAAGTGTTAGCCGTTTTCTTTTGCCGTATCGTGTTGTTGCTTCCGCTGAGCACCATCCACTTCATCAACCCCTCGTCTTCCTCGGCTGGCCATTCTTTCGAATACCACGGCTTTTGGAAGAAGTTTGGTTCGCAGCAGCGTCTTTGTATTGTTGGGAGTTGGTGTTCTCATACCAGTCAACGTCGCTCAATTGCAGCTTCCTCGCGCGCTGCGTGCTTCGGTTGTTGCTCGCCTTGTCAATGCGCGGGACATTGTACGGGTTGTGTTGCTTCTCGAGGCCACCTGCCGTGTTATCATAGAAGTTAACATTGCCGTTCTTGTTGTTCTGTTGCACGTTGCTTGAGCCAGTGTTGTTGGGGCGGGGCGGAGCGGGAGAGGTGCTGCCGTTCTGCGACTTGTTCCGCTGGCAGCCCCCTCGCTGCTGCTGAGTAAGGATTCGTTGCTGCTTGTTCAAATTGGGAGTCAAGGGAGGGTCGTTATCACCATCTGATTCGTTTTCATCCCGGAGATCATAGTTCAGAACGAGGTTCTTGATGCGTTGCTGTTCAGCGCGCTCGGCCTCCTGTTGTGTGCGCATAGCAACAGCAAAGGTTGAGTCTGCAGGTAGGTCGATGGACTTGGTCTGTAGATTAGAAGGAAAGTACCGCGTCAGCGTTTGTTCAGCAAAAAAAGTAACAGCACGAAAAGCAAACCTGTTGCTTATTTCCCCTCCTGCTCAACAAAGCGAACTTCATGGTAGGTGCACTGTTCGGAGCCTCCTGTTCGGCGTTGTCTTCGGTCGAGGCGGTCGTGTCGCGGCTGCGCTTCATCGGAAGTGGCACATCGAACATCGGCTTACGTTCGAACTTGCGGGAATCTAGACTTTCAGCCATCATTTTCGCTAATTCACGGTCAAACTCTGCATCAGCCTCAGGGTCCCTCTCGTCCTCGGGACGAGTGACGACGATATGCTCTTCTTCCTCCTCGGAATCGGAATCGCTTGAATCCTGGTCCTCTTCACCAGGGGTCTGTCGTTTCGTCAGCAAGAAGAGGGCTTGGTTCAGAAAGACCGGTAGGGTACAGACATCGGCATCTTCGCCGGAGGAGCCGTCGTGTCTTTCACGGGCTTCCAGCTCGTCATCGTCGCCTCCATCCCCTTCGTCGCCGTCTTCGGCGCCAGAGTCATCGTCTTGCTCTTCCTGGTCTCCGCTGGGCTGTGACGATTGCAGCTGATAGTTCGCCTTGACAGCCTCCGCGAAGGTATTTCCAGCCTCTTCAAGAGAAGCGGCAAGCTTCCACTGTGGGCGTGTCATGGCGTAAGCATCTTGCACCATGAACTCGATATCCATCGGCAGCTGGTCCTTGGTGTGGATGTAGTACTGTCTCCATCAGCGAAAAATCTCTACATTTAGTGAAATCCATACCTGGAAAAAGGTCAAGAAAAAATCGAGCTTCTTCTTAGCTTGGCCCTTGTCGTAGTACATTCCGCACGTCTCGAGCAAGTTGCAGACAAGGCGAATGCGGAAGAAGTCATCCGGAGGATCCAGAGGATTGATCGCTCCAGGCTTGGGCGTGCCGCCTTCATGCCCGAAAGTCACAATCTTGTACAAGGTGTCGAAGATGACAGGCGAGTCCACCATCCTATAGATATAGAGCTCTCCAAGGTACTTCACCTCGGCAACCCGGCGTTGATTGAACTTGAAGTCGTTCAGCTCAAGCCCAAGTGTGATGTTCTCGAGCAGGTCGTCGATAACAGAGATGCAGAAATCTTGATGATGCCTGTTCAACGAGCCGAGAATTACGGCCAGCAGGTGAATGTTGCTATACTTGATCTTTCCAGGTTTGGTGAAAATCTTGTGCAACATCACAACGACCTCTTCCTCCTCCCAGTGCAGCTTACGGATCTGCTTGACAACCTTGTCAAGGTTTCTCTTTGTCAAATCAAGATAGATCAGCTTGCGAATGAAGAGCTCAAGTGGAGTCCTCTCCTTCTGCTCGATAGCTGCACGTTCCGGAGGGTTGACATAGTACATCGCATTCTCGATGAGCATGCGCTCCTGCTGGCCAAGGTGGGAAGCAGTCTTCTTTCGCTGCAGAGTTTCAAGGAAGGAGGCCATGCGCGGCGAAGTTTCGGGATTCCGCAGAAGATACCGGCCACAATTCTCAAGCAGATTGCAGATGATCTCAATGTTCATCCGGGAGAAATCATCCAGGCTGACCTTGAGGCAGTGGAATATGACATGTTCCGGGACAGCACCGAATTTGGTCAGCTCCGCGAGATAGCGTACGTTAATCATGCGGACCTGTCCCAAGAAGTCCTTCTGTTTGCGACGTTGTAGGCTGCGGAATTCGTCGTCCAAATACGCAACAATACCCTGAATGACATCAGGCATGTACTTCCCAAGCGTTGCGACGAGCCTAGCGTAGAGAGGGAGGAGATCCGTGCGTCCTTTCGGGATATCGGACACAGCCTTGATCAGGCGGTTTCTCGACGCTTTGGAGTTGAGAAAGCAAAACTCCATAGCTGTCTCGTCCACCTGGTCCTTGTTGACGAACTCAGGAAGGCGGGCCAACAACGCGTCAACCTGAGCACCAACTGATTTGTTTGCAATGGCAGTGGACTGGTCATCGCCTTCCGCGGGCTTCGCATCTGCAGGGGTTGTAGCCTCTTCCTTGTTCTCAGAGTCGAGCCGCTTTCCAACTTGGTCATCTCCATCACCCTTCTTCTTCTTGCCGTCTTCCAAGAGAATGCCAGGAACACGGTCCTTCAAGTCGATCAAGTTCTCGTAGAAGCGGCGCTCCTCTTCATCCTCCCAGATGCCTGGTCCTTCTCCTTGACCCCGGAGATATTCACCAGTTTTGACCAAGCCGATACTACCATCTCCTGGGTTATTGGACGTGTCCTTCTCCTTCAGATCCGGCATCTCAGCACCCACAGCATCTGCCAAAACCTGCGCATTTGCCAAAAGCTTCTCCTGCGCCTTGACCTGCTTCTCATAGTTGGCTTGGCGGTCCTCGAACACCTCTCCGGACTTGACGTAGGCTTCAGCGTTCCGGCGGCCTTGGTTGACGAGCTTCTCCTGATCGCGGATGAGATGTGCTTTTACGTCCTCAAAGTACCGAGTGAGGATGTTCCTGAAGCGCTGACGCAACTCCGGGGACGTAATCGGCGGGTCCTCCGAATCGTCCTCGTTCTCCTCCGCTTGCTCGTCCGGCTTCCCACCGGCACTCGTTGCGCCATCCTCATTGACGCTCTTCCTTCCTTCAGACGACGCAAACTTCGTTCCCAGGACATCCCATGAGAAGCTCTTTACAAAAATCACCACCAGCGGAAGATTGACGTGTTCCCGGTCGTGTCCCAGCATATCCTTCAGCACTTCCAACGGAAAAGGTTCCGCATCCGCATTATCGGCACGACCGCCATTGGTAGCGCTCCTGCTCTTCGGCAAGCCCTCTCCGCCCTTTAGATTCTCCTTGTTCTTCGCCGCTTCCTCGGGGCGGGCAACGTCATCCAAGCTCCTCAGCACGCCCACGAGCCACAGCTCCGTCGCCACGCGCAGCAGCACGCGCTGGCGTGCCAGGCGCTCCTTCTCCTCGCGCTCGCGCACATCCTGCGGCAGTGTTTTCAGGTGGCTCCTGTCCGGCGTAGCCAGCCCGCGGCCGATGTGCCACCCAATGTATCCCGTGAACTCGGCCGGACCGAAACGCTGGTGCAGCGCGCTGATGACCTCGACGCCGGTCGCGATGTCGCCGGGCGTCTTGAGCTTTGTCAGCCCCTCGTAGCAGGCCGAGATGATTTCCGACAGGTATTTGTGCAGCGACAGCGACCGAACCTCGGCCACGAATGTGTCTTTGGACGCGCCGGTCATGGCAGTGCGCAGCCGCTTGATGAACGCCGTGTTCTTCTTCATGGACGAGTCGAGCGAGCCTTGGACCGGGAAGACATCTGTGAAAGAAGGCCGCAATCGGTCGTCAGCAGCCGCGGGGCATGGTAATTTGGAGGGGCGACGTTTCCGAGATATTTGCGGAGCATTCGCGTACCTTTCTCTCCCGCCCAGGCTTTGGTGTTGAGCTCGCGAAGCTCGCCTACTACTGTCAGTCTCCGAGTCGCATCTGCGAGTGAGCTCTATGGGGCGTACGCTTGCGTTGGCGCTCCATGGTGGAGCTACACTACAGGTAGATCGTTTCGCGGCGGGGTGAAGCCAGGTCAGCGGAAGGCGAAAAAGTGGGTGCGACGAGGTGGTAGCTCCAGCAGCATAGGAAGAGGTGACCGTGGCGGGCACGGGGTGTGTGATTTTTCTTGAAAGCACTCGGAAGCTGCAGGCTTGCAGACGGGTTCGGCGTTACTGCGTACCTGCAGAGAGGCAATGGAAAGTCAAGCGCGTTCCCTTGGGCGAAAGTGACGTCGGCGTCTCGGGCACTAGCGAGTTCCGACGGGACTTTCATAGGGAAGTCGTGGCCCGTCGATGCGAAGCGACCACGACTCGGGTTTGTCCAATCGCTTCCATGAATGTTTGTTCATCTCAAGCAATCAAGATCATCCGCTTATGTATGTCCGAGCCACTCAGAAAGCAGCCGTGTATTCACATCATCTATCACTAATTTTGTACACATCCATCATCGGCTATAAAGAATCTCGAACACCTCGTCTCCGATTGCCAAACAGCTCGTTAATCCCGGGCTCTCGATTCCCAGCAAATTGACAAATCCCTCGAATCCCTCTTCCTTTTTGATATAGAAATCTTGGAAGCCACCCTTCCCGCCAATCTGCGACACGCCCGCTCTACCCAGCTTCGGCCGCATTCCTGCATAGTCCAAGCCGAAGGCGCCCTTGTCAATGCCGGGCAGATATAGCTGAATATCCTCCAGTGCAGCTACCAGGTTCTTGTCCGACACCTTCAGATCTGTTGGATCGTCAACCCACTCGACATCGGGGCCAAAGCGAATGCGGCCGCCCATGTCAAGGGTGAGATGGGTGCCCAGGCCGCCGAGGCCGGGGCGCGGTGCTGGGTAGACGAGGACCTTGGGCTTAGGGTGGGAAGCGGAGTAGGAGAAGTAGGATCCCTTGCAGTAAGCGGGGATGAGATGGCGTTCGGGGGGCAGAATGGAGTTCGAGAGCTCGATGGCGCTGAGGCCGGCTGAATTGATGACGACTTCGGCCGTAATGCTGCTCTCCTCTCCCTCCGGCGTCGTGGTTGTGATCTCCCAGCCAGCAGAGCCGGGTGCGCTGTTGCCACCGCTGGAGAGCGGTGTGATGCGCGTCACCGGCGACTGGAAAGCGCAGATGCCGCCGACGTTCTCGAAGTCGCCCTCCAGAAATTGCATCAGCGTGTGCGAGTCGACGATGCCAGTGGTTGGGCTGACAAGAATGCCAGCCTTTGCTTGGACGTCTGGTTCCTGGCGCTTGGCGTCTTCATGGCTCAGGAAATGCGTGGGCACACCGATGGCCTGGCAGTGCTCGTGGGTCTTCTCAAGCTGTTGCATTTGCCCGTCGTCCTGAGCAACAACCCACTTACCGCAATTGTTGTGCGGTATAGCCATGCGCTTGCACAAGTCATACATCATCTCCTTGCCCTTGACGCAGAGCTTGGTCTTCAATGTGTCCGGTCCATAGTAGAGGCCTGCGTGGATGACCTGCGGGCATTGCGTTAACATCGACGTCCCCCCAAAAGCACCCTCCACACACCAATTGTCCAGAGAAGGGGGCGAGGGAGGTCGTACTGCTGCATCTCAGCCCAAGTATTGGAAGGCCTTAATCCCTACCTCTGAATTGCGACTGCTCGTCTCGGTGCCCACGGAGCCATGTCTCTCAATTAGCACAGTCGACACACCGTCCTTTTGCTGCAGCCGTCTCGCAATGGCGAGGCCGACCGCGCCTCCACCAACGACGGCATGGGTGAAGTCAGCGCGCAGTGGCGTGCTGCTTGAGAAAGCGCGGCGCGAACACGACAGGTACGGGATACGGCAGCGCGCTGCCGCGGATGCGGGGCCAAACATCGGCATTGGAATAGATAGCGTGGCGTATTGGGTCGATCAATGGAACGTCAGCCGCACAGCATTACGTGGCGATGCTTCTTGGAAGCGCGCTGCAGCGGCGCAAGGGGCGTTTCCTAGGGGGAGGTTGAAGCTGCGAGTTGCTTTTTGGTGTTGCGCGCGGTTTAGCAGGGTGACGTCGGAGACATTTGGCCGCTCTCTGCGATAAGATAAAAAAAAGTGCAGCGCCAGGGGCCCACTTACAACGCACGCCATTGTAGGGCAGAATTGCTGCATGGCGTAGATCGCCCAGACCGCCCAACAACAAAAGAAAATAAAATGTAATATAGAAAAAGAGGCCTGATATCGTCCCGCATTTCCGCCCTGCAGGTACTGGGTCTCTGTTCTCTGCTTCTTTTTTTCATTGTCTAAAGGGCACCCCCACTACATGCCTCACGCCAAGGATGCCGTCAGCCTCACTGGTCGCCATGCGCAGCTATCGTGGTACGGAACTCCGAATCGTAGCCCCGTGCTTTGTCCACCGGCATTCCCTCCTGCCAGCCATCGAATTGCCATCTTCGCCCTTCCACGGAATCTACCCGGGTTACACCAGATCCACTCCCGTTGCCACCAAACCCAAACAGCCAGTGATTAATTGCAGGGGCCTGCAATTTTGTCGGGAATGTGAACGTTACCATGGAACAAAGTGCTGCGGCATCCTTCCGAGACACAGGAAACCGGGATCAAACGGCTGACGGAGCGCCGGTAGCCGTCCCGTCGGCTGCACCCCGTCGCCTTGCTCAACGCCTCCCGATAATTGGCCTTCGGTCTGACCAAACAACCTCCTTCCCGATACCCATCTGCCGAATGCGCAGTATCACCAACCATGTGTTCCACTAGGCATACTGCAAGTCCAACGCAAACAACCCAGACGTTAGGAGCTGCTACGGGCACTCAAGTTTGCCCTTAGTCGCAGCCAGCTTTTCCAGGTGCATCCATGCTCTTGCTTGACCGGTGAGGGCGCCTATGCATTTGCCATGCTCCGCAAGCGCCTCCAGCTAAGATCCTTGGAAAACGTGTACAACGTGTACTTGTTTTGTAGCCACAAGACTGCAGCACGGGCGAAAGGGGCAGGGAGGCAATCCTGGTAAGTTCCTCTTTGGCGTTGTTGAGGCGTCGATCTCCTTCTCCTTGCTCTTGTGACGTTCGAGGTTGGAGCGCATGCAAAACGAAGGAAGACCGGTCAACGGAAAGCGCTACCCGGTGCCACACATTGCCAGAACGGGAATTTCGAAACATTCGAGTGAAACTGTCGCTCATGAGGGGACGCCCTCATACTCCCATCCCTCTTGCAGCCTGCGCTTCCTGATTTTCCTACTCGATTGCCTATTTCCAGCACACTTCACAAACACAGTCAACACAGCGCATACGAAGACGATGACTGCCGCCACCGTCGGCACAATGACCAATCGATTTTCGTCCTGGGTCGAGGCTAGGTCGTACGGGCAGTTCTCATCCACGCCGACGACCCAGCAGTCTGTCACTTGCAGGCTGTTGAAATTAACCCAGACGGCAGCATCAGCACCAAAGTCACCCGGGTTTTCGCGAGCGCGTGCTTGTAAAGCTGCAAAAAGGTAAGAATTTTCGAGCGCGGTGCGTGGTGCATCAAACGCAGTGTTCTCAGGACAAATCGACTTTGAGTCGGTGTAGCTCTCCGCTGGGTCGCTAATGCGCCATTGGAATGGTGCGTCGCCTCTGACGCGGCATGCTGCATTATGTTGCTCAGTACAGTCGGTGAGCACCCAACGGCCGTGAGTGGAGGCTCGCATTGTTGCGCAGCGGAGATACACAGCGTTGTCGACGTTGTTGGTTACGTTTCGTGGTTCGTTGTCTGCCCAGCTCCAGATCGAACTGTAGACCATGGCCTGATAAGGCTCGTACGAAACATCTGCTGTTTCGGACAGCGACTGATTAAGTAGCGGACTAATGCCGCATGCAGTGATATTGGAAACAGACGGTGAGGACGTATAGTACTGTGCAGGCATAGAGCCCTCCGCTGGAAAATTCGCAGACATTGCCCAAGATGAGTTCGTTGAGCCAGTCAGATAGTCCACGCTTTCATCGAAAAAACAACCGGTGGTGACGTTACCCGAATCGCTCAAAGCAATGTTTTGAATGGATTCGAAAGTCCCCTTGGGAAAGATGATACCGTCGTCAGCCTTAATGTCGTAAGCTTCCATCTGCGGATCGATTCGACCAAAGGATGTCAATAAGCGATAGTGGTCAGGGCCAAACTCTAGGACGCCCTCGCCGGGCCATCCATCAACAGTAGACATTATGTCATTGTCGTCTCTAACCGTATCCAAATATCTCAACGCAGGGATCAGTGCCTGGTCCGTTGTGACATCGTTGTTAAACCAAGTGGCATTAAGATTTTCGCGATCTCCTTGCAACTGGCCCGGGGTATACAAGTAGGAGGCTAGATCAGCACTCAAAACATTAGAAAGGGTGGTGTTCGCTGTGGGCATCTGCCGATGCGCCGGCGCCGTTGCAGCAACCGAGGAACTCGAATTTGACGCTGCAGCGTGGATGTTGAAAATGAGGTAAATAAGCGAGGCATTGATGGTGTCCGCGGTGTCATCGAGATAGTCTGCAAAGAGCGAAGCGATTGTCGAGACGTTTAATGAGGCCGAGCACGTGTACGGACTGGCTTGAAATACGCTCGTTGGGCTTGCCTGTGCACTAGAGGCAGTGCTAGAGCGGGTGCGAGACACAGTCCGAGTCGCAGAGCCCAGGGCAGAGCCAGACAATGCTGTTGCCTGGCGGGCCTGCAGGCTGCCCGTGGCCATGGCCACCGAGGACAGCGAAGCATCGGCCGTCGAAGAGATGATGCCCAGCGTGGCATCGTCGTCATTCGAGGCCGATTCCGGGATCTGCACCGGGCAAAGGCTCCAAAGACCGCGGCCAGCATCCCAATAGAGATCGATAATAAAACGCTTGAAGCCGACGGCTAGCAAATTGGAGAGACATCGCCGCGTGGCGGCGTCATCGTACTGCCTCTTTGCGAAGCAGCCCTCGGTAAGGGATACGGCCGGTTGGGTCACGTAATTGATGGGGATTGCGAGAGCGAGATCTCGCTGTGACTGCAATGACGATCAGCCTGAGGTACGAGCGCGTGATGGGGATGTATTTGGAAGACGATTTGAGGCGCAGGCGAGGGTTGAAATGAGATATATCGAAAAAGGCACTCACCAGCAGCGCTACGCTCCAGGGCTGGGCGGGCTCGGCGGCTTCGGACGGTTCGAACTGACTCGACATTGGGTATGGCGCCGGTAATTGGCTGTCGGGACATTTGGACAGAGGTCGCTGGCGGAGAACAAGCAGGAGCACAGGCAGGAGACTTGAGCAGCGTCTTGCCGACGGCGCGCCGGGCGCGGTCCAGCGGCTCGGTTGGAATGGCGCCAAGAAACGGTCTGCAGCGAACGCGACGATCGGCAGGTTGGGGGCCGACGATGAGCGTTGAACGGGGCGCGCGCGGTGGGCGGGTCTGCAGCGCAGGGGGCGCGACGTTCAGCTGCGAAGGTGCAGTCGCTAGGTAGGTGCGGCGGCTCGGCGTATCGCGCACATCCCCCGAGGCCCTGCTGTCCGCCCAAGCCGCCGCGCTCGCAAACAAACCACCCACCGCCAGCATCCCTCCGCAACACCTTCAGCCCACTGCCGCACGATGCCACAATACGGCTCTCATCGCGCTGCCGGCGAATGCCGCACGCTGTGGCTGCTGCCAGGAACGGTGAGTGCCGCGGGCGTCGCCGTCAGCGCGTCCAGGAGCACGCGTCGCAGCAACGTCCCCAATACGCATCATCGATCGTGCGTGCGCCTCCTCGTGGCCGACGGTGCATCCTTCTCGACCAGCGCACCCCCAACGCTCCGGCAGTCGGGGTCACTCACCGACTCTAGCAAGCTCCACCCCTGATGAGCCCGCTCTCCTGCGATGCCCATGGCGAGCAAATCAGCATGCCAGCACGGGGCCTCGCGCGGCCCTCGAAAGAGCATCGTCAGCGTCAGCCCGAAAGCCAAACAGAACGACATGCCCGCCAGCTCCCCCCACACCCACGGCCACTCCACCGGCGCCCGACCATTGCCGCTTCCAGCTGACCCACCCCGGGCTCAGCAGCCACCCACTCACCAGCCTTAGCTCCACGGAGTGCCCGGCTCGCGTTAACCGCGATCGTCGCACCTTTTCCTTCGCATGCCGCACGCGAGCAACGGTGCCCGTCAGCAGCAGCGTAGGACGCAATTTCCAGTCCGCCGGCTCTAGCAGCGTCACCATCCAAAGCCAAATCCGCGCGCCACCACGAGCCACTCGCTGCGCGCTCCCGTTTCTGCCTCCTGGGGGTCTGCGGCAGGCGTGACAATCTGCCGCATCCTTGGCTGCCCGTGTCGCAGGGTCGCGGCCTCCTCCCGCCGCCCTGCGCTGCGCTCTGCTTTCGTCGCCGTCGGCCTGGCTGGGCTGAGCAGGGCTAAGCTGAGCTCGCTGAGCTGGCAGCCGCTCTGCTCTCGATCACCCTATCGAGGGAGAGGCCAGCCCCACTCGCTCCTCACCACTCCCTGCCCTCCAGCAGCGCTGTTGCATCGGCCAGTCATGCCCCCCGACCCACGGATCGCGGCCGACCGTTTTGTTTCCAGACCGCTGCAAGACAGCACCGGTTGTGGAGGCCCAGCCCGATTGTCAGCGCCCATCGTGCCCTTGTCCCTTCCTTCCGGACGATTGCGGCCTTGTTCATGCAGGTTCCACGTTGGCTGGGACGCCGATTGCACTTTGCTGCCCGCGCCCTTATGCAAGTGACCTCTCAACGATGGCGCCGTTTCTTTCTGGCTGCCACCGTTGGTCTTGCGCCACGCCTGAACCAGCCCATTCCCACTGCCATGTTTTCCCCATCCAGCACGTAATGACCAGCCCCCAGCCACTTGAGGCACCGTCAAGTGATCATGCGGGTTAGCGGCCGCGCCGACGGCTGCGCACCCAACGGGCTCGGTATACCTCTTTCCCGCTTCGCTGGGCGTAGACTCAGCGCTTGTGGGCGCCTCTTGCTCTATGCGGAACAACAGGCTCTCGATCTCTGTCCCTGCCGCAACCCTGGCCGTTCGGCTCTTTGCGCATTTGGGGTCGAGAAGGATGCGTGGCTGAGAGATCCGTCCGCCCCCGGCTGTTACATCGCGAGAGCGTCTCTCGACCATCTCATCACCTAGAAATGTAAGTTGTGTGTTTGGCGCTATCGAAAAGGCTCAAAAGAGCGAATGGACTGAGCCGATGGCCCGCCTCTTCACGATCCTTCGTCCCAAACTGAACCTGCTTCTCTCGAAGTTCAGCCGACGCGAGGGCAGGCGAGATCCAATGAACAGCCGGCGATGACGGCAAGAGTAAAAACCGTCAATGGCATGCTAATGCACCCCCGTCACCTGCGCGAGGATTTGTAAACTCCAGACCTTGCAGCCGCCCCGCGTGGTGTTGGCCGCAGCAAGTGTCGGCTACGGAAGATTTTACGTAGCGCCCCGCGATCTGAACCGTGGTTGACTAGACGAGAAATAAGGGGCATTATCGAGAAGGATTCCGACACCAGAAGGGAATTGGAAGGAAACGGCGCTTTAAAGTTTAGATAGGCAGTAGTAGCAGCAAGGACATGCACATCATCATGATGAAGCTGGAGTCAGCTCCGCGGGGTCGGGGATATGCGCCGTAGTAAACCCTTGGGTTGGTCCGGGGATCGACGAGCAGAAATTTTACCAGCGCTCTTCTCTTTGGCTGTTGCTACTGTGCTCCCCCTTGGTACCGTCCTGCATTAGGCGCGCTGGTGGTGGTGCATTAGGGGCGTTTGAGAAAGCGTGTTTCAAGGCACGAGAATTAGGTAGGGTAGAGAGAATCTGTTGTCTCGACCCTCCGTGACGAGATAGGGATGGGGGCCAGAACAAGTCTTCTGCGAGAGGGGGGGGACAGAAAGGGTCCACGATTTTTTTTTCACCTTCCTAGAACGTTACCACAGACAGCCAAAAAGAAAAAGAGGGCTCCAGACCCTTCCGCATGCGCTCGTTTGTTCTTCGGGAATGAAGGGATTACTTTTGTGGGGAAAGCCAGCAAAAGAAAGATAGATGGCAAGAACGACAGAGCAGCTAGGTTAGGACGGAGAGGCTGTGGCTTGCCAGGCTCGGTCCCACGCTGTTTTTTTCCGAAGACGGACGGCGGCGACGCCGGCAGTCGCCGCCGGGCACAGCTCGTCCCTTCTGGGACTGGCAGGCTGGTGCTGTGACAGCAGAGAGACAGGTCTCGAACTCTGTTGTTCGTGCCTGCGCGCGTTGATGGTAGTTGCGGACCAGCCACTCCCCCTCCTGACGAAGGGAATGGATGGGTTCGATGAGCGTGTGAGGCTCAGGTATGCTAGGCGATCGGAAGGGAGGGACAAGACGTAATTGCAATCTGCACACGTTCGCGGGGAAGGTCCGTGAAGGGGGGAGGTCTGGATGATGTGAATCAAGACGATGGTCGTTCGCGAGACTCAGGGGAGAATGCAGGGAAAGGAAGTGTCTGATTTGCATCACTCAGCCACTGATTCCTATGGGAGTCAAGGGGTCCGGAGAGAAGCAACGTTCAGGCGTTCAGGGTGCACAGTAGCAGAAGGATCGCCGTGATTCTAAGCATTTGTAGGTAGTATTCATTAGTGCGCATTGGCAGAGAGAAATAGCAAGTATCCTACTCGGGGTATAACGCTGTTTTAGAGTGAAGACCAGAAAGACGATCTGTTTGGCAAACGCTTGAGCATGAAGACTGAGTTTGAAGGACTTATGTTGCTTTCCCAGCTATATACAACACTGAAGTGTTGCTGCAGATCATGCCACCCAGGGATAACAAAAAAGACTCGTAACTATGTTCCACAAAAAAAGACACATTCCGATGAGGCTCTCGCTTGCTTCTTCCATAAACAAGAGATAGCCACCCAAATCCTCATCAAACCCGTTGCGCAAGGGGAATAAAAAGAAAAATCCTTCGCCCCTTTTGTGTTTAGATCTGAAATAGAGAAATCGTATGTGCAAAACTTCAACAAGAAAAAGGAACAGGCCACGACCGATTAAAGTATTAAGTTCATCCAAAGATGTGCGATTGACAACGCTGCGCCCAATACCAGAATAGTCGACAGCTGAGATGTTTTCGCCATCACAACCCTTTCTCATCCAAGTCTTTCCATGTGTCCCTCACGGAACCCCATCCTTTTCTAGGCGAGGTGCCATTGGTATATTGCGCAAAGGTGCGGAAGCAGAAATGACGTTTTTGAAACAAACGTGGGATATAGGAGTGATATGTAGATTGTTGTATGTGCCGAGGAAACAAGGGGATCCCAACAAACGCCGATGCTATGCGACATATGCGACCTCGTCGAGCCACGATTGATTGACAAAAGAAAGTTTGAACAAAGGAAAAATGGTTCGCGCGTCACTACATTCAGTTCAGAATGGAGGCGACGGCGTTGGGTTTGCTGGTGGGGCTTCTAGGCTTCATGGGTGGTAGGTAGGGAGCCGGTGCCAGCGTGGTTGTGCTGTGTGCGCGCGGCTGCACCAGCTCGCTGAAGCTGGGCAGTAATTGCTGGGGCGGGCAGTACGAGGCACGGTGGGGCGAGAACTGGATGGGGCTCGACCTCCTCGAGACGCTGCCGCTCGCAGTGAAAGGCTGGGTGAGGAGAGGCAGCTGCTTGCTGCCGGTCGAGCTGTAGTTGGGCTCGCGGAAGATGGGAGATCCGCCGTTGCTGACGAACGATGGGGGCTCGGGCAGCCTCATCTGCTCGCGCTTGCGGGCGGCGGCGTCGCCGTTGTCGGCAGAGGAGGCGCGCAGCGGTGCGAGTTGCGAGTTCTCGTCGTCGTTGATAAAGGATGAGTTGCGCGGAAGGTAGGCGAGGCTGGAGCGGCGGCGCTCGTCGCGGCGGCCAATGAGCGGGGGAAGAGGATGCTCCATGGGGGAGGCGGCGTAGTGGGGTGACCGCGACTCGGAGCCGCTGTCGGTGATGAGGGAGGGGGCGCCTTCGGTGGAGAGCACGGACTGGCCAGAGGGCGAGGGGATGGGCGTGTCGTAGGCGCGGGCGCTGTAGGGCTGCGGCTGGATGGAGAGTGGGGCGGGGCGCGAGTGGTACGAGTGCTGCGGCTGGTGGAATTGCTGGTACTGGGTCTGGTGGTGGTGGAAGTGACCGGCGTGGTGCTGCTGGACGGCGGCCGTCTGGGCCTCGCTGCGGCGCCTTTCAGACATGCGGCGCCTGCGGTTCTGGCCGCCGTTCCACCAGTTCTTCACAGCATTGTCGCTGCGGCCATTGAGCTGGCGCGCAATCTCGGCCCACTTCTTGCCCATCTCGGCAACCAGGCGCTCGATGATCTCACCCTCCTCGGGGGTGATGGGGTCGTGGTTGAGGGTGGGCTTGAGGTTCTGGTGGAAGCGCTCGCGGCACTGCTTAGGGGTGCGGGTGCGCAGCATCTGCGATATCCGCACCCAGTTGTTGGCGCCCTGCTGCGAGACGATGGAGAGGAGAAACTGGTCCTCGGCCTGCGACCAAGGGCCGCGGCGTGCGTTGGGGGCCATTGTGCGGGCGGCGGAAAGTTCAGGTGGAGACGGAAGACCCTGGCAGTTGGGGCCGTTTAATAGCGAGACCGGCTCGGGCGTTGCTTGCTGGCAGGCGGTCAGACTCGCGATCTCGGGCGGTGGGACAGCGTCGCGGTCGGGTCGTGGGGCGTGAGGCAGACAGGAAACGAGAAACGGGCAGGCTCTTGTATTACCTTGCAGGAGGCCAGGCACATATGACGGTGGTGAGAGGTAGAGGAAGGTTGGTTGGCGTGAAAGTGATGGCGATAGGGTACCGCGGGACTGGGTGGGAAAGCGGAGGGTATATGAAGGCTTGGGTCCGACGTTGGCGCGATGCACAAGCTGGGCCTTGAACAGTGGTTCGGGAAGATGGCTGGCTCTAGGGTCCGGGCAAGCTTAAGTGGATTTGACAGAGGCCGCTGAGCAGCTAACGAGCATGCCCCTTTGGGTCGCTGGTCCGCGCGGAGGGCGCAGCCTCGGTGGATCCAAGGACCCAGATCGGCGGGTAAGATATGTTAGATGTGCAGATGTGCGACCAGGGTGGGCGCGCGGGTGATGGAAGGGAGGGATCATGGATGCTGGCCGCCGCGCACCCGGGGCGCCCCAGCGCTGCGCCGTCCCGTGAAACCGCGCTCCTTGCGACGCGGCCAGCATGAGACAGCGTGGAATGAACAGTGTCAGGCCCGTCAGCCAGCCGCCGCTGCCCCCAATCCTGCACCTTGGCGCCTCTCACGCGCCCGCTCGCCACTGCCGCGCTGGGCCAGGGGCGCGGGCTGCGTGGCCGCTGCGTGGTGCCCGCAGCCGCGCCGCGAAGGCCGCAGCATCGCGTCCGAAACCACGGCGCGCAGCCCGCCGCGCGAAAGGGGCCAGCCGTTTGAGCGCGCGGCTTGGCGGCGTCCCGCCATGCTGGCGCGGCTGCCGGTGCTGGCTGCTGTGCAGATTTGGGGCGATCTGGCGGGTCTTCCCATGCCGGCGAGCGCTTCCAAATCACCGCCCCGAAGCGGCTAGCCGCATCGCCGTTGCGGCCGCGCGATCATCGTCATTTCGCGCCGACGCGCGGGCATCCAAACCACCAATCCTTACACCTGCGCGCCCCACCCTCTCCCCCGGCCGCCGACAACCACAGCTCGCACAGCCGCTCGCTGCCCGCCCGCCTCAGCTGCCCAGCGCCGGCCGCCCCGACCAGCACTGGCCTGCGTGCAGCCGGCGGCCCTCCCTCGCGCACTCGAACCGCAACGGGCAAGCCGCTAGCCGCGTGCGCGCTGGCTGTCATCCAGCTCGGTGGAACCGCAGCAGCAGCCGTTGCACTAGTCGGGGAACGGCACGACGAGCGTGCTCTCGCCCAGCGCAGCGTCCCAGGGTCTTCAGCGAGATCGCGGGATCGGAATCTCAGGCCTGACGAAAGGCACATCCTCCGCATCGTTCCCCCTTTCAGCCCGCCTACCGCGTCATGTGCGGCCCCCCCGTCGCTCGATCCAGCTCCCCGCCGCGCCCTCCTGCCCGCTTTGGGCCCTCCTCAGCTCCCCTCAACGGCCGCCACGCTGGCGCGCCTTAGTCATGGCCGAAACCTGCTTCGCTCGCCTCCTGACATGGGGTTTCACCCGCCCATCTATAAACCTAAAATATTGATTTGGCATCCATTCTTTTTCTGGGGACGCTCGGCAAGGGCTCGCCCTCCCAGCTCTCGCGCCGCAGGGGTGCAACGGGGGATGGTGAGACCGGGGCGCCGAGGGTGCAGGGTGGCCCGAAGCTTATATGGATATCCCGTTCACAGCAATCTACGTGCCGCCAGAGTCGGCCCTTATCCCTTGCGCCTGACCGCCGTCGACAGCAGCCTGGGGACCGACCGACCCACCGACCGGGACCCAGGACGGTCAACAGGCCGGCGAGGTGTGTAACAGCTCCAATCTCCGGTCTGCAAACAATCATGTACGCCTTTTTGCTTTTCCTGGAGCGCGGCGCAAAGGCGAGCGCACCGCAGGCCCGTACCACGCGAGCTGCAAGAAATGGGCCAGCAGGCTGCGCCATCCGGTTGGACGCGCGCAGCGGGACCTGAGACATCAGAGGGCCACAAGGTGCTGAGCTGCAGCTTTCCTGTGCCTTGGATCAACGGTCGACCCGACAATCGCTGATGGCGTCCGCAAAACCGCAACCGCCCAAGTACTACGCCAGAGCGACGTCACGGTCACGACGCCGCCAGCCCGGATGCGAGCGGGTGACCCGCGCACCCTCTCGCAAACACGCTGTTATTGTCATCACCATCGTCATCGTCATAAATAACAATGACTTTCCTGATCGGGCCGCCGACTCAGCTGGCGGTTTCGGTCCGCAAACAGCACAGCAAACGTCGACTCGTCGCTAGCCGCCACAGCATTTGAAATACCTCTGGGACACTGACTCCTCTGCGTCCTCGCGCCAGGGCCCTGCGGTAAAGGCCCGTAGGCTTGTTGAAGGATCGGGCGGAAGCCCTTGCTGGCGCTGCGGCGCGTGGGGCTCGCCATCTAAGTGAGCAGCGAGCGACGCAAGGGCGCAGCTTGCACATTCCCCTGGGTGCTAGGCAGACGGCACGGGCGCACAATACGCACACGCTCACCGTTCCCCATCCCGGCCGGGGGGAACGGAGAACGGTGAAGCGATCGCGGCGCGTAACCAGGCTTCTGGAGCATCATTTTGCTTTTTGGGCGAACGGCCCGGGATCTATCTATGTCATGGGCAACATGGGGCTGCTGCTGCGCTGCTTCTTCGAGAAACATTGCGCGAGCAGCCGCGGATTGGGCCAGGGTTTGCTCCGTGACCCGTACTAAGCCACGACTCGGAGGTGCCCTGTGGCCGGCGGGATCTCTGGGATGACCCGCTCTGTGCCAGAGTGCTGGGCTCCCGCGAGCGCAACACTGTTGCGGACGGACGACTCCCACTGGCGATATACGGAAAGGCACACAAGTCGAGACTCTACAACAAACGGCACACCAGCTCGGATTGACAGCCTACCAGCCGGGAGAGGCCGTTGAGGGCTCTCAGGAGCAGGCTCCAGGGGTCCAACGCGCTTCCAGAGGGGCGGCGGAGTGTCGATTTGCGCTAGCCCCGTCCGGCATCCAGGTCCGGCGCGCGCCTCCAAATGGCGATACGCCCGACGACCCAAGGTGAGATCAACCATTGCGCTTGTTTAGGCTCTGCGGTCGTCCCTCCCGCACAGCGCGAGCAGACGGTGAGCCGAGCTGTCGGGGGCCCCTTTCGTCGTGCTATTCTCCGCGAGAGAGGCGCCTGCGAGCCCACGCGGCGGCGGCGAGGGAACGAGCTTTCACGCGTCAAGATAGCGTGCTCCTGCATGGTCCTAGCACTACCGAATCGCATACGGAATGAGCGAGTCAAGTCTCGACGAGAGTTTCAATTTTACACCCGTAACGAGTCGACGTCGACGTCGCGTACAGCGGCGCACTCGTCAGGGCGGGGGCCACACGACCAATCACTGTCCCAGCGCAATACCACCCTGGCGGACAGGCTGCGGGGATCGTCCGTGATCTTAGTCGAGATCTAGTACTACCGTGCGAGATCTGTTAGATCCAGATCTCATTTCGATTTCGATTTCGTACCTGTCGCAAATCCACTCCCCGTACTTGGGTGGCCTTTCCACGCATATACCCTGCTTCAGCTACTACGTACACCTCGGGAGCGCGCCGTGGGTAACAAGATCCGGACGCCAGGGGCTCGCTGGAGCGACCCGCGCCGTTTGTTTCTGTTCTCGAATCGGGTGCGCAGCGCCCTCCCCATCAGCACGCCGCCAATGCAGGTGCTCCTGCAAGCCCACCAACGCTGCAGGGCACGCTGTTATCCCTCCGCCAGCGGTGTGTGATGATGCTGCATCTGCTGCTCGATCGCTGCATCTCGTCGTGCAGCTCGCGCATCGAAGAGGCGTAGAGTTCTCGACCACCGACCCAGCGTCACTCAAGGCCGGAAACGTCTCCTGCCGTCGACAAACGTTGCCGCTTGCTGGCGCCGTCTGCCGTGCGACAGCTCTGTTTGAGAGCAGTGTCCACTCACAGCTTCCATGGCTCTCGCCCTCCTCTCTTCCTTACACCAGCGTGGCATCCATCTGTACCCACGCAAACACCGTTGACCCTTGCGGCGTGTCAGCCACTGCAAGACGAAGCGACCAGGTGTTGGTGGTCGGCTCAGAACGCCAGCCTGTAGCGCCTGAAATGGGTGCAAACCGGAGAGCTGAAGCGACATGGCTGGCTCTCTCGGCAATGCGTCTCTTCGCCTCAATTGCCGCGTAGTCGCAATCCACGCCCCAGCATCAAATTGCGGCGTCACGAGAATGACAGTGCTGGCCTTGGCTGAAGGCTACCAGCCGTGTGTGTGTGTGGCGCCCCGAGGGATCGTCGAGATCTCACAGTAGATCGGCCGCTACCCGCTACCGGAAGATGCCCGGGCGTAAGCCCCCGGGCGTTTGGCAAACTCCAGTCTATCGGGTCGCTAGCTAGGGAGAATGGGCGCCGCTTCTCTTTCACCGGCGCGTCCCCAGACCGGCGCGGACGACCGCCCACACGGATTTTCCATCACGTTAAGGTCTGGACGTGTGATAAGTTATCGAAGGAGAGACAAGGGGCTCTCCCTCTTGCCTGGCATTGACAGGCGCCTTCTACCACGGAACTGCTTCCGCTCCAGCTGGTCGAGGCTCGGGCACTGCATGGAGCAGGCATGACGGTTCCGCGGAGACTTCTGCCATCATCGTCATCGCCATGGCGCAGAGTGGGGTGGACGTTACCGGTGACGCCCCGCAGATCGTTCTTTGCTTGCTACATCTCATGCCTTGGCTCTCGCAACACCGTGTTCAAACTCGACCATGCTCCTGTAGATCGCGGCTGGGGCGCGAGTCAGGGCCGCTTGCAAATCGCCCGTGGGAAAGGAAGCTCGGCCTCGCTCTTAACATCCCCGTCCCCGCGATACCCAGGAGTCAGTGCCGGGCGCAGCGACGGGCCAGCACGCACCCGCGATGTTTT